TCGATACTAACAGTTTATTGGTGAGAACATTTAACACAGAGGTACCTCCCTAAGGAAAGAGCGAATCAAAAAAGGAAAAATATAGAGGTAGGAAAAAGTTTGATTAGGAAATCATATAGTATTTCACCTGCCATTGTTCCTTTCTAATTCTAGTCCAATGCGAAACGCGAGGTGAAAAGTGAGAAGAGTTTATCCATAAAAAAACCAAAACATTGTTCGGAATCACTCAGTATGTCTGACCATAGGTTAAATTTGAAAAGCTGCTTTTATTCGAAAACTGTTTTCAATACGTTTCCAGACCGATTGACAGTTTATCAGACTTAATATCGACCCTAGACATCTCGAAAGTACGGTAATAAAGTGAATACGTAATCATCTACGCCTACTCATCCAAAAATTATGGTCTTAGTGTCGTGAAGAGAGTTTCCAGCATTTTTTGCATAATGAAAGAGGAGGATACTGATTAACAAATAGAGAAGCCTTGACTGTGCTCTGTTCTGTTATAAAGCACGCAGGAAGTGGCTAGAGCACGAAAGAAGTGTTGTTTCTCCCCACTTCTTGAATGCTCTAGCCGCTTCCTAAGAGCTTTATAACAGAACAGAGCACAGTCAAGGCTTCTCTATTTGTTTTATAATAAAGAATCCGTCAAATTCCCCATGCATTACTTTCAATTTTCAAAACAAACTTTATTTCCAAAGCGAACAACAATGTCGTCAGCATGCTCCATACTCTCATAGAGCACGCTACAATAAGCCAATCAGAATCCCTGTTAGAATGGTTCAAATAATCTGATTGGCTCTACAAGACAAAAGCTGTCAAAAGTGTCAAACCATCAAAGTTCAAAAACCATCAAAGTTCACAATCTGCGATAGTTTACAAACTAAAATAGTTCGGCAGGTCGATTTTAACGCTTTTACCTGAAGTTTTTAATACAGAATCTTGAAGTGAAATGTTCAGTAAACTTCAGCCGAATTATGGCTCATAAAAAACTCGCGAGTTTTTTCACATGACAAGGTAGAAAACAAACTGTTCAAGGCGAGTATTTTTTAAATGAACGGCAGCCGAATTCACCGGAACATGAAGATCGCTCGGGATGACAGCGCCGCAAAACTCGGCTGCAGTGACTGAAGTGACTTTCTACTCAACGTATCGGAAAGGATATCAGAGCGAGCTCTTATTTTTTCACTCGAAGGCCGGCCGATGTAGTTTCTGAGGCTTGCTTTACTGTAATGACCGGAGATCACCATGCTAAGCGAGCCGCGATGGACTTCAGCATGATCATATTTGCTCAGACACCGTCATGATTAGTATGAATTTTAACAGATATGTCAGTTTGATTATATTTTTAATAATTTCTGTTTTGTTCTGTTTTGTTTTTGAACTCTGAACTTTATATACTATACGAGTGTTAGCTGTGTTTGATTTTTATTCCCGTTCGTAACCTTGCAATCTAACTGAGCGTGAAAATCTTTAAAACTCGGAATGTCTATTTTATTTTTCCTTTGAGGATTTTCGTATCTGCTCACGTTTTAATAATGTAAATTACGGCGCCTGATATGTTTACAAACCTTTGTTTGGTTCTTCTGTTGCTACTTGCCGGCTCGCTTGTTCCGAAATTTCACTTTCAATTATCGGAAAAAAGCTAAAAAGAAGTCCCGGAAAAGGTCGAACATAGTACAATTAGGCAGATGGCGTGACAGCTTTGGCTCAGCTCTATGCTCTATACTCTAATAGAGCACGCTCTTTCAACCAATGACAGCGCGCGTTATATCCGAACTTTATTATAATCACAAATATCTAAGATTTTGACTGTCAAGGCCGGTTAGGAAGAAAATACCCGTTCTTTTTGTTCGTGACCTAACTATGATGACAGTTCGATGACAGTGCAATGACTGTGCGACAAACGTTTGAAAACAAGTTAATTTGTTTTGTATGATTATTAATAAGAAAGTTAGGTTTAAACCCTGGTGGCTGCGCTGGGTGCTGTTTGGACGAAATCTCTTTCTTATAACCCCAGAATAATGGTGACAACCAATCTAACGGGAGATGGAACTCAGACATTTATGGAACTGCTATGCTCTCCCTCCCTGGTTGGTAAACTTCAACTGCAATTGATTTCTTTTTTAGCCGCAGTCAATATCCTCCTCTCCATTACAGCATTTCTTGGGAATTCTCTCATCCTTGTTGCGCTTCACAAGGAATCTTCCCTTCATCCACCTTCCAAACTCTTGTACCGTTGTCTGGCAACAACTGATCTGTTGGTTGGTCTTGTTAGCCAGCCTCTCTGGGCTACCTATTTGCTGTCCTTAGTTCACGAACACTGGAGTCTTTGTCGATACGCCAGAGACGCGGGTTTCTTCACAGTCAATCTATTATGTTCAATGTCTTTGTGCACGATGACGACCATCAGCGTGGACAGAGTTCTGGCCCTTATATTGGGGCTGAGATACAGGCAAATTGTAAATTTAAGACGCACATTTATCACTGTAGCTTACATGTGGATTCTATGTCTTGCCGCTACTTTGTGCCTTATTTTTGATTACCGTATAACCATTTGGTATAGCTTAATAGGCATACCGTCTTGCCTGGTTGTTTCTGTTGCTTCGTACACATATATTTTCTGCACTCTCAATCAACATCACGCTCAAGTACAGGATCATGTTCAGCAACAGCCAAGCCAACCAAATGTATTGAACATTGCGCGATACAGAAAGGCAGTGCATAGCGCACTGTGGGTGCAGTTGGCATTAGTGGTTTGTTGTTTGCCATATGGTACAGTGATAATTGTTATTACTAAGAGTAAAACATATTCATCACACTTAATCGCCATAAGCGGAATCGCAGGAACTTTAGTTTGCTTTAACTCAACGTTGAACCCATTTCTTTACTGCTGGAGGATCAGTGAAGTAAGACAAGCAGTGAAGCAGTCGATAAGACAAAGACTTTGCTGTCTATGGAGTTAGCCCCGAGAGATACACTTGTCTCAATGCTGTTAAAGATGGCCTCGAAAGTCAAGGTTTTTAAGAGAACGCGCTTCGCATGAGTCGTTTCAGAGGAAGTAATTCCTGTAATAATTCTTAATGGTTCCATATGAATAATAACCAACTGTTCAACACGGAATCGAATCACCAACCACATTTTAAGATTGTTTCATTGTACCACATTTTATTAAGAATGCATTTATAATCGGCGAAAAAATTGTCATGCATTTTACTATCTTGTCTCATTAACATTCTAAGCAAATTTAACGCATGCAATAAAATTTCAAAGATTAGTGAAGGAGAGTTGTTGGAAGTATCTAACTATGTCTTTCTTTTACCGTGAAGGAAAGTGCGTGATGGTAAAGTCACTGGGTCATATGAGCCGGTTTCTAGTCTCGAATTTGTTTGTGCTCAGTAAGTGTCAGACTGTACTAGCTTATGAACGAGCAGATGTTTGTCGTCTTTTGTGAAAGATGTTCAAACAAACTCACGGAATGAAGTCGACCATCAGCAGTTCTTGAATAGTTCTCTTTGAAATCGATCGTTTGTGCGAATTGCGTTCAAAATGATAATATTATCGAAAGAAAAATGCAAACAGCGTTAAAAAATATTTCATATTAAGTGTTGTTATGCATTTCGTATGTCGCTGGTAGCGGTGTATCTTCCATTTTTTTAAATTTTATTGGTTCTTTGTCTACCACTTCCAACCGATGAACTGTCTTTAACTTGTTTTCAATCGCTTTACAAAGCGTTATAAGGTCAAGCATTTCTTAATATACAGAGAAAACATTGACACTTCACATATTGCCGGTTGTAAATATCTAAGAAAACCGCCCATCTCTGTGCTACTCAAAAAGTGACAAAACTGAGTTTCCTCGCTGTAGTGTCAAACATTTATTGCACCGATGTCCTTTCTGGCATTTAAATTAACTTTTGATGCTAATTTTTAGTTAGGTGAACAGCTGATTGCGGTCCATACGTTTTGGTATAGTAAATCAGCTGCACTCGCTATTCTGAGCAAAATAACGGGAAAATAACGGATTGAAATTGAAAATTGTAAAGAATGTAAAAATTTAAAAGAATATAAATATTTTGGTACCGGATGAAACCCTGGTTTCTAAACGAGACCAAGTGCGCGTGGGGCTTAGCCGGTAAAGTATTGGTTGATACTAGATGAAATACAGAAATCACGTGACCAGTAGTAACTCTTAATAAAGTAGATTGTGATTAACATTTATATGAAACATCCTTGCACCACTTCCTCATGTATATGTCTCCAACACCTTTTGGACAAAGGATCATGCAGCTAAATACTAGATGTTTTTCGCCACAACATGAAGGCACGTTTAATAATTTTACTCCCAGATTAACAAATATTTAGATGTAAGGGTGTGTTGATGTGTAAATGTGATTCGACTGAAAATGAATTAATAATACAAATATCTAAGTACAGTTATAACAACAACAAGGATAACGACAAAGCTACATGAAGTAGACACGAACTTACAATTTGTGGCGTAACAAGGTCTGGTAGTAAAACTCTTAAACAAAGGTGACACGGTGCAAGCAAAAGCTAACGAAATGACTCAGTTAGTTTACCAGCCATGAAAAATATGTAAGGAAAACAACGCTTTATACTGGCAAGAAATAAAACACTGCTGGCGTTATGTAATTCTTACGCAATGTCACGCAAAAACGAGAACGTAACTGAATAGAAACATGACATACGACAGTAGTTCAATTGAACGAAAAACAATATAAAATAATTTCGCAGTTACTTGACGACAAACAGAAATGCAAATTCTATTTGCTACAGACCATAAAATCTACTGAGTTTGTGTTCTCCATTCTTTGAGGGTCCGAAGGATAATACGCTGAAACATTCTCTGCGCGTACTGTTTTTTTTTTTTAAACAAGAAGACTGAACACTGAAATTTCATCTTATAGTTAAGCGCACCACTAGATAATATGGTTCTTTGCAAATACGAGGATGAGAGGATAATTTCAACCTCCCAATTATTATGAAAATATAGAGGAATTAACTTTGAAATACAGTTGCTTCAAAGCTGTGCGAATCTGTCGATCTCGCCAACAGTACAATATAGGGTTGAGGGAAGAATTTAAAAAAACCAATGTGACCATCGTGTTAAAAGTTGTTGGTGAGTTTCCGTGTGTATCACGACGCAATCCTACATAGACTGTGTAAGGAAAATAACAAAACAGAAGGAGTGTATATACAAGGAATGAGTTCGCAGCAGATTTCTTGAGTCTTACGACACTGAAAAAATTTCCATTATTTTCTTGTTGTCGTTGGTGAGGATGGCGCTGAAGTTGAATCTGGCTTTGATGGCGTCGAACGATGAAATAAATTTTAGAATATGCAATAAAGTTACCAACAAGAAGGCACAAAAATATCGCGGGTTGAAGAAGCAAGAGAGGACGGAAATACTTTAACCCAAGGTAAGGGATTGAAACAACAGCAGAGAATAGCCAGATACAAATCAGAATCAACTTGACGCGTGATGTTGTCACTAATGCGTTATACCTTAAATGGAGTCTGAGAGCCAGGAAGCGGTCTATTGCAATTGCAGTAACGTTCATTAAAGACACCAAAGTTAAAAAGACGGCTGAAATGTGAAGTGGAACAGGATCGAAATTGTTAAATAACAAAAACAATGCGAAAAGAGGCTGTACAACCAAACCAACAAAAAGGTCTGATACTGCGAGACTTGACAGTAACATATACGAAGCTGAATGCAAAGAGGATGTCTTCCAAATTGTGATCAAAATCACTGCGTTTCCGAACAGGGCTGTGGCACTGAGAAGTACGTTTATCACGCAGATGGCTACGGTGTGATTTAGCTCGTGTACAGCCTGGATGTAGAATTTGAAATTGAAGTCTTCACCAGAGAGGTTCATGTCAGAAATAGATCGAATTACACTAAAAGAATATGTTCTCTAAACGCGTGTATGGCTTGAGTGTTTACTTTGCCGTTAAGAAACAAGATTAAATTGATTTTGCTTCATTTTTTGTGCTTGGTTGATAAAACTCACATGACTTCCTTAACCAATCAGAGGCATAATCAAAAACGAATCCCGAGTTAGTTTTGTGCTTTTTCCGCACCTCAGTGTGGTTTCCTCATTCAAGATCTCATCATTTCTCTGTCTTATTTACCTTTGTGCTGATTGACCGTTGCGATAACGCTGGTTTTAATTTTACTTCTTCTCTTTGAGTTTGAGTTTTATTGTCAAAATGAGCTTTCTACAGTAATATACCTTCACTTACGTGTTATTTGTTTTTGACTCCGGCAGAGCAATTACGAGGCCAAACACAATACTCTACAACCGCCTTTTTGTTTTTTACTACCTTTGAATAGACATTCTTGCTTTTGATTTCTGACAGCATGATAAACAATATGAGTAGTGAAAGATATTTGAATGAAAAAGCAAAGTGAAGCATCCAGATGAAGGGTTTCTGCCATGAAGATGATCCACCCTCAAAATGATTTTGCCTAAAAAATATTCCTTGTTGATTCTGCCATAAACATGACAAAAGTCTTTGTTTATAAACACGTTTAGCCAAATTGTATCGTGAAAAAAAATCTACATCTATTTTGATGACATCAGTTGGCATGTATATATATATTTTTATTTCTAATTTTCTTTCACTTCTTTGACTTAACACACTAGTACTAATTTTGACCCAAGCACTGCAATTATTAGAGTCTTTTTTTATTATTAATGTGTCCATTCAAGACGACTCTGGCATGTGTTCATAACACTCAGCACATAGCGGTTTTAATTAGAGAGATTTACTACTGACCATGACGGTTACTTAGTCATGATAAAAGGCATCATTTGGGTCAGAAAATTGTCTTGAGACAGGGGGAAAGCGTGAAAGACTATGGAATAAACTTTTCCAGTGCCAACATCTGGATGAAAGAAAGGCATTTAATTTCTGTTATCTTTAAATTACTTCAGTTTAAGCCGCTTAACAGTTGTTTTAAAGCTGTGCGAATCTGGCCATCTCGCCAACAATAAAATACAGGGTTAAGGGTAGAATTGAAAAAAACCAATGTAAGTGTCACGTTAAAAACTGTTGGTGAGCCTTGGTGTAAATCGAGATTGAGAAATCGAATTCCTAACTGAACTGAAAAAGGAAGATAACAAACCAGAAGAAGAATGTACACAAGGAATGTGTTCATTGCAGATCTCTTGAGCCGTCCCCCAGTAATAAGATTTCTATCATCAGCCTGACTCTGTTGTTGATGGAGATGGTGCTGGATTTGAATCTGTCTTCGATGATATCGAACGATGAGATAGATTTTACAATAAACAATAAAGTTAAGAACGAGAAGACATGTATAAATAGCAGGAGGAAGGTACATGTAGTAAATAAACTGCCCTATCCTTGCGAGAGGCACAGCACTAACAGCAGCGAACACCCAAATAAAAATCAGAACTGATTTGACGCGGAATGTTGTCACTATTGCTTTATACCTCAAATGGAGCTGAAGAGCAAGCAAACGATCCACTGCGATTGCTGTGATGTTCATCAAAGACACCAAGGTTAAAAAGAAAGCCACGTTACGATGAAATCCACGATTCGTCGTTCTCAAAAGCAAAAATATAGCGAAAGGAGGTTGTACAACCAAACCAACAGCAAGGTCTGATGCAGCGAGACTTGAAAGCAACATATACGAAGCTGAATGCAGAGAAGATGTCTTCCAAATCGTGACTAGAATCACCGCGTTCCCGAACAGGGCTGTGGCACTGAGAATCATATTAATCACGCCTATTGCTAGGGTGTGCCTCAACTCGTTTACAGCTTGGGCGTGGAATTTGAAATTGAAGTCTTCACCAGAAAGGTTCATGTCGGAAATATTGAAGTGCATTGCGAATAAACATATAGACCCTCTTGATGCATGTATGGACGTATGGCCTGGGTGCTTTACTTTGCAGTCAAGAAAAAAAAAATTGCTCCAGGATTGAATGTGCTTATATTTTTCTATGTGATTGGTCGACAAAAGCTCGCATTACTTCCTCAACCCATCAGAGACACAAAACTTCCACTAATCCCGAGTCAGTCGCTCGCCTTTCTTGCGGTTCAGTAAGTTTGCTTTTTTTCGCTCAAAGTCCTCACAGGCTCCCTGTAATACTCAACTTGTTCGTATCGACTATTGCGGTAACATTGGTTTTCATTCTTACACCTTGATTTGGTTTTGATTTTTCTACCAAAATGGGCTATATTTTAATAATCATCTTCAGTTGATCATTATCATTTTAACGTCTGTTTGTTAAATGGGCTTTATTTTGATAATGCAGCTTTTTTTACTTATGATTGTTTTATCATTTGTTCATAACTTCAGAGAAACAATTACGACACGAAATTCAATTTTTTACATGCGCCACTACTGTTTTACTGGCTTTGAATCATTAGTCTTGTTTGTAATTTCTCTCAAAATTATGAGCGTCGAGCCATCTATGAATGAAATCAATTAAGAGCATTGAAATTTCATCTGAATAAGAGTTTTGTTCAGGATTGAGACTTATTTTACACCGGATATTAATTTGTATAGTCGAAATAAAACAAAGACATTTTTTAAAAAATAATTTTGTTAGAAAATAAACACAATTATTTAAAATAAAAATCCTATTTCCTTCAGCAGTCAATACAATAGGTAGCATATGATAAATAAAACAACCATCTCCTCTTTAGAAACTCGTCATTTCAGGATACCTAAAAGTGAACAAAACTGTTTGGTAAATTATTGCTTTGGCAACAAATAATATCTAACAAGAAAAGAAAAAACTATCCTAAATAAACAGACATCGCCAAAGATAGACAACTGTGGCTGAAGAACTGAATTAATCCAAGTACGTTTAGTTTTGCTGATTGAGGCGACACTGTAGAGGGTCCTTTGATAGATATTAAGTAAATATACTTATATTATTGCCGTATTGCACAGTTTGGTGATAAGGATAGAACAGCTGAACCGCAAGACGCCATATCTTTCACTGGAAGCGCTCTCAGTTGCTCGTTGTTCTATGGAGGCCAACACAAGTCAACCTGTGAATGATGATCAAATCCCTACGAACACTGGTCAATATCTAATTTATAGTTTAACAGGGTGTGTTATCATTGTTATTCTTAGTATTATCACTCTGTTCGGGAACTCTGTGATTCTGATAACTATTTGGAAGACGTCTTCTTTGCATTCAGCATCGAATATTTTATTGTCAAGTCTTGCCGTATCAGACCTTGCCATTGGTTTGGTTGTTCAGCCTTTATTTATTGTGTATTTACTAGCTCCTCTCGGTTCTGAACTGCTACATGTTTTGTCTATCTTTTTGTCGACACCTTCATTGATGATCATTACAGCGATTGGAGTCGACCGTTTGCTTGCTCTCCAGTTCCATTTGAGATATATTCAAGTGGTAACGCCTCTTCGTGTCAAGTCGGTTGTGAGTTTCATTTGGCTTCTCTCTGCTGCTATTGCAAGCTCCAAACTTTGGGCGGGATATTTCTTTTATTTAATTCCACCCGCGACCTTTCTATGTCTTCTTGTGGCAAACTTTTTTGTTTATTCTAAAATATACTGCGTTGTTCGACGCCACCGAAGGCAGATTCAACAACAACAACAACTACAGCAAGGAAGTAATGACAACGTTTATAGGATTCTAAGGCTCAAGAAATCGGCTTTAAAAACATTTCTTTTGTGCATCATACTTTTGTTATGTTATTTGCCCTACTCGGTGTGCATTCACTTGCTAATGTTACGCGCTGTGGATTCCATCTCCGCAAGTGTACTTATCACAACAATCACGTTGGTCTTCTTAAACTCAACCCTAAATCCCTTAATTTATTGTTGGAGAGACAGTCAAATTCGTGCAGCCGTAAAGCAACTGTTTTACAGTTTAATCTAATTAATCTTAGCCTATTCATCAGTTTGAATAAAAATACGAGGCGCAACAGCGGAGCCCCATAACAAGAAAAGTATAACTCATTAAGCCGATACCACTTGGTTTCCAAATGATGGCTGTACGTCTGTCCGTCTATTTGCATATAAAACTGTGTTCGCTTGAGAAACTTTGAAAAAATAAGGGCAGCAATAGCTAAATAACTGGAGCAACGCTAAAGGTTAATATTACCCATGCAACTCTAAGATAGGAAATCGCGTGGAGAGGAGTAGGAGTGTTCTATAGTTTCGATTATCAGTTTTTTGTTTTGACGGAGATCATTTATTAGGTAAATTATTTGCATATGTGAGAAACTTCGACTCTCGTAGTATTCATAATTAAATTTAATAAATCATACATTAGCCTTCATATGAAACACAAAGGAAGAGAAAAATCTTAGCGGGCGATAATATAAGTTGTAGAAAAGAAGATTAATTCGGGCTTCGACAGGATTCAAACCTACATCTTCCAGATACTGGCTGGGTACTGCAGTCAAATGAACTTAGAGCATAATCTGCATTTCTTTTAATTAATAACCGCACATCAAAAGGGCAGACATAATTATTCGGTGGTCCAAAAAATCCCCAGTTACTCTCGAATTCGCCTGTAGAACAGGCGTAATTGTTTGTGTTTTACAAGCGAACGGAGACAAGCGCTAGACGGGCACGAAGAAATTTTTTATTTACTGTTTACTTATTTATTTATCTTGCGCTCTCTCCCTTGTGCATGACCCGCACTTTGCGCCGTCTTGCAATTGCCTCCGATCGACTGAAAAACTGAAAAAGAAATATGCCTGTTCTGTAAGCCATTCTCGGATCGACTGGGAACGAACACAAGTTACTACTTCGTGTAAAGAATATTCAAAGCCATGTAACCAGGCTATTCTTGCCGCGTCCTTATATCAAGCATGGCGCCTTCACCTACAGTGGCTCCTGTGAGCAAAATGTTGTCGTTTTCTCGCCTGATTCTTTTCTCGGTGCTTATCGTTGTATTTAGGTACTCGTCGTCAACGAAAGCTCAAGATGTTGTTGGTTGCGGAGGATTCGTTCAATCAGACGTGGACATCAACTACTCTCTTATACAGGTGCGAACAGGCATGCCGGTTGACGATCGATTATAACATACACTTTAATTTAAGCTTCATCAGTCGAATGCTCGTTCGTGTTTCGGATTTTGTAATTTTTTTTTTTGGTATTCCGAATGTAATTCTAAATGTTTAAAGATAGAAAAGGAATCCCTTCATTTTGAATCTGTTTTTAGTACCTATAATTCTCTTTAATTTATTCCAATTCAGAATGACAGATTTTAATTGAACATATTGGACTGTCTTCGAGACAGGGTGTTCTTTAGTCACGGAACGCTCAATAAGTAATATTATTTGGAGTAGCTCTCCTAGATGATATCTCTATCGATCAAATGGGTTTCTTTATCTGTGACAGTAGACACGATTCGCCCCAAAATAGTTATGTTATTTTCCTTAAGGGCGTTGTGGCGTGATTTTCATGTGATATGTATTATCTCCTGTAAAGGTGCATGTTTGGTCGTTAAAATTAATTTTTAAATAACCCATTGTAACTTTCTGGCATGCTGACAATAGCAGTCTGACTTCATATCTGTGAGATATGAGCTTACCTAGATTTTCTATTTTATCACAATTTGTTGGAGCAACAAGTTTTGAAACTAACAACAATGAAATGATAATCATAGTGCTAATGATGATAATAATAATAATAATAATAATAATGGTAACTATGATAATAGTCTTACATTAATGACAATGATATGCATTTAAAACTAAAATAAAATTGAAAAATAGGTGAACTGTAGAAGCTTTTGAAGTGATAGAGAAAAACTGAAATACCTTCCATGAGGGGAAACATCAAAACTGAAAGACACAACTTAGAGTAAAGAACAATCCAAATGAAAAATGGAAAAGTACATGCGAAATCATGAATCAGGGAGGTCCCACTTCAATTTCAGGGGGACCTTATTTCAACCATATGGGAGTGAAGTAAGGGGTACCCCCTAAAGGTGTTTCAATGTACTTGTCGAGTATAGTCAGTGAAAAGAAAGATGAAGCGAACACCAACTGAGACACTAAGAAGGGATATCTTTTTAGGAGCTCTTATATCAGTCTAGTTAACAATTATGTTTTGAAATCCTTTATTTAAAAATAATTCATCTTGAAAGTAGTAATTATGCTTATAATAGGCACAATATTTTGCACCCATTTGATGCATAGTGGCAAGTTTTATACTGCATATTACCTCAAATTTTGAAAATCCTGCAGAGCCCCAGTAATTAGTTATGATAATTTGGTGTTGGATCAAGATAACAACTTCTACTTGACAAGTTTACACCTATTTGATGCATAGTGGCAAGTTTTATACTGCATATCTCCTCAAATTTTGAAAATCCTGCAGAGCCCCAGTAATTAGTTATGAGAATTTGGTGTTGGATCAAGATAACAACTTCTACTTGACAAGTTTGAGTATTCTTGCTACCTGTTTGCACATAATGTGAGAACATGTTACATGTTAATCACATTTGGGAGTTAACGGGCTAAAATAATTAATATTTTTTTCTTTAAATTGTCATTAGATGAAGCTGTTAACCAAGCAGGGAATCATCAAGTCTCAAACAGAATGTGCACCAAACAATGGGTACTTTCTCATTCCATTGTATGACAAGGTAATTGTTACTACCACATTATTTGTGTTGCTTCTTCCATGATGCTGTGGGATTTCAGAGTTTGAGTGCCATGTTGGACTGGCTGACTACCCGCCTCTAGCTAGGGGAAGTTGAAGGAGGGGGTTGACACACTTCCATCTGGATGCCATGTAAAGATATGTGGATACATTAAAACTATATGTATTTGTGATTTTAAAAAAAATTGAGTCAATACAAATTAAATCTGTGAGCCTAGCTACCATTTCATGTTCATGGGTTTAATTGAACACTGAATTTTGTCACATACAGACAAATATAACAATGCCCAAACTATAATGAACACAACTCACATGCATGTGTATTTTCATAACTGTTACCTGAGTTCAGTAGCCCAACTCAGGATATATGCATAATATTGAATATATGACCACCTACATGTAGGCCCAGTTGTTCAAAGAGTGGTTAATGCTATCCAATGGATAAATTGCTTTCCATCATATAACTGCTAAGAAAATGTACTGCACTATCCACCAGATAGAGATTTGTCCAGTGGATAGGGTTATCCAACCAATGAACAACCAGGGCCTAAGCCTTTAACTCCCATGAGTGACCAAGACAGAATTTCTCCTTACAATATCAATACAATATCAACCAGATAAGTAATGAGAATTAAAAAAAATATCAATTTGGGGATAACTAGTTGATGTAATACTAAATTCTCTGAACTAACACTATAAGAATAGTATGGTTAACAGTAAGCAGAATTAAAAATTTGATTCGGGAGTTAAAGGCTTAATCTACCCATGTCAAATTTTATTCCCTTTTTGTGCCTCTAACATCAGAAAATGCCTCATTAAGTTGGAAATGAAATCAACATTTTTTTTTTGTATCCCTAATTATAGCATTAAATGTGTATAACTGAATGATGCTTTTTGTCTCACACAATTTAGGGAGTATTTATGTTGAAAATTGAGCCTCCTGTTGGTTGGAGTTTTGGTAAGAAAGTTAAAATTATATCCTATGCGTTCTATTTGCAATTGGACAGTTTGAGTAAGTGGTTGTGAATATATGGAAGTCATATATTTGAACTGCAGTTAAAGACATGAATATGAAAGCAATCTTCGCAGTAATGAACACTTCTTAAGTAGTAGTGAAAAGCAAGCCTTAAAAAAAAAAAAATTCAGACCTTCTTTTCACTACTACTGTACTTAAGTAGTGTTCATTACTGTGAAGATCGCTTTCATATTCAAGTTTGAGTAAGTGTTGAATAAATGGATAATTGAATTAATATTTCCTTTCCTTCCCCCCTCCTGCAGATCCAAACAGTGTGGAATTAAACATAGATGGTACCACAGATAGATGTAGCAAAGGAGAGGACATAAACTTTGTGTTTACTGGTTTCACACTCTCTGGAAAGGTTGGTCTCAAATTCCTAGAAATTGGTTGTGTAGTCTGTTAGTAGTTCTTGGAGGGCTGCGAGCATCAGAGTGACCAGCATCTAATTTCTCCCTACAATATCACTCCTGAATCACACATTGAGGTTATGAGAAGAAAGGAAATGTTCACCAGGGAAGAAATCTTTTGATCGGCAAACAAATTCTCCTTGTCAGCACCTTAGGAAATGTATAAAGAACAGTGTGGGGAATATTTATACTGATGTTAGGGTGTATAGGGTTAAGCATCTAAAAATGATTTTAATTCCAAGTTTAGTTCAGATTTTAAGTAGAGCTGTATCACTTTTCCTGCATTGAACTTGAGGCTGGTAATTTGTTTGATAAGAAGAGGGATTTATTGAGATATGAGAAATTGGATATTTGTTCAGCCAAAAATGGATTGTCTTTGAGTAAACATAGGTTTTGGCTAGACAACTTGACTGGAGCCAGCAGGGAAATTATTTCAAGCTTTGATTAGGTATTGCAGTCAGTTTGATTGCCACCTACTAGATTCTTTAACCCTTTACACCCTAACATCAGTATGTATATTCTCCATACTATTTTCCATACATTTCTTAATATGCTGACAAGGAGAAATTGTTCTCCTTGAGTCAAGAGCTTCTCTACAGGAGTAGTTGGTGATCATTTCCTTTATTCTTGTGACCCTAATGTGTGATCCAGGAGTGATATTGTAAGGAGAAATTAGATGCTGGTCACTCAGAGGTCATGGGGTCAAAGAAGTGCAAACTGTTAACTGTTATATACATTATACATTGTTAATCAAAGCTTTGGTAAACAGGTTGTCAGTAAAGGTAGAGGACTTGGACCATCTGGAGTGGAAATTTCTCTGCAGGAATCAGCAGGTTTGTTTCATGTTTATGTGAAAATGCATTCAGTAGCTCACATGTGTTGATACACTGAGACATTTATGTACATCTGTACTGATGTGATTTTAATTTGGAGTAGACTTTGTTAATTGAAAAGTGACCCTAGAGGTTTCTGAAAGGAAAATAATCAATGTATATTTTTGAAACTGTCAATTAATGCCTACTTTTTTTTAAGGTGATAAACAAAGGAAGACAGTCACTGCAGAAGGAGGATTGTAAGTTAAACTATGTGCTACAATATGAGTATTAAAAACTAGCACACTATTTAAGACCTAATAAAAAAATGATTATTATCCAAAACTGAAACATGTGAAGCATTTTAAATATGTTTCTTGTTTCATGGTTGAAATTATTTCAAATGTGCATATAAAAGTTTCTTTCAATACATTTACATAAATACATGTATGTATTTTGACCAGCCATTTTCTTTTCAAAAGAAAACACTTCTAGGTACAGCCTACTTAAAGCCAGCCACTTTGCAGAAGCATTTCCTTCTTCTTGACATTCTCACAATATTGAACAGTGTTACATGTTCAAACTATACACAAAGTAGTGAGTGTGCAAAGGTGTACTCATGTATTCACTTAAGACAGTGTATAACTGCACATGTATGTTACAACGTTGGTCAGTCAGTTGGCAATCATCTACAAGAGCTTTTTATTTTCTTGACAAATGGAATATATCATATCACTTATTTTTGAAAATTGACTGCTAATTACTAAAAAAATTTGGTTATTAATTCATTATGCCCATTCGTTTTGCAATGGAAGATTTGTTGTTATCGTTACAACTCTGATCTCTCTAACATTGATCAATAGTTTCAGTTTTTCTCAAGTCATGCCTGGAAAATACCATGTGAAGGCTAGCCACTCCTCATGGACTTTTGAAAATGTAAGTTTACAATGTATAACAAGTGGTAAATTAATGGTGGTAAATTACTGGTATGTAGTAAAAGAAAAGGAAAGACATGCTGACATTTGACTTATGAGTATAAGTTGTGGAAACTATGAAAAAGTCTTCTAAACTTTCTTCCTGAATTCTGAAAATACATGTACTACCTTTGGCCAAAAAGCAGCTTATTTATTACTGCATCTCACTTTCATTGAGAGGTTTCAATTTAGACAATATTCCATTAGCAAATCATGTTTCAGTTGAGTTAAATTTAGGGAGCTGGATCCAGAGAGAAAGTGAAATTCTTTCCATACATGCATTAGTTAAAACTTGCAGTGTGCAAACCCAGCTAATTTTGTTTGTAGCAGAGCAACTTATCTTTTAAGCAGGAAAATGTTATGGTGTGTACAACATTAACTGGGTTAGCACATTGGAAATAGAAATTATTATGGCGTACATAACGTGAATTTTTCACTCAACTAGCTCTTTCATGATTTTTTTTAATTCATCAGGCTGAAGCAGAGGTGACAGTGGAGTCCAGCAATGTTGATGTTGTTGATAAGATAGTAGTTTCAGGATATGATGTTAAAGTAAGTGCAGATAATTCACATACCTTATTGTTTAGATCACATACTTGGTTACACCACACTAAAAATTGTTGGACCTACATATATATGTAAATTAAAAGTATTAATTGTTTTTTTCCAGGGTCATGTTTTGAGTGATGGTGAACCTATTCAAGATGTTGGATTTCTTCTGTTCTCTAAATCTGTAGACCAAAAGGTATGAAAAAGTGAATCTGTTAAGGACATGACTTGTTTACATAATGATATCATCAACTGGGCTTTGAGATAGACTTAAATAATGGTTTTTTGGCTTTAACTTTTCACTCAATGTACGTGTTATAATCAATTCTTTTGTTAATTTATGGAATGCTAAAATGATTTTTGTACCATTCATTTTGTCTGAGCGACCAGCTCTTTAGTTGTACTTAAAAATGCCAGTTTTGATTCAAGTAGTGACAAATGTGCTACTTGATTGATGGAAATGTACATGTTTGAGTGGAGACTAGACTTTTCAAATATACCTGTAGGCATTAATTGTCAGCAAAGCATCTGTGCCACAAGTACATGTATTTCCAATAGGATGATTGTCCACCAATAAGAAAAAACATGTTCATTTTTCAGAACTTTCCTGGATGTGAAGATATCCCCCCTGACGTAGTAGAGATCATTAAAACAAAAATGGAGGTTGATGTGCCTCTTTGCCGTGTCAAGTCTGGTGTTGATGGACTGTTTGTCTTCCCCAGCATTCCGAGTGGAGAGTACACACTGGTAAAAACAAAATGATTGTAGAGAGAGATGTTTTCTTTTGTTTTGTCATCACTGTAAGACTACAAAAAAATTCTGAGTTCCCATGAGGAATGAAGAACTTTAGATTTCTGCACTGGCATGGTCTACATTGAATTTATCAATGGTTGATTCACATGCAAATAAATTCTTTATGTTCTCTTTTTTTAGGTTCCATATTACCAAGGAGAACTTATAACATTTGATGTGGTTCCCTCAAAGCTTACTTTCTCTGTCAATTACAAGAGTGTTGTGTTGAAGGTGAGAACATGACTCAATTCTCCAAACTAATATTGTAAGAAATGTATGGTTGACAGTGAGGAGAATTACAAATTTGATATGAGAGTTGAAGGGTTTACTTAATGAATTACTGTTACTAAAAAATCATAGCATATTCTGAAATGAACTCAGTCTTGTTCAAGCTGACAATTCTCTTAGTGGTTGTAGACAACACAGGATTGGATTATATCAAGGAATTGTAGTCTGTTTTAATGAATCATCAAGTTGGATTTAATACAAAACTCTTCATGTAGTGGAATAGTTGCTGCTGTATGCATTGGCAATAATTTCTGTGCATTGAATTCAAGGAGTGCAGTTAATTCACTGGTAATGGATCAATCAATTCAATATATATGTTGTCTAAACCTCTCATCAATACTTCTTCTCTTTTACCTGCATGCAGACTCCATTCCAAGTGCATGGATTTTCCGTTACTGGTCAAGTTCTCACAGCAGAGGTAAGACAGGTAGTTTTCCCCCCATAGAGGGAGAAAAAAAAGAAGATTTTACTCTAGCAGAGGACAGTGCAAGGTACATGTATGAATAACAATCTTGTTATGATTTTTTGAAGGGGCAAGGTATTGCAGATGTGAGCATTACAGCTGGTGAAGAAATTACTGCAAAAACAACTGCAGAAGGTGTTTATGTGTTAAATAATGTTACAGCTGGAGCTTACACTATTCAGGTGAGACATTGATAAGGTTTAACCTTTTCTAAAATGTTGAAGTGCTGAGTACCATGAATGCTATGCATGCTATGAATCACTTTGTTTGTGCCTTACTGTTTACTATTCAAGAAATGTAATCAATCAGGTGGTTCATTCTTTTTCTAAGGATTTTTGTTTTTGTAACAACAACACAAGTAGGAGTCTTCCATTCAGATTGATTTAGAACTGGAGACATTAGTCATTGCCATCGATAACAACCCTTGAATCAGATAATGGATTCTGTTCAAGCTGTTAAAAATCCAGTCATTGAAAAACAACCTTTTCAGGATTACCCCAAACTAAGAAGTGGCTCATCATGACCAAATGTCACTCCCTGGTTGGTTATGTTAATGTAAGCAGAATATCTCTGCCAATGGGGTTTTCACATTTGCAGGCAAGCAAAGAACACTTCTTTTTCAACTCCATTAAAGTTCAAGTGACTCCAAACACTCCTAGGCTACCAGAGATAACTCCACAAGCGTAAGTTTAGACTGATTGGAAAATTCTCTAAGTTTTCTTGATAATGGATTTATATATTTGTTTACTTTATAGTAATAAATGTCTATCATTTACAGACAAACTGTCAAAACAGTACCATGCAAAAGCAAAAAGTGAAAGTTTGGACAGTCGTATGACATTAATTTTTTCAGATGGAACTTTTACAGTTTACATTTGTCCAGTTATCTTGTATCATTTTTAAATCTACTGATCCCTATTTCAGTGTGTTTTTATGAATATACTGTAAAAATGGTTTATATATTTATATTCATCCATAGACATTTTTTTTGTTTGTTGCAGATATCATTTGTGTGGGGCTCTTAAATTTGATGAGTTTCCTCCTGGAGTCACTCAGGTACGCATAGTTATTTTTCTGTTGACCAACCCACATGAAGTAAATGCTATACTTTTGGCATAAAATAGGTTGTGGTTTTTCATTGTGGTAAATAACACTTCAAAAGGGAAACATAATTGTTTGTCTCGCGATGTGGTCACTTCAGATGTGGAACACGACTTTGCGACTGCTTATTGCTAGTCTTCCACAGGTGATGAGGTGTTTTAGTCTAACCTTCAACTTTGCAGTACGACATTTTGGAAAAAATAAGCTTGGAGCCCTGTCTCAGAGCAGGCTTGCACTGAGTAACTGATGTGCTCTGTAAGAAGCCACTGGTGTTGGGATTTGATCATCTCTAAGCTCTTGTTTTCTGTAATAGAATTAAAAAAATGAAATGACAAAAGGAGTCTTTTTAGTTGAACCTGTGATATAATTACAGGAAAGAGAGATCATTGCAAGGATTAAAAGAATTTGAGGTGCGTTCAAAGATGTGCAATTTTGCAATATTAATTATTGATTCTTTATTCTGTTTTTTTACCTGATGAAGTTGAAAGGACGTAAAATGATTCTACAAACAGAAGGAGCTTCGATTGCCACAAGGTCAATGTCTACCTCAGTTGATGAAAATGGCAACTTTTTCTTTAAAGTATCACCAGGGACTCATACGATTCAGGTAACAAGATAGTAAGAAAAAGGATATATCACTCTGCCATAAATAATACTGATATCCTAAAAACTTTATAAATCAAAGAAAAATAGTGAGTAAAATCAGAAGTTAGTGTCCAAAATTGACAATTGGATGCCAGTGTCCAAAATCAGAAATTGAACATTAGTGTATAAACTTGGAAGTCGGACTCTAGAGTCTAAAATCACAAATCAGACATCAGTGTCCAAAATCGGAAATTGGACACTAGTGTCCAAAACCTGAAATCAGACTCTTGTGTTTAAAGTTGGAAATCAGTGTCTTAAATTGGGAATTAGACACTAGTGTCCAAAATTGGAAATCGGACACTAGAGTTGACATGTGAGACACCACCTATTGTGTCCAAAACCGGATACTGGTGTTTAAAATCGGACACTAGTGGCAAAAGAGGCGGACATTTCTCCAAATCCCTTGTTTACTAAATCGCAGCGAATGCTTTTTGACAACAAATTTGTTCTTCTACTCATACTGACTTACTTAATATTGTATTCATTTATTTCTTAGCCAATAATAACCATGCAAGAAGTCGCCGCTGGCTTGGCATTGACCCCCAAAGAACAAGTAGTGACAATAAAGAACAGTCCCGTTCTTGGTATAACATTCTCACAATTCAGGGCAACTGTTACTGGGACTGTCAAGTGTATTGGTAAGTTGTTGCCAACATGTAGATGAGCTGTAGTTTGTTATCAGTATCAGGAGAAAGATTTCGTACTAAGTTTGAAAAACTTTCCGAGCATATGAGGTTTCATGTAACCTGTATGTTCCTAGTAGGCATTCCATTAAAAAGATGAAAGTCTGGTAGGGAAAAGATTTCTTGTACCCTTAAAAACTTTCGTGTATTCAATCCAATGGCTACCCACACAGACAAAGGTGACTCTCTTTTTGCAGTGAAATGTTTCAAATTTTCATAAAATTGCCTTATTCAAATGTACAATTAACAGTATGAGTGACACGCATTTCTACCTCGTTAAAGTAGTTCATTTTTTTATTGCTTGTCTACACAGGTGGCTCTTGTAGCGGGGTATCTGTTACACTTCAATCAGTGTCAAATCCAGGCCTTCCAAAAGCAGAAGTCCAGGTAAAGATATGTTTTTGTTCATCATTGCATTGATTATTTTGGGTAAATTAATACCCCATTGACACAGAAAAACGTGTTTAATGAAAGCGGGTTTAACTGAATTAAAATCAGAAACAGAAAACTGAAAAACTGATTTATCTTTAGGTTTCAAGCAGTCAATAACTTTTAATTTCAATGTGCTAAATTTCAAGTCGACGGACATCAGTCTAAGCAGCTTATACAGGGTAAAACAGAAAACCACCGCATACATTCTAATGAGCTTCTTTTGCGCGCGTTTTAAAAAGCTGCAGGCGTGTGTGCGTTTTTTTAAACGCGCTTTTCGCGTGCATTTTGGGCCTTGTACCTCTGAGCTGTACTGCATGAAGAAAACAATTTTCAACTGCATTTAACAAAACAGTTTAAGAATATCTTAAAGCTTTGGTGTGAATGGGGTATTAGTCACTTAACTTTTCATGTCCTGCTCTTCCGCTCAAAAATAAGTTACCATTAAATATAACATTAATTGCAGGTGGCTGAAACTTCTTTTATCTTTAAAGATGTCTTTCCTGGAAAATATAAAGGTATTATCTTGTCTTAAAAGAACTACATTTGGTTTGGACTTCTTCAAAAACGTAGCTAGGGTTTTTCTGGCCATCTTTAACCACGTTCATTTTACTTTAATTTTGATGTTTCTTTCTCTTCAAAGGTGATTCTTTATGACTCAAGAGTTTCACGGGGGGGTGGGGGGTGGGGTGGCAAAGAAACTTGTTCTCATGTCTCGCTAATCGGTGACGATATTTATCTGCGCTGTCAATTGTGGAAGGCTTTTACAATTACAACATTTCACCTTGATAAGGTTGATCATTTTCATGGTTTTCAGTGTCAGTGTTAGAGGAATCTTGGTGCTGGGAAAGTTCATCGTTTGAGTTCCAAGTATCTGAAGCAGACGTCTCTGACCTTCAGTTTGTACAGTCTGGATATATTTTAAAGTGTATTCTATCTCATGACATAACATTGGTAAGTACTGCAGTACTCTATACAACAACTTTTTTATGATATACAATTGCCTTGTGTATTCTATATTTGCTATGCACGTTTGTGTTCACTTTTGTACCATCGGTGTTATCAAAAGATAAAATAATCTTTGTCTGTAAAGAAAAAGATTATCATATCTTACCTAGTAACCTAAATCTCAGACTTTATGGCCATCTGAAAATCATGTCAACCCTACTCTTTTCACAGGCTCTTCGCTCTGACGAAGGGCGAACGCTCGAAACTTCAGCTTTTTAACTCTTCACAATGGTCAATTTACGCTATCAACTCAGTTGATAATACTATGTTACCCTGTTATACTCTCCCATTGTCGCAGCACCACAGTTTCTTTAGAAACTTACCCCCTTTATTCATTTGTTTTTCTACTACAAACCCCCCCCTTCTCCCCCCTTAAAAAAAGGCCATTTTAGGGGGGGAGGCGAATGGAAGTGTTTGACTTTGCAGACATCTGATGAAGTAGAATCTGTTTGTTTTGGATAGCAAACGACAAAGTTTGATGGCATAATTTCAATCATGGATTTACGACTTATCGCTTGACCGTCCTATAATTAGTCTTGTTAAGTTAGGTTTTTGAAGTCGCCACAAGTACGTTTCTGCCCATGTATTCGTACCTTGTTCGAAAACAGCTCTTCCACAATTTTATCCAAGTGATCTCTCGCTCAGTTTTGAATGAAAATTGGTCTTGCAGCCATTGTTAAAATGTTATGCTGTGTTTTGAGAGAACAGAGAAAACGTTTTGTCATGATGCAAGTGTGTTTGTGTTCCAATAGGGTATAATTAGCGACCACTCACAGCAGATGTACAATTCAGTTCATTGTAGACAAATGATGACTGGAGGAATTTTACTAAAAATTTATTTTCTCCGCAGTTTTTCTCACTTGAGTCTCACAAAGAAATGGTGGACTCCTTTGACTTACCAAAGGGAACCAAGACTTTTTGTCTGAAGGAGCCAGGTAACAGATTTTCTACCCCACGAACGTTGTGGGGTGCCTGTCCATTTTGAAGTCACTTGTATTTCTTGTTAGGATAGTCATCTGGAACTTTTTGTCACACTTCTAACGCTCAAGAATGGTTTAGAGAAGAATATTGTAAATTCTTTGACGGCTCCACGTCTAAATTAACTAAAAAGGCAGAGGCATCGACATTTAGTCAAAGAATTCTCTGATCTCCGATCTCCAAACACCCTGTTAACGTAGCTTTCAAGTCGTAACCAGGCAGTTCGTGAGGAATGCATGTAATATATTTAACTCTGGTACATTTGCATTTGTGTATCGTTTGGATATATGTGTAACACTGAATTTTAAACCTTCAGGAGTAGCCAACAAAAAATTTATAGTCATCAGTAGGAAGAGTTAGAATTCTAGATCTCGGTAATCGTAATACAACATATAACTGCAGGTCTTCAATTAACGCTCTATTCGCTGTGACGAAGGACTAACGCTCGAAATGTCAGCTGTAGAATCTCTTAACATTATCAACTCAGTTGAAAAACCTAATTATCGTGTGATACACCACCCGGCCCTCCCCCACCGTTACATCACCACAGTTTCTTTAAAAACTTTCCCCCTTTTTATTCATTGAACTTATTTCAGTTTGTTTATTGTGATGTGCAGGAGTTTACAACCTGATGCCACGTTCATGCCATCAGTTTGAGCAAGAAGTGTTCAAGTATAATACGTAAGTTTGCTCATTGTTAGTGAAGAGAAATGAAGGGAACAATGCACATAACCCGTTTTCAGAGAAGGAAAACTCAAGTAGCAAAGCCGCTTGTTATTTTAATTTTGCGTTCGATTGATTGAAGGGTGGTGCAATTTTCTAGATTCCATCGCAGAGCACAGTGAACAAAGAACTGTGATCTAAGAACAAGTTCTCATTAACTGGCTTAATTCCAACGACATATTTTTGTTTCCAGCTCTGCGCCATCTGTGTTGACATTGACAGCCATCAAACATTTGCTCTCTGGCACAGTCAAGACTCAGGAACCTATGAGTGACATTTCAATAAAAATCAGGTTTGAGATGGTTTTTGTGATGTTCATGGCAAGTTTAACTTTTACGGCTGTTTTTCTTCGTTGTTATAAGATTTGACTTCTAACCCTGCAAGTTAGTCAGGAGAGTTTCGTGTCATATCAAAGATCTTTTGTGACAAAGTTGAAAGCAGGACAGAAAATGATGTTCGAGGTTCTTTGACTTGCCTACAGTTAGGCTGTCGCTAAGATCATAGCTGTGATAATCTTGGGAATTATTGGACATGCTTCCGCTTACTACCTTAGGGTGCATTCTTTAGTTACAGTCGTATAGCAGTGTTTAGTTGTTTTCCTTGTTTGGGTGATAATATATTGATAGTCCAAGACGAACTTACACTTAAAAAAACAACAACAGAATATGGTAAATTTTAATTTTTTGTGTAACAAGGTCCCTGAAGTCCAAAGAAGTCACCATCCTTGGACCACTGAAACCGGAATCAAATGAAAAGAAAGATTCCAGTGATGCAAACAGTAGCAAACCAGACGAGGAAAAACAACAGCTTTCATACAACTTTTCACATTGGGGAAGGTAAATGAATGCTGGTGCAGTGGTTTTTGTTTTCTTTTTCATCGAGTGGTGAAAGGCTAGACTTAAAACCACATACACTTCCGATTGATAGGCACAGTGTATTGTGGCCTTTATAATGCTTTTATCATGTAATCCCGCGTACAGGCAATTGTCAAGTTAAATTTTGATTTTCTTGTACAAAGTGCACGAGTAGATTAGCAAAGGATTTCTCTTTTTTTTTTTTCAGGCGCGGCGAGGAATTTGAAATTACCCCAGTGTCTTCTGAACTGTTGTTTTACCCTGAGAATAAACTTGTCACCATCTCTGGTAAGGGACCAAAATATTAACCAGTCGCGAAAACATGGTCTGGATAAGCTAGTTTTGCAATCGAATGGAAATCAAATTCTCGAATCGAATCGAACTGATATATGTCTATATATATATATATATATATATATATATATATATATATATATATATATATATAATATAATATATATATATATATATATATATATATATATATATATATATATATGGTGTTAAAAGGTTAATCGTGATTGTGAAGAATATCCTTGTTTGATGGGAAGCACAAGGTTGACGAGGGCGTACGAAAACTAGGAAAAAAATAGTATCTGCTCTTTCGCATGTTATGACCAGAGATGTGTGTTTTTTTTATCTTTGTCAGATGACTGTCCGGCAGCATGGGCTGAGTTTGAAGGAAGAAAGGGTGTGTTCATTGAGGGACAAATCACCCCTCCCCTAAGTGGCGTGCAGATTGTCATTTCCTCAGGCGGAGAGGAGCCGATTACCGATATTAAAGTGGAAACAGACACGAATGGAAAATATAGGTTAGTGTAACGATTTCTTGATGTGAAATCCATGATAAACAGCAAGCACACAAAGCCTTTCATAAAGCAGATGGACAAACAGACAGACGAGATGACATTAATCCGAGCTGATAAGTGCACGAAGAGTTTGTCGCGGTTTACATATTTTACCACTGAGATTAAGAAGAGATAGAAGGCAGATTTTAATTAATCTCAAAGATCACGTCTTTCGCAAGAAATTCATGGTGTGGTGATCATTTTTCAATCCTTATCTTGGTATCTGTGCGGTAACACTCACTGAGACTAATGCTTTTTTTCTGAAACAGGGTGGGTCCCTTGCATGGTGGCGTTGAATACTCGCTGGTGAGTAGTGTGGAATAAGTTTTATTACATATCTCCATTAGGATGTGCGCAATGATTGGTCAATTTAGCGGTTCGTATTTCACTGTATGGCCCGCGAAATTCAAAAGTTTATTTAATTTGAAATCTGCCCTCTCCATTTGAACCCAGAGATATCATTCCTAGAGCTTTTTTTTTTTTTGAGGAGGTAACTTTTCTATTTTGCTACGAACGGGTGATGAGAGGAGACATATCTATCAGCAGGAGAGGCTCGTTTTAATATTACACCAAATTCTCTAAGCCGATTTAAGAGAAAGTTTTGAGGATCTAGAAAGAGAATTATGAATCAGATTTAAGGTTTGTGTCATTATTTGTGCCTGTATTTTTTATTCACAGGCTGCGAGCAAAGCAGGTTTTGTACTCAGTCCTGCGGCTGGTAAGAAGGGAGATTTTCAAGCGCTGAAGCTTGGGCAGATTGACATTACGGTAAGAGCGACTGGGGGTGTAAACTTACTAACGTCGCTTAAAGTTTTTTTATCAGCTGTTTTGTCAGACAGTAAGCGTTCAACTTCCTTGATGCGATTGACCACTAACTTCTCTCCACAATTTCAGTTCGTTATCCAGGAAGCTTGTGATGAGAATCGACAACAGCGTCAGCTTAAGGATGTTTTTCCTGATTTTAAAACCAAATTTTTAAACTAGTTTACAAATACATATAAAAGAGATAGAAGGAAATTACCTGACTTATCAGATCAAGCAAGTTTATGAATTAACTAATTTTGTATGAATCATTCAGGTATTTCAAAGTTTTCTTTTGTATTTGTTAAAAGTTAACATAAAAATTGGCATTGAAACTTTGGCTTCTACGCTTAAAATTTGTTTCAGTTTGTTTATTTATTGATTTGTTCTATTTCAGGTGACAGATGAAGACGGCCAGCCATTATCGGCAGTTCTTTTGTCACTCAGTGCAGGACAGTTTCGCAGTAACAATCTCACTCTAGAAAATGGCTCCATGGTCTTCACCAACTTGGTTAGTACAGTTAGTGATGCAAATGTTCCCATGGAGGCTTCATAGAGTTTGAAAACCGAGCGGAAGCAAGTATACGAACGCGTACATTATTGTAGTTGCTTGGGAAACCACCTTGATCAATCAGTGACTGAGGGAAAGCAAAGCTAAAGAAATCTCGGAATCCTTTCGACATTCAACTGAAAATGTCTCTTACTACTGATGTATTTTTGTCTTGTAGGGCCCAGGACAATACTTTTTCCGTCCGATGTTAAAGGAATACACCTTCACGCCTCCTTCGCAGGTCAGTATGGGACATCTATATTTTCTTCTTGATTTTACGTTTGTAAGGATCCTTGTAGTGTTTGGTGTTCTTATTCTAGTAAGTGGTGCAGTTATGTAACTGTTCGCAACTGAAAATTGACTCGTTTTTGCTATCGCACTTTGAATCTCGATACCAAAGCCACATAGCAACGCCGTAAAGGGGAAGCGGGTGATTTTCAAATGCTAGAGAAAAGTCTTACATGGAAGGGCTCTATTTTCAAGAGAGGTTCAAGCTCTTATTTTCGTCTTCGATGTAAAGAATCTTGCGTTAAATTTTAGAGATTGTTCGTTACTTTCGTTAATCCTAGGCAAATTTCCAAATAATACTTTGCTGTGACAAACAGAGACCTAGGAGGTATCAATAAACCAAAATGGAACCAGATTTTTTAAAGGATGGAAAAAAACTAAACTCTTTTACTCCCAAGATCTGAGTAGTAATTCTCCTTACTGTCTGCTATACAATTCTCTTGACGTTAGTTCGGAGATTTGGTATTGGATCAACCCACAATCCCCTGATAGAGATTTTCTATGTACTCACTTTTTCTACGCTTGATATTGTATTGATATACTAAAGAGAAAATCTGTCTTAGTCATTCATGGGAGTGAAAGACTTCAACACGGATTACAAATGATAAACTTGAAAAATTTAAGACTCAGTTTTTCATAGCGACGAAAAAATCGTGACTAGTTTGGAAATTGTTTCGCAGATTTATCTTTTATACTTGTAATTAGTAGTCGCTCTAAACTGGGGAGCTGTTCATTGACAAATATTTACTGTTCTTCACAGATGATTGATGTGGGTGAAGGTTCAATTGTTCAACTGCAGGTCAAAGGAAAAAGAGTTGCGTTTAGGTAAAAAAAAGCTTTGTAATGGAGCAATTTTCAAGTGGGTATCTGTTTTGTTGTTTGGTGACTCATTTTTTTCCTTGGTCCCACGCTTGTGACAAGACGAACAGACAACTCTCTTCATATAAAGATAATTTTTGTTTTCCTTACAGCTGTTTTGGGGCGATTTCCTCGCTAAATGGTGAACCAGAGAAAGGCGTGGCTGTTGAGGTACGTGCTTAGAATATTACATTATTTTTTCGTAGAATCTGATGCTAAGGAACTCTGTGAGAGTTTTATTTTTGACAATCTGAATTTAAGTGTAATTTGATTCATCTTTATATTTCAGGCGATCGGTCTGGAAAGTTGCGAATCTTTTCAAGAAGAAACAGTTTCAGATCAAGAAGGACAATACCGATTACGTGGACTTCAGGTTACTACGCTTCTAAAAATATGAGTTTCTTGTTTTGGTTGTAAGAGCGTAAGAAAGAGAGTTTCGTGCAACCAAAAACAAGTAATAAAATCGCCACAGCCATCGAAAACCCAAGGCTGGCACCACATACAATCAATGAGGAATCAATACCTTGAGCACCGGAAAACGCGGATAACCAACTCGCGAGTAGTTTTTAGTTTTTTAGATGTTGAAATTTTAGACCAATCACAGCGTAAAGTGAAGCAACATCAATGTTATCCCAGACTATTTGTTATCCTAAGATTGCGTTAGTTGTTTGGTTTGGAATGACAAATACTGTTTACTTTCAGCCTGGCTGTATGTACAGAGTTCGAGTAAAGATCGGAGATAGTAATCCGCATATCGAGAGAGCTTCCCCGTCATTTATTGATATACAGGTCAGGATTGAGATAGTTCTATTTTTTTTATTTTCCTTTATTTATTTATTTTGTTTTTTTTGGTCACAGTTTTACCCTTTACACCCTAACATCAGTATGCATATTCTCATTACTGTTATCTATACATTTCCCAAGGTGCTAACATGGAGAATTTGTTCAGCAATCAAGAGTTTCTTTAGTTGGTGATAATTTTCTTTATTCTCATGACCTTCAAGCGTGATTCAGGGGTGATATTGTAAAGGGAGAAATTAGATGCTAGTTACTCTCAGGGGTCAGTGGGTTTATAGATTGCAAGCCACTGAGTATTACATTTATTTCTATGTGCTTGGGGTTGTGAAGTCCAAGGTTTGAGGGGTGACTAATCGAATGAATACCCACAGCAGTACTTTCGTATGATTTTGTTTAGATATGCTATGTAATTAAGCTTTAACTCTTTGCTCCGTGAATGGAAGTGTCATCGTGGTTCATGTCTAATGTGCAACTGAAATTCTATTAAACCCACTAAGTTTATGAATGAATGGAAGAAACCCTAAGGTGTGTGAATGTTTAGGAATGAATGGAGGAAACCCTAAGGTGTGTGACCATTCAAATGAAAGCTAACTGTACTTTCGAGAGTTTTTTTTTCTCCGAGTGTTACTCATAAACCGCTGCGAACACAGGAACTAAATTCATCAGCATTAGTCTCTTGAGATGATTCACCATTAGCAGTTAAAAAAATTATCAAATTTATCCTTTTTTTGTTAACAGGTGTCTTCAACAGACCTTCAGAATGTTAACATGATCGCCTTCCGCCACATCAATCAATTTGAAATCACGGGAAATGTGGACACGGACAGTAAATTCGTTTCATCTCTAAAGGTAAGTATTAAAATCTATTGCCACACCTCCAAACAGCGATGTGAATTTTCAACTCGTGCTCGAGAAATCCAGCGTGTTAAAGGAGTTTGGTGACGGTTTTTCCACCTTGTGAAAATTTGCTAATTTTTTGCAAAGTGTTTGTTATTGGAAATTCTGGTCAGTTTCCTTAACCTTCTCTCTCCTCTTTCTTTTTTGGATGTTTCTTACTCCTCGGCACAGAAGGTGTTTGTTTCAAGGGTGCATTCCTTTTAAGCATCAAATTTAAGAAGAAAAAAAAAACCAGGCTTTGTAGGCCATTGAATTGGTGTCATTCCAGAATTTCCCACAGCGCATGAACTTTGGGTACGAAATGTGACGCACTTGAATGTTTTAAAGGAGATCATGAATATCTCGACACGATATTTTAAAACTCAGGTAACGCTGTCTCCAGAGAGCAATCCAGAGACTCCAGTATTCACGACTCCCGTGAGTGTCGCCAGTTACTTCCAGTTTCCATCAGTACCTAATGATGGACAAGTGTACATCGTTCGTTTGGAGTCTTCCCTCTCATCACTTAACTATCAGTACATCCGACCTGAATCTACGGTCACTGCCACTGGAGTGCGGGCTCATGTTACGTTCAAGTTTGAACCACAGGTATGATGTGCTTCCCAATTTGTCTGCATCCCGGATGTGAACTGTTACTCGCATTTGTTGAGTCAAATTCACCAGTCGTTCAGGGAAATGCTTTATTTCATTGATGCCCTTTTTTTTTTAATCGATGATCTTTTTTTTGTTTCGTTTTTTCTAATTTCCCTCAGCCGCGTAAAGTTGAACCGGAACCAAGCCAAGGATCATTTCTGACGTTACCTTTGTTAGTGATTCTGATTGTGTTAGCTGTGAACCACAATAAGGTACGTAAAACTGGAACCGTTTACGTTTTTATTGTCATGATGAGGTGGAAACCGGGTATCTATAGATTACCACGCGTTTATTTTCTTTTGTAACAGTTTCGATTGGTTCCAGGCTTTTAGTGGAAAGGCTGTCCAAATCACGCTTACAGCTACTGTAAACTACTGTAAGCTCAATCTTATTTTCATGTCCGCTTCTGAGGTAGACTGCTTTCTCTAGATAAGCGCTCTTGTATCAAACTTGTGTCAAAGCAGAAGCCTGGTCAAGGTTATCAGCTTCTCTTCGTGAAACAATCAGAAATGAACGTAGAAATTGTAAAACCGTAGGTACCAACAAAATAACAATTAAATTTTACAACAAGGTTGTTGATCAGCGCTTTTGATCATTTTAATGTTATAAGGCGTTATATTAAGTTTTAAAATTATTATTATTATTATTATTATTATTATTATTATTAAAATGAGAGCAACGTTAATGCGAATGTCAAACGGCAAGAATCTAATCTTTTCGGGTCTGCTTCATTTGTGCAACAATTTAAAAATAAGTGAATAGTTGTAAATAAGAATTAGTTTAATAAATTGCTGTTGGATATTTGAAAATATTAACTGAGTAAAATGAGAGATGAATTTTCCGTTTGTGACCAATGTCAGTACCTGACCAACTGTGCACCTAACTGCGCACCTACCCCTCCCCTAACCCAACATTAACCCTAACTTGTTGTCAGTTGACTGTTGTTATGCTATGGGAGGGGTAGGTGCGTAGTTTCTCAGTCACTGACATTGAACTACGCTGTCAATGATGTTATATAATGGCACAGCTGCCCGCGTAAAAAGTAAGGAAATACAAACAGGTTCAAAAGACGGAAGAGAACGTCACATTTTTTAAGGGCGGAAAAATGCAACTTATTTATTTTCTTTTTTATCTTCAGCTCATTCCTTTCATCCAGCAAGTACCTCAATTCATACAGGGAGTATCCGCCGACCAACTACAGGCTCAGTTCGAGGATCCTTACAGGAACAAGAAGAAACCAAAAGATACGCGACGAAGATAACAAAAAGTAGGGTCTAGGAATTATGTCGAATTATTTTAATGCGTCACAACGATTGAATATTTACACGATACCTGAAGAAACATCCCAAGCAAGAACGTCCCTTTTACATTTGTATGTTTAAGTTGTCACAAGAGTGCTCTTGGTGAAAAGCGACGAGAGAATACTTCGTATCGTCATTGCTCATCGAGCGAGTTCTGTGACGCGCTTGGTGTTGTCGTGATAATCGCTTCCGGTTATTACGTTCTGTCGGCATTGTTTTCTGAACAGTATTGTTCTCTGAATAGTCTGAGAAAGGTATTAAAACTCTTGGTTAGTCTCTGACACTTCTTGTAGCTTCCAAGGGGAAATTAGGTCTCATTGAAAAGATTTTTACTGAACTCATGCAAACTTTGACCTCTAGATAAATGTTCCCCGTTAAAAATGTAATAAATTTAATTAATTATCATTGTGGAGTTTGGTGAGATACTGCAAGTGACATATTATGTAGTTATGAACCTTTTACGCTCCAATATCAGTATTTATATTCTCCCTACTTTTCTCTGTACATTTCGTAAGGTGCTGACAAGGAGAATTTGTTTAACAATCGAGAACTTATCTAGCCGGTGATCGTTTCTTCTATCCTCGTGACCTTAATCTGTGATTCAGGGGTGATATTGTAATTAGATTTGAGAGGCTAGTCACTCCAAAGGGTTCAATTGTTAAGAAGTAGTTTGTAAAAGTGGATCAACCATGAGAGAAAAGTAGTCCGACAAAGGGATGTCAGCGGGGAGGATAGAAGGATGTGGTGAACCCTTTTTTGTTGTCCCCGGTAATTTCCTAGGTATTTCTCCATTCACCCATTCCTATAGTATGAAACCTACCTAAGTGAGTGCCTTTTGACACTCCGGGCGTCTCCCTGCCCCTGTGTTTCTCTTCTGCAAAAGACTGCGAACGTCTTGGGGGTCGGCTGCATTCATTGTCCACAAATTTTCCAACACGCCAGGACAAAATGAAATCGTGGCGCCGCCTCGACGTGCTTGCTGACCCTCCACCCCAAGTGTTCCTGCCTATTAACCCGACTCTTTTAGGCTTCCCGAGTCTTAAAAACTTTAACGCAGCATTCCTGTAGCGGTTGTTTCTAAAGAAATAGATCGCTGGATTCACCAAAGAGTTCAACTGGAGGGAAATTTCCACCCATCGGAAAACCCTAAAACTGCGTAAAAATGGGAAAAAGTGCGCTAACATGAAAACAACTACGAAGGGAACAATGCAGACAAGAACAGCTACTGTCACAAAGAGCGTAGTGTGGCCAATTTTCCTTTCTATACTTGTTCCCACTTGAACACGGCTGATCTGACCTCCCTTCAGTTTCCGCGTTTCGATGTAAACCATGCGATAAAAATACGCCATTAGAGAAATGCCCACAAGCCAGACGAGGAAAACACTGACTTTAATGGCCAGGGCAACTTCATGCTGAGTACCAGGTGCTGTAAATATCACATGAAACGCAACTGTCAGAATAGCTGTTATCCAAGCGATCCCTGCATATCTCTTTACACGTTTCTTTGTCACAATAACTTTGTATTTCGTCCATCTCGCTATCGCCACATGCCTCTCCCAAGCTATTAAAATCAAATGATAAAAAGATGCAGTGGAAGTTGTATACAGAATATAAATGTACGTGCACAGCATTCTGTCTGATAACGTTCCTTTAACAGTGAGCGTATCAACACTGATTGCCATTGGCATAGAAACTGCACCCACCAAAAGATCAACCACAGCCAAACTAGCAATCAGAATGTTAGAATTTGTTTGTAACTTTCTGATTTTCATGACCGCTACGATCACAAATATATTTAAACATATGGTAGGTGGACTCACAGCGACTGTGACAGCGATTGCGAGCTGAAGGGAAATGTTTCCGTGTGAGTTCCGGAAAAACGGCGACATGTTTAGGCCAAAATTTGATAATCTGGAGGAATTATCCATGGAATTTTCTGTGGTATTCATGTTTGTTACAGGCATGCAAGCATCCAATGCATTAGGTCGACGTCTATTTCACTCAACAGGATCTGTAATATTAACTCTGATACTTGTTTGTAATCCTTGTAAATTGAATTCGATTCCTTGATTGTCTTTTGAAAAACCTTTTAAGATAGAGTGATCTCCATGACAACAGTTGCGAAAGTTCTTGAGAACATTTCTTATGAGCCAAAGATAAGAGTGAAGGCTAAAAAAAACGAGAGAGGTTTAAAATAAATGTAAAAATCGCACTTGGTACTGAGGAAAAAAATCGATTATTGGAGGAATTAAATTGTAAGATACATGTATGTATAAATCGCATAGCCCCCTGAGGTAGACAAAGTTTAACTATTTTGTTTCTCAACTGCCTATCACGTATTGTATTCTTACCAAGAAAGACTCCACGTCGGAGAGATCTGTAGGCCGAAAATTAGCCCCTAATAGCTAACGTCAGTTTTTCGACGAAAGGTTGCAACTCCTCCGTGCGCATGAAACTATTTTTGTAAAGAAGCAAATATTTCATTCGACGGAATGCTCAGTCGACATGAAACTACACAGTAGTTCTGTATTATGGGCATCTCTTATATTTCAACCCCGTCTTTTATATCAAGCGTTTTTCTTAAAATTCCAAATTGATGTCTGACGTTTTTTCAGTAGTAATACGGCTTCAAGCGTGATTACCAAACAACGACTTGCTATTTAGGAAATTGAACGCAGATAACCTAACGGAAGAGAAGCACAAAATTGCCCCAATCCAAATTCCAGTTTCACACTTTTAAGAAAAGGGCACGTCTTTGTATGCGGCAAACAGACCGCAGCACTGCCCCCTCCCCTTCTTCCCTTCCCCCACAAAAAGAATATTACCATTGCAATACTTTAATTTAACAGCGATGGTTATGAAGAATCATGCTACTTGTACTTGATGACACGAGGTCAGTTATCACACTAAAATGAGTAAAAGCTAAAAAAAGACTGACTTAGAAAATAGGGATAAGTTTCTCGAGAAACTGTGGTGCTGCGTCGGTGGGAGAGTATAGCAGGTAATTTAGTGTTAACAACTGAGTTTAAAACGTAAATTAGCCACCGTAAAGGGTGAAAAAGCTGACGTTTCGAGCATTAGCCCTTCGTTAGAGCGATTGACGAAGAGCTGACGCTCGAACGTCAGCTTTTTTACCCTTTACGGTGGCGAATTTACGTTTTACTTAGAAAACATTCGAGTGAACGTGAGAGCTGAAAGTGCACGAGAAACGATGATAAAATCCACGGGATATTGAGGTAAAAGAACACCAATACTCTGAAAACAATTGAATGGGTCTAAAAGCCCCCCAAAAAAGCAATCTACTGAGTACATGAGATGAAATAGAAAAAAAAAACCGAGTTTTAAAGGTAAAATTGCTTGGATGCTTGGGAAGCAATGTATAAATGGAAGAGACAAAATTACATTGAATTTTAAGCACAAATCACATGGGCCCTGGGGTATCATCATCGCGTAAATCCAGCGCCTCAGCAAAAGGAATTTTTTTTTAACAATCTGACCCAAGTAGATTTTCAACGGCATGGCGTTGAAATATGATGGTTATCTCTACCTCGAAGATCCGTGAAGTCTGAGAAAAAACTTAGGGATGCGGGGAAATGTCTATTTCACTGAATGATAGTTCCAAGGCAATTAAGTTTTTATCCTGCTTTATTAACTCTCGCAGTCCTCAGCGAGAAGAACCACATCTTGCCCTTCACGCACCTTTATATCGTCCGCTAGTCATTTTAACACAGCAATAACATAAGAACCAAACCAATTCAAACGTTTTTGGTTCATTATTAATGTTATTTATACTACAAACACCATTTCGCAGCATCCTTTCCTCTGCTATCGATCCCTTGTTATTTACGTTAATGGTGAAGATAACTTAAATGCAATTGACTGACATCCGTTATCACGATAAAATCCTTATTTCCAAAATAATTTGGGGTTATCAACTTTCTTTTTCAAGTTTTATGTAAATTGGCCACCATAAAGTGTTTCTAGAATTGACTTTTCGATCGTTAAATTATTCCTTTGAGAGCTCTTTCGTTTTGACGAAGGGCTAGTGCTTTAGAAACCTTTCGTGGTGGCCAATTTCATTACGAACTCTATGTATAAAACCAAACTATTTAACAAATAGATTCCAAGTTGCCGTGCGTCTGTTCAGCAATAGATCACAGATGACGTCAAAATGTGGTAGGAACAAAAAAATGGCACACGAGGCGCAGCCGAGTGTGTCACTGATGTTCTTACCACATTTTGACGTCCTCTGTGATCTATTACTGAACAGACACTCGGCAACTTAGAATCTATTTGTTTTATATAACAAAGAATTAAAATATACGGGAAAAAAGTTTTAATGATGACGTCATCTATAAGTCTGTCCTCCAATAGATCATAAGTGAGAACCAATCAGAATGCGTGCATAACTGAGCTTATTATATAAATTGTTATACCCCCACTAACGCTGCAACACAATTTCACGGTTGACATCAATGCAAAACAGATTTAAGTTTATCTTCAACACATTGCAAATGGAAAACGAAACAAAATGAACTTCTTTTGCAATAAGGGTTTAGAAAGCTATAAGATTCAAGAAAAAAGAGTTGCTCTCGGCTACGCCTCGAGCAACTTCTCTCCAAGCTTCCTTAGTGCTTCATAGCTCGAACAGATTTCGCTGTGAGACTGATGGTTCAACCTTTGAAAGAAATCATTTTCAATTTAATTTACATTGGTGGTTTGACGCAAACAATGTTATGCAGCGTCGCTTTTTCACTCGTTAATAAGCGTAGAACGTTATCTAGCAATGAAACACCCTCTCAAATACAAACATGACTTAGTAACTAAAGGTCATATCATCATGGCGTCTGGTTTGGCGTGGATTTGCGCACTGATTATCTTGAACACCAATAAAGACTTCGGTGCTGTCATCTCTTCAGAAGTGTTTATCCATGTTGTCATGTACAAAGAAGTTCGCTGAAACGCACGGCAAATCATTGCCAACCAAGTTTCTTTAGAAGTAAAGGAAAAGTTATTGAAGAATAGGAAAACCTTTAACACGACTGTCGTAATACTTTTGACACTTTTTCTTTGCTCTACTCCAATATGAGTTTAAATGACTATTTTTATTTCTTCGAATGGAAAAATCCCGCCTGAAGCTGGACAAATCATTTCCTCTCTTTTTGGATTTCTGGTGGTGCTAAATTCGTCGATAAACCCACTCATTTATACAGTAAGAATCAGACAATTCCGTGTAACTTTCATTCGGGCCGGTTAACGAGAACAATTTTCGAGCAAGCCGAGGAACTTGAAAACAAGATATTTGGATCTAATCATCTAAGAGTTGCTCAAACTGATACATGCTGGAAAAAATAAAGCAGATCAACGCAAAACTACACAGCACAAGAGTGCGGTATTAAGTAGACTAATACAAGCCTAGTTATCTTTCCATGGATACAAAGGAAACACAACTTGAATTAAAACTTGATACTAAAAAGATTTGCAGGAGGTCGTTATCCACTTGAGACCTAACACATGTGGTTTTATTCATGATAAAAATTAGGTCGCTTTTCCTCGTAATTCTTTTTTTAGAAAAGTATTTTCTGAAAATACTTTTCTAAAAATACTTTTCAAAAAAAACTCTGGTCAAAAAATACTATTTTTTAGAAATAGCCTTTTTACCGGCTTGCGGCGTTGTTTGCTTCTTAAAACTCTGAATAAAGTGTATCTAGTATTGCCTTAGTTTATAATCATGTTAGACGGAGATACATTTTTTTAAATGCTAGTTTTTCCCTCGATTGATTTACCATTTTTTGGACTTTGGCGGAATAAAATCCCTTCTTTTGAGGTTCCACTTACTTCGACGATAGAGCGATACAATTTTTTGTAACTCCGTGTGTTCTTCTCGTTTTTTGTTGACCTGTCTTGGATCATTTTTCAGCCTTTCACTCACTTGTTACCGTCCGCTTTCTCTTTTTAACTCAATTGTGTACCAGTTTATGCACCACTGACCAGATTCAATCCAAATATCTTTTCTTTCACTTTCCCTGTCTAATCGATATAGTTTCTTCAGCTATCCACTGAATACACACTGTCCGAAAGTATCTGATATTTGCAGTAGTGGCGAGGGGAAGAGATTATAATCTCTTGTCGAGGGTTTATCGAATATTTTTGCACTATGAAAAATGTAAAAAGAAAGAAAGAAAATGATATGTCCAAAATCAACAGAGAGGGCAACATAAAAACGTTTAATGCTGCGCCGTTTCATAATTGTCAGAGGAGGTAATTGTGGGATTTTTTTCGGGGGGAAAATTCGTAACAACAAAGAAGGTGATTAAGTGTATGGCGTGCTGATTCTATATGGCCTCGTTTGAGTGGAGAGATTTTCCCAACTTGCCTTTCATTTAATAAGTACAGAGAAGCTGATAGCTTCCCTATTTTATAATAATCTTTTTTTAAAATAATTTTCATTCTACAATACATACCAAACTAACATTACTCTAAATAGGGTAATTTAGTGTTATCAACTGAGTTTATAACGTGAATTGTCCACAGTAAAGAGTTTCAAAGCTGACGTTTCGAGCGTTAGCCCTTCGTCAGAGCGAAAGTTACTTACATTACCTACAATACTAATCATGACAGTTGTTCTTAACTCCCTTTCTGTAAAGAAAAAGTCCTATTTTGTGCTTTCTTAATGGTTATGAGAAACTTAACTGAGAATCCAACATAATTGACATTAATAAGTGGAAACTTGTGCTAATGAAAGCTTTTATTCTTCGAAAAAAGAGAGGTGCGCTTTTTAGTGAGAAGGTTATAATGAGAAGCCGGAAAACACTTTACTCAGAGATCCGACCATCAATCAATGTGCTGGGCCATTAAAAACGTTTCTCCATAATTTTCTAAACTGGTGCTGACGAATCAGTAAGCCTTCTTGGACGTCCTAGTTTTTGACGCAAATGAAACCGCATTGATGTCATGTCCAAAGTGAATTGAGAGTTCTTCCAGAAACTTTTCAAAGCCAGTTTTTATTCAGTTTTTGTTTCCTTGGTATCAATGAAGAAAGTACTAGACTTCTACTAATTTTCTTAATTAAGGTCACTTTCTCCGTGCTTACGTAGTTTTAAGTTCGTCATTGTGTTTTTTAGTTTTAGTTACTTTTCACTAGCCCCCACGTGCTCTAGTTTGCCCGGTTGTGTCTCAGTTTATGCAATTCTCACATGATTAGATCCAAATATCTTGTTTTCAAGTTCCTCGGCCTGCGCGAATGTTTTTCTCGTTAACATCTGAATGAAAGTTACACGGAATTGTCTGATTCTTACTGTATAAATGAGTGGGTTTATCGACGAATTTAGCAACACTAGAAATCCAAAAAGAGAGGAAATGACTTGTCCAGCATCAGACGGGATTTTTTCACTATAAGAAATAAAAATAGTCACCCAAATACTTATCGGAATATAACAAAGTAAAAGTGTCAAAAGTATTACGACAGTCGTGTTAAAGGCTTTCCTATCCTTCAGTAACTTTTCCTTTTCTTCTAAAGAAACTTGGTTGGCAATGATTTGCCGTGCGTTTCGACGAACTTCTTTGTAAATGACAATATGGAAATACACCACTGCAGAGATGACAGCAACGGAAAGACAAACCTCTAGTCCTTTAAAGAAGTCAGTATTGATGTTGAAGATAATCAGTGCACACATCCACGCTAAACCGGATGCCATGATGATACGAGCTTCAGTTACGAGGCCATTCTCGTACGCGAAGGGATGTTTAATCGATAAATAACGTTCCCCGCTTATCAAAAACATATGAAAAAGCGATGCTGTAACACATGTCTGGCCAATAATGGTGCTCACCTTGATCAAAGTGCAGGTCATGGTTTGTGTCTTGCCATCGATGTGGATTGAAATGAAAATGATTATGTTCAAAGGTTGAACAATCAGTCCTACTGCAAAATCTGTTGTGGCCAAACAAGCCAGCGAGATGTTAGATTTTGTGCGAAGAGGTCGCTTTGTTTTCACGGCAACTATTACTAGAACATTCAAAATAATTGCGAGAGGAAAAGTGAAGGTATGAAAAGCGACGTTCATCGCGTACGCAGAATATACGCCAGAAGAGATATTTGCGAGATTTATGGGACGACTGAATTCGGAACGACAAAAAAATGTTGCGTCTGGCATGTTGTTTCTTTATGGCCTCGTGTTCAGTGAAGGGAATCAGCCTTTATCTCTCCTTTAAATGCGATCTGTTCTGTATGGAAAGAAAGGAAGACTTGCTATTATCATTATTATTATTTGCTGTTCTATTCAGAACAAGTGTATTGTCTGTTTGAATGCCTAGGCGGAAAGCCGACATGCCAACAAGATCCGGGTAGTTGAATGGAAAAGTTTAAGATGTTGGCTTTTATTCTTCGCAACCATCTAAGACCAATGTGCGCGTTCTTTAATGAATTCAAAGAGAATACAGGGTATAAACTTGCCTGAAAAAAAAAGCTCATCTATAGAAAAGGGCTTTTAAGAGCGTAAATGAAACAGACAACTTGATGGTAATTTAATTTTAACTTTTTTCGGAAAGCCTTCATAATTAATTATGAAGTTCGTTGTTATCAATTGAGAGAACAGGATATGCAACTCAGTTATGTTGTAAGTGGTCCGGCCAGAATAGTGAATTCATTGAGAACGGAGTTCAAATTAAGGTGGAAACAGAATCATTTGAAGATCTGGTCGAACTAAAATGTTAATAAGGCCACATAAACCACAAAGACAGAGAAATCATCATACTATTTAGAAGAACAACGAAGAAATCCAGGGGTAACCTTAGCATGATGGAGGTGATCATCTTTTTATAGTTTCAATGGACATTGAGAGTGATCTAGCAACAGTGTTAATGACTAACTTATTTGTGCATATATCCAGAAGTGGGCCATTGTTTACACAACTCCCTTATTGTAATGCCGTAATCTATTAAACCAAGGCACCCACGTTATACACTTGAACATCTTGTGGATGCCAGTCAGTAATTTAAACTTCACTTGTCAAAAACACGGAAAAGCTTCTTTAAATCTATATTACCCTTAAGATTAAAGGGAAGGAGACAGGTTAAAGTAAAAACACGAATTAAAAGAGGAGAGCGCTTAACAATTTCAGGCCTCATTTGGAGGATTCTTGATTTTCTGCACTGTCCAGCGAATGGACTAACATTTCCATTATCTGTAATCGTCAGATACAATCCAACACGTATTTACGAAGTATTCAAGTTTCCTAAGTTACCTTTACAATGATCAAGTTCACTCCTTTTCAGGGCTTTCCTCGGCTGGATCGTCCAGTTTCATATTACAACATCATCTGTTACTCATATTTTCAAATAATTAACTGAATCCGAAGACATGTATATTTTCTTCCTGCTCACAGTAAGTGTCGTTGAAGAAAAAGGAATGAATTTAATCTCTAGTTGGAAAATATTTCATCATAAATGAAAATTCATTGTGGGTCTTGCTAGCTACTAAAGTATCTCTAAAGCTATAATTGCAATTATCTTTCAATGTGACAAGTCTCGATGAGATAAAAGCAATGACTAAATCGATTCCTGTTTGAATGGAATCCAAAATCTAACTAGCCTGCAGTTGAATAGGAAAAAGCTCAATATCTTTTTCCTACCATTATTCTAAACATCACAAAATTATCGCAAAACCAAGTCTATTCAAATTCTATGATCAATGACCAATTTAGTGTGATTTTTTTGGTGCTGTGCGCTTTTCCTTACCATCATCTCCTCATTTATCTATAGGGCAGGAAAATTTCAGAAGAATTATTCGAATAACCCGATATCCGACGGGAATCAATTGCACACTTTTAATTTGACACATCGAAGGCAAAGTCTTTAACTGGTAAATTCTTTTTGATCAAAAACCTGAAACGCAATGGAGGAAATAAGTTTCAGTAGCACAATTCAATTTTCCCTACTTGTAACCTGTGATCTTTTTTCTTTCAAATGGTAAAGTTTTATCTGTTTGAGGGCGTGCGGACATGATATCAGTCGCTCCATTACCGGATGATGCTATTTCGTTAGTACTCACTCTTTACGGTTCCTTTCTAGACATTTGAAGTGTTTCCTTGTTACTCTAACTTTCATTCTAATCTAATTTTCCAACGGGAAGAAAGAGATGTAGTTAAAAGCCAGAAAACCAGTAGAAAGCGAACAACATCAGGCCGCCATTGTTGAAGACGACCTTGGCGCAGATGAGTATGTCACCCTGGCAGCTGCTCGATAATTATCAAAGGCTCAAGAGTCAATGATGAAGACCCTGTTTGATTCGGTTTTGCCGTCGTTTACTGTAAGAATTACTAGGGTTGAGAAATCAGTTCAGTCCAAAAATATTGGGCAACAATTCACTCAAAAGGACATCTTTAACCCGAAGCATTTTAAAGAAGTACACTACCATTTTTAAGCAACGCTTTCTTTTGAATTGAGGTAAGGGCCATCGGCTACACAACATCAAAACCTTGACTTTCTAAAGCACTTTTAAAATCAATTCGGAAAAAGAACGTACATTATAAGCGTTTTCTTAATATCTGAGTTCTGGAGTTGTCTCAGCAGAGCTGAAGATTGCTCGTGTTGTACCATTGTTTAAACTTGTGATGAGTTATTATTTTCAAATTATGGATCTATATTTCGGTTCTACCCTCCTTCTCTTAAATTTTAGATAAACTTATCTACAATCGTATTATTGACTATTTGAATAAATATAAGATACTATCCGATAATCAATTCGGTTTTCGTAAACAGCATTCAACTGGCAATGCCTTAGCTCTTTTATATGACAAAATATCTTCTTGTATTTATAATAGCCAGATAACAGTGGGTATGTATTTAGTGATTTGTCTAAAGCCTTTTTATTATCTGTTTGAATGTGTAGACGGATCAAGGGTTGAGAAACCAGTCCTACAGAAAAATCTGTTGTGGCCAAATAAGCCAGCGAGATCCTGGATTTTGTGCGAAGTTATCGCTTTGTTTTCACGGCAATTATTACTAGAATATTCATCACAATAGGCCACGTCACAGTTGTGTACTTAGTTGCCAAGCCTTTCATTTGGAGTGAGGTTGAAGGTGACCATGTTGTGATAAAGACGGTTTTTTTGAAAAGCAGCGACGTTTGTATCATAACAAGGTCATCCTTAGCCCCACTCCGGTTCAAAGGCTTGGCAACCAAGCATGCAATTGTAAAATGGACTCTCGCCCGGGGACAAGTGACGATATTAAGCACAGCGTTTATAGCGAACGCGGAATAAACGCCAGTTAGATGAGATTTTTGAGATTTATGGGAAGAAAGTCGTAACCACTCAAAGGTGATGTTGTGTCTGGCATGTTGATTCTTTACAGCCTCGTGTTGAGTGGAGGGATTCACCCTTTGTTTCTCATTTATCTGTATCTTGATTTGCATGACCACAACGAAATTACTGGCTATTATAATTTGATTTTCGATTGAGAACAAATTTATTGTCTGTCTGAATGTAGAGGCGGAGGGCCGACCAGCTAAGAAGATCCTAGTCAGTGGATATTGGCTTTTGTTTTTCGTAGCAATCTAAGCTTTCTTTAAATGATTTTAAAGAGGATACAGGAATAACAACTAGCTAAGGAAATGACGCATTTTCATGAAAGTTTAAAGGGAGCTCCAAAGATTTATTTAAATGTTAATGCTCAAGTGAGATTTCCGCAAATGAAATCAGAGCAGCAGATTATTGTAGGAAAATTTTTTTTTTTTCAATTCGAGGCGAATTTGTTCGAATCCTTTTGAACAGTGTTCACATAAGTAATTCGTTCGCTATTTTCTTGTGACAGAAAGTGTTTTTAAATGAACCACCTTTGATACTCCGCAAAGATGAACACGAATAATGCTCAACTGAAAAAAAGTACTCAGTGAAAGTGAGATTAGAGTTGTAACTACTTCTGGGAGAATCAATTTCCAACTTTTTTTTTTTTTTATTATCATTACAATTATTATTATTGACGAATTAGTTTTAATTCTTTTGAATAGCTTTCATCCACAATCGCGGCATCGTTTGCCTTTAGCAGTGTTTAGCTCTCCGCAGAACTGAAATTCCCAAAATGAACTCAAGGCTGTGTTACAGGATCTTAATTAGGTATCCCTCGTTTTGGGATACCAAAAACGCGGGGAACTCGACACGCTGTGACAGCGGTCTGTAGCTAAATTATGGGCGAGTTTGTTTTTTAATTAATTTTTTCCAAAACTCTGAGCGAATTATTTCTAATTCTTTTGAACAATGTTATTGTGACCTGATTCGTTTGGCTCGTTTCTTTTGGAAAAACGATTCTTTTATGAATCGCAGAATAATCCCCAAAGATGAAAGGGAACGCCATAAAATGGAAATACTTAAGTAAAATTTTCGAAAATGAATCGAAAAAATAGGCAGTTCATTGCCAATTAACTTTTTTGGGCTTCCATCAGGTTTTGATAGCAGCATGGGATCCCTCGTGTTTTCCGAAGTTGCAGAAATTGCTCGAGTTACACAGCGACAAAAAGACATTCGCCATCAATAGATTATGATTCTTTTAGGCAAGGTTAAACCTTTTTTAATGTTTTCAATTTCAAGCAATTTTGCCCGGGGCAATTACCAAATTTGATGAAAATTTCCCTCTGTTTCAACCAATAAGCATTAAGTAATTTTGCCCTCTATGTTGTAGAAGCTGTAATAACCAAGGTTTCTTAGTAATATAACTACCACGGACGTTTAAGATCAACGGAAAGTTTAACCTAATAATACATTTTCAAAAAACATTCTAGACTTCCAGAGAAGCTTGAGGGGCCTAACTCCTTATATTTTTTCACGATGTTGAATTTTTTCCTTTTTTTTGTCTTTCTTTTTTTTTTTTTTTTACATGTACACTACATTTTAGTGAGAAAATTTCAAAATTTCTCTATGATTAGCCGCCATCCTGAATGTAAATGTATTGAGTTGTTTCGCCATTTTACAACGTCACAGTGGGATTAGGTCAACGTCCTTGTCCATTGCCGAGATAAATTTCAAATTTAACACAGACGGCAATACAAACTCTCAAAACTGGCGAGAAGTGAAGTGACGAAAAAAGTTTTAAAAAACCAGGCTTTTCAAAGTAAACATGGTTTCAAGTTTCTTGCTTCGAATCGGCGCAAATGTGAGTCGTGCACTAGCATTTTTCGACGTGGCAAGGCAATAAAAACTATTGACACAATGCTTGTCTTGTGGCGTTTGATGATTCGTTGAGGTGGGTTGTTCTTTCTTTTACTTTCTTTTACTTAACAGCTGAAAGCAAATCCGTTTTTTACTTGAATTTTCCCGACGATTACTTGGATACGTTCGATTATTGTTATGAAGTAGATACATAAATACCTCGTCCATGTTCAGTCGGAACTTCTATCAAGCTGTTAAGTCTCAGTCTGATTTCTGAAATGAAGAATTATTTTTAATACGTGCCGCGTGATGGAGCAAGAAATAAAAATTTGGAGAATAATCCAGATTATGGAAAGGCGGAAGATTTAAAAGCATGTGTCGATTATTTCAAATATAAAAACATTTTAAGAGAGAGTTTCCTCACAGTCGCTGTCAAAAATTGGTCATTGATCGATCGCAGTAAGGCCGTACACTTGCATAGCGAGAAAACCGTCCTTCGCGAACATTCTTTATAAACACAGCTCCTCTTAGGCTTAAAATCATTGGGCCACCATTGCAGTAGACGGCCTACAACATGAATGCGAGTATCTCTGAAGATTTGTTTGATAGTTTAGTGTTCAGCTGCCCAATCCTTCCACAGTTCACCTGGGACCTAAGGCAAATAATTTACCACCAGATTGGGATCGCCGTCACACTCGCTGTTCTTCCATTGACTGTTTTTCTAAACATTCTGGTGATCGTAGCGGTCAAGAAAATCAGAGAGTTAGCCACAAATTCTAACATTCTAATCGCTTGTTTGGCTGCTGTCGACTTTTTGGTGGGTGCGGTTTCTATGCCACTGACAATCACTTTGGATGCCCAGATGGTTCGAGGAACTGCATCGAAAAACATCGTCTGCATCAAACACAAAATCTCTGGCTTGATTTTTTACATTGCTTTTAATGTTTCGTTTTATCATCTAGTTTTAATAGCTTGGGAGAGGTACGTCGCAATAGTGAAATGGATGGAGTACAAAGTCATTCTAACTAAAGAACGTGTTCAGAGAAATTCAAGAATCATATGGGTAACCACTGTCATATCAAATGCTTTTTATCTCGCATTAGCAGTCACTGATTCTCGCTCTGAGATTCTTTTAACTCTAAATGTCATTTTAATCATCAGTTATTTAATTGGCTTGTCACTGATGGCTTACTTTTATTTCATGGTTTACATCAAAACACGAAAACTGGAGGACGCTCAAATCAGGCGAGTGAATACGCTGATCAAAGCAAGAAGCGAGAGAAGAACTGCTTACACTGTGTTTCTGATGACAGTGGCTGTTTTGATATCCGTTGTGCCTTTACTGATAGTCCTTCTTTTGGCGTTGTTTTCCCCAGTTTTTCGTTCCAATTCGATCCTCCGAATGGCGGAAATTTTCCTGCAGTTAAACTCTCTCGTGAATCCAGCAGTGTATTTCTATAGAAACAATCGCTACAGGAAAGCAGCCTTGAGGCTCCTAAGATGTGGGAAACCTCGAGCTATTGAACCAGGGATACTTATGGGGCGAAGAAGAGAGCTTTTGGACATCGAAAAAGCCCCGCGCCTCAGAAAGGTACGGTCTTATGCAGCAGAGACAAAGCGTGAAAGCTTACCTAACCCACAAGGACATGTTACAATTACCGTCACTGCGCAGATTGAAAATGTACCTAGGGAGGAACCAGAGGGAGACCGTGGAGTCATTGCACCACAGCAAAAGTGAAAAATTTACATCGTCATAGAGTAATGAACGTAGACCCTTTCGATGAAAACGGTATGGAGACAAGTGCCCGTCCTTTTGTAACGAAAGTTGAAATGAGAAATTCAGCGCCATCTACTTCTGCAACGATTGAAAGTCGCTCTGGGAGAGTAACCTGTGATGGTGAATAGGAAGTTACGGAACCATGGGAGCGAGCGTGGAAAAAAAAACCGCTACTCCTCGTGTGCGAAAATGTATCAAGTACAAACCCATCGAAATTCCAAAGGTTTAGGTGAAGTGTTTGGAGAATTTTAAGACGTTACGTTTTCTTGGAAATCTGAGGGAATATGCGACTTACGTTACTCACATTCGAACCTGCGTAAGGACAAGATATGAAGCAAACAAGACTCCAGTAACACTTACAATTTCTGTGCCTCACTTGTTAAATTGGAAATTCGCCAGATTTAGGTATCATACGCAAACAAAGTCACGTTGACAGAACCTGACGTGCTCTCGCATGTTAGACAGGCCATCAGCTGCTATGTTTGTTTGGAAGAAAAAAAAATTTTTGTATAACGGGCCTGCAAAAGAGGAAAAAACGTTTATTGCAAAATTAAGTGTCTCTGGGGGGTAGACTCGGGTATGTTTTGGATGCGACTGAGCTACCTGTTCTTTCATTCTTAACCCTTTAACCCCTAAGAGTGATTAGAAGCTGATTTCTCCCTACAATGTCACCCCTGAATCGCATATGAAGGTTACGAGAATAGAGGAAATGATCACCAAGTAAAGAAGCTCTTGATTGTTTGACAAATTCTGCTAGTCTGCTCCTAAGGAAATGTATGGAAAACAGGATGGAGAATATGCATGCTGATGTTTGGGGGTAAAGGGTTAATGCAAGTTCCTATTATCGTTTTTTTCTGATCCCTGCTCCTCTATTGTAATATTTTCATGCGTTATTTTCAATCAGAACACCTCTAATGATCCAATGTTGGTACGTTGGTTTCAACAACGTTGGTCCAATGTTGGTATGTTGGTTTCAACAACGTTGGTCCTATGTTGGTATGTTGATTTCAACAACGTTGACGGGGGATTACGGGGAAGGGGGGAGGGGAAGGTTGATTTTTGCTATATGTCAGGCCGTCAAAGTATGAGACGTGAAGCCATCAAATCTGTGAACAGATTTCAACAGGATTTCTCCGCGATTGTAGCTTTTCTTTCTGCTTCGACAGAGTTGTTGAATGAGACTGTATGCTAGTTTCCTAGGGGCAGTGAGAGGCAGCAAATTACGCGAATAAAAAACATGTTAATGAAATTAATGACACAAGATTATCTCGCCAAAGTATACTGGTTTTCATGTAACACACTCAACCAGATTTAGATTTTGAGGAGGGCAGCATCGTTTCCAGGGAAGACTATGGAAAGTTTACTGCCGATGAAGGAGGGTGGGGGGGGATTGTCATTAAAATACTACAGAGCCTGAAGGAGAGATGAAGTAAAAATTATTGTGACATGACTAAAACCCCTAACCCTCCCCCCAAACCCCCTATACGATAAATGATGACCAGTTTCTCATTGACGAAACCTCAGAGAGGAGAACTTGCAGAAATGAACCCCTGGAACACAGAGACTCCAAATTGACGCAAGGAAATCAAATGGTAATCATATTTACTTGATTTCTTTCCGAGCACTGTGCAGAAATATGTCAAACGTTTGAAAATGTAAATCATACAAGGACTGGGCTGCCTGTGGTGTCTTATCCACGGTATGTTACGTTATGTAACATGTTATTGGAAACTGCTCGATTTGTTCATTATTCTTAATTTGATTGACATTTGTAAGTGATTTCGTTTATCTATACCTAACCAAACAAGCATGTATGCAATGCACGTGTTTTATCGCCCCACAGTATGGCACTGTTTCACGTGCTTACAACAGGACGTTGTGTGTGTTCCCTTCGAATAAGCCGAGAGTTGTGAGTGGGAGTTAACCGAAGCGTTGTAGTAAAATCGTTAAATCAAGTGAATAAATATTTTACTCAAGTGAATAAATCGCGAGTTAATAAGGAAACGTGATACAGCTTTTTCAGGTATTCGACAATGTTATGTAACTTGTTATTTCACTTTACATTATCATAATTAAAATCTTATCATTTTCAAATGTTATGCAAATTAATACAAGTAGCCAGAAGTGCTCTCGGCTACGCTTCAAGCATTACCCACGCATTTCTCGTGCCATCCAAAATTCAAAAGTGCTTCAAAACACACAGTTGAAACATGTATGAACCAATCGTTTGAGAACATTCTCATCGCAAAAGTTTAAATCCTAAATCAAAATTTATGAAAGAAAAACAGTGCAGAGTAATTCTACGTAAATCATATTTTTTTCCTGAAACAAACTATTTTAAAATTTGAACGTCTAAGTAACTTATTAATCTCATTCTAAGTTTCATTCAGAATCAAAATAAAAGATAAAAGTTGCTTTTTTTTTTGCGCATGTTTAACAAGCTTTGGGATCGAATTTCGACGGAATACAAGACGTCGTGATTTTCTAAGCTGTGAAAATATGGCCTGAAAAAAAAGGAATTCAGAATTGAATTTAAAAAAAATTGAAAAGTCCTTTGACTTTTTTATGTGTGACAATATGGTCTTTAGGCGTGAACGGGATTTAACCTATAACCGTCTAGCGAGTATGATTCAAACGCTCTTATCAGCTGAGAGCTCAAAATACACCCGTGACGGACGCCTAGTGTTGAGGGTGTGCTCCCGATATGAACAGTCATTCGCTTCAGCTCCTTTCAAAGCTTTTAAAGTTTTTTTCCTTTAACGGAAAATTGTACGATGAATTGTTTCTGCGTGGGTTATGTTTGTCTAAAAGACATTGAATGCGTTAAGACTTAAATTTTCATGCGTAATCACTTGTATTGGTCAGAGGATAGAAAATTTTCGTGCTGTAATGCAAAACTCCTGTTGGCTTAACGAAAAAAGTTATTTTAGAGGTAGCGAAACCTCAGCTGTATTTTTTCGGCCGGAGATGATATGTCATGCAGGTGTAGCAAATATTTTTGGATCTAGTAACAAAGATTCTCCGAGAATTTTGCAGACAAAATAGATAGTATGAGGTTTTCCATGTTATCTCGAATTTCATCGATTGCATTGATGTAAGTTGACGACGAAAACAGAAAACAGGCAAGGGGAAAAACTGGAGATAATCACTTCTTTCTTGTCAGGAGAGGTTTTAAATCTCTTAATACCGTACAGCTTAATCGTACAAATTGTGCAAATATTTCTTTAACTCTTTGGATAAGACTACATTTAAAATTTTATTTCAAAACTGTATGATAACTGACGAAGTTTCTCATATCCAACTGAAGTAATTTTTTCAATTTTTTTCCGTGCCTTTAAACAAGTAGGAGACAATCGGGAAATTCCCTAAAGGCAAAATAATAAAAAGGAAAAACGGACGGTGAATACAATCTCATATACATTTTAAGTGTTAATAAGACTGCATATTAAAGAAAGACGATGATTCTTTCAAATACTGTATACAAAACACTTCTATGAGAAAATTTCTATACTGCCATCTGCCAATTTTGTTCTGAAATTCTGTCGCCAGAAAGGCTTATAGCCGAGAAAAAAATCTTACTCGGTTAGCATTCGTCACGAAACACAGATCATTTACGGTTAGAATGCCTTGGGCCATAAATTGGATGTTCGTTAACACTGAGAGTCCTTCTGAAGCTTCGCTGGATAATTCAACCAGAATGCTGTCATCGTGCCTCAATACTCCGGAGCTTACCTGGAACTTCCAGCACGATATTTTTCTTTACGTTGCGATCGCCGTCTCAGCCACTGCTTCTCCGTTAATCACTCTTTCAAACATCTTAGTGATCTTAGCGGTCAAGAAATTCAGAGAGTTACAGAGAAATTCTAACATTCTGATCGCTAGTTTGGCTGTGGTTGATCTCTTAGTGGGTGCAGTTTCTATGCCACTGAAAATCGCTTTGATTGCACTGATCATTCGAGGAACTGCATCAGAAAACATCGTCTGTAGGTTAAGTGATATCACTGGCTCGTTCATGTACACTGTTTACAATGTTTCGTTTTATCACTTAGTTTTAATAGCCTGGGAGAGGTACACAGCTATAGTAAAATGCACGGATTACAAAATCTTGGTTACAAAAGAACGCTTACAGAGATATGCCGGACTCGCCTGGATAGCATCCGTCGTAACGAATGCCTTGCATCCCGCTTTATCGGCCGCTGGTGTTGGTGATGAGGTTCTCCTGACTCTACATGTAACCTCAGTTCTTGTCTGGTTCATAGGCATGTCCTTGATGGCTTATTTTTATCGTATGGTCTATATTGTAATACGGAATCGGAAGGAAAGCCAAATCAGGCGCGTAAATTCTTTAATCAAAGCAAGGATTGAAACGAAGATTGCTTTTACTGCTGTTGTGACAATGGTAACCGTCTTCACGTCCGCTGTTCCTCTAATGTGTTTTCTCATTCTGGCAACATTTGTGCCTTTTTTTCGTGCAAACTCGGTTCACCACTGGGGTGAAATTATCCTCCAGTTTAACTCTCTTGCAAATCCTTTGCTTTATTTCTATAGAAACAAACACTATAGGAAAGCCGTGCTGGAGCTTTTGAGATTCGGGATTCCTAAGGAAGTCGAGCCGACTTGCAGTAGGTTTGAATTTCATGAGGCTGAGCGACACCGTGCTGTCGTTGCTCTCTTAAGCTTTCGAAGTCTTGTGGACATCGAAAGTGTCTCGTGCCATAGCCACAGGCGGGCACAGTCATGTGCGGCGAGGACCAGCCGTGGCAATTCACGTAACGCACAACAACCTGACGCACAACAACCTTTCAAGGTGCAGTTGGACAAGGCACCTGGAGAGGAACCGGCTGAACGAGAGACTGTGAAGTCATTTAAGGATAGCGACAACGATAAAAAGCCACATCTCCACAAAGTGGGGAGATCAAACTCTTTGATGGATAAGGGGGCCGTTGTAGAGACTAGCGCTTGGCTAAGTGTAACGGCAGTTAAAAGGCGAAATTCAGCGCCATCGGGTCTTGCAGCGATTGAAAGTCGCTCACGAACAGAAACCTACAATGGTACAAACTTTTAGCCGTCAGAACAGAGATGCAGTGGAAGACGTCGATTAAAAATTGAATCTATGCTTTTAGTTAGAATTTCGCGAATGACTGAAGATAAACATTCTTCATCAGGCGGAGTTAGAATTTCTGAAACGCAATTCGGCGTACTTGTTTGTTTGAATTGAAAAATCTCCGTTAAAATGAAAATTTTGGCATTTTCAGTTGAACTCGCCATCTGGAATTTCAGAAAGCATATGAACCTGATTGAACTTTAATAAAGCTTACCAGTTCTGACACATAAAACTGAGATGAATTTTGGTGAATATTCCGACCAAGAAATTTACACATATAGAACTTGATATGTTAAATTAATTCACCCCCCCCCCCTTAACCTTAGGTGAGAAATCTTGTACCTTCAAACTTGCAAGTCGTCATGGAAAATTAATTCTCTAAAAATATATATTTAAATTTTTAAAAAATCCCATTCAGTTTATTCCCTAATAATTTTTCAAAAATATTCTTGGTTGATAACTGAATTATTTCAAATGGTTGCTTATAATTTAAATTTTTTAAAAAAATTGAATTTTTAGCACGTTCAAGGTATCAGATCCCGTTCTAGAAAAATAAAGAAGATGGTTGCCCCAATTAAAATCAGAAGTCGACCCAAATTTTACGAAACCGTTTCGTAGTGCAGTCCCGTGTTGATATTTCTTTAGTTTAGTGGGCGTATTTTGTACTAGAATTTTCTCTTTCTTTCCCCCCCTACGTAATTTTTTTTGCATTCACGTGAAAAGCACGTGATCTGTTCAATCATACTTTAAGACTGAGGTTGACGCAAACAGTCTTGGACGATCGTTTTCGGAGTTGAGATAAGTTTTAAAGCTTTTTGTCCCCTCAAATTCATTGCTTGTTTTCGTTTGGAGTTCAAACGTTTTTGAGGGCTTTATTTACAGCCAAAATACGTTTTTCATTTCACACATGTTCAAGATCTTCACTGACGGAGTCTGGACTCTAGCCTCTTTATCAGAAAGGGACTGAGTTTTACATCTGTCTTCCGCGTAAAAAAACACTAATTTCCGATTTTGGACACTAGTGTCCAAAATCGGACATTAGTGTCTCAAAACGAACACTATTATCTAAAATTGTATACTTATATCTGAAATTAGAAAATCGTCTAAAATCGAACACCGCTGTCCTAAATTGAACCCTTCGTCAGCCTGCTTACTGCAGTAGGTAATGATAAGATATTCATGACGTAATGGATATTTGTCCGGCCCGAACCAGGATTAGTCTGAGTAAACTTGGATTTTACCTGACGTGACCAGCGCCAGCTTGGAAATTATTGCGAGTCTTGAGACGCTGTCTCATCTTAAGTTAAACTTTAAACAAAGATTTATCGTAAAGGACATAAAATTTGAAAAATGGGGAATATCACTCAGGGTATACCAATGGATATTTCCTCGTTTTAACCAGAGCATATTCGGTCACTGGAGGCGTTTAGGTCAATCATGCGTGAGCAAAAATATTTTATGAACTGTAAGAAAAAAATTGTATTTGATCTATTGGAGTACGGACGAATATAGGACGTCACCATCAACAAATTTTGCGTCTTCAACGTAGTTCTGTTCAGCACTAAATCTCAGAAGACAAAATTTGCCCACGAGGCGCAGTTGTTAGTATTTCGAAGGCAACGAATCAAACTGGTTTCACCAATACAGTCTGGATCTACAATTCACACAAAAGATTTATTATAGAAATGAAATTTCACCTAAATAATGCTTTTTATATACTCTTAAAGAACTAAAGTTATGTCATAGAATAACGTTAAAGCCTCTTCTGTACTAAAAATGAGACGTTCCCTAGCGATCCGAGTCGCCGTAACAAGATCCCATGCGTTGGCCTTCTCTATGAATTTAGGAATTAAAAAAAAAAGAAATTTTTTTCTTCGAGCTAACTGTTAAGCTATTACGGATTGGTAGACATGACAAGTTTGTCAGTAAAACAAACCATAAGGTGTTCCTTTCAATCAACCCTTTAACTCCCAAGATGTAATCGTTAATTCTCCCCTCTAGAAGCTAAACATTCCCTTCTAAAATATTTGTGAGCATTTGGTGCTAGATCAAGGTAACAACTTATACCCGAAAAGTTTGAGTATTCTTATTGCCTGTTTGCTGGACAATGTAAGGAGAAGTTACATGTTTATCTCCTCTAAGAGTAAAAGAGTTAAATTGGAAAATTAGTGGGTCTTAAATAGCTTTGATTGATACATTTAAAGATGTTGAAAACCAATTTATGAATATCAGAGGGAGAGGTTACATGCTAATCCCCTATGGGATTTAAAGGGTTAAAGAAAGTGAAAATAATGGGGGTAGTCTAGTGAGACACAGTTAACTGTGCTTCAAGAGAAGGCCTCAAACTTGAAGTTAGCAGGACAACCGCAATAAGCGACCATTGAAATCTAATCTAATGTACCACATTAACAAGTACATCTATGGATGGAATAAACACCTCCATGTGGTAAAAATTGGCTTCAACATGAAAGCCTGTGACTCTTTTTCTTACACTGAACAGCAAGATTCCAGCTTTCTTCAGTGTGATCATGTAAATAAAGTGCTTGCAGTCCTTCCTTGTGGTACTGTTTGTGGTGATGTACATGTTGGTTCTTACTTTACAGTCTCTTAAGAGTGGCATTTAAACAAAAGCTACTGAGTATAAATTTTTCAAGTGTATACTAAAACAGTTGATAGAGTTGAAGGCGTGCTCTGATTAACTACTCTAACTCCAAATATCCTTTGCTAATCACCCTCCAGCAACTTGCACAAGATTTGCAATTTAAAATATTGTAATCATAACAGGAATAAATGAGTTCAAATCATCTTTTTTGTGCTATGTTAACTCACTGTTTCAGTAAATACTAAAACAACTTTTCACCTCAGTGTTGGTAGCTAGCTGTGGATATTTACCTTGCTAATAGGCAGCTCAGTAAATATTCATCACTAGCTTCCTCCACTTTGGTGAATAGTTGTTAATTATTCAATCATTTAATTTAATCATGAATTTACAATTAATAAAACTGATCTAATTTTGTCCATTGGCAAGCCTGATTGCAGCATCTTGAAGATCCAGCAAGGTCTGTGGTAAATCCAGTTCAGGTGACTCTGATCTCTCATAAGGATGTGCTTCTGAAACTCTCCCCATCACACGACTCCTTATTGGTCCTCCACCGTTATGTCGCCTGTCTTGTGTACTACTGTTACTTTCATTCCATTCTTGCAGAAGTTCTTGGTAATTGAGCTCTCCAGGGTGATCCCCTCTATTAAGAAAGGGTGACCCCTCAACATTCGATTCTGGTGACCCCCCTGAGGTTGCAGGAGAGTCTATGCAATCCTGGGGGGAGTCACCTGCTTGCATTTCCGTGTTCCCAGCACCTTCCTGTTCATTCATCAGCTGTGACAAATGGAGACTCTCAAAGCGCACAGTTTGAAGTCGACAAATGCCGTCATCACACTCTTTGTATCTACAGTTATGGACAGGAATTGCTCTATTAAATACAGAATACACTTCTGCTTCACCTCTAGTCAAAACATTTTCAGTGACCACTCCAATCAAAATTACATAGCAGCACTTCACTGAAATTCTACTTTAGATCATGACATTGAACATAACCATGTGACTATTGCCTATAGCACCTTTGAACCCATAGAAATCTGCATACCACATTTTGTCGAGGCAACAGACTACTCTTCTATCCTTTTTGGGCTTACCGATCCATCAAATAACTCTTCAGGTCAGGAATTTTATCAAGAAGGGTTAGTCAGTTTTACAAAGCTTAAAATTGTTTATTAAGGTGCCATGTTTGAGTTGGGGTAAGACTGGGAGGAGAGGGGACGGGGGGGTGCAAAAGTTTACCCCTCTCCCAAACTTTCCTCTCCTTTACAAAATTCAAGTTGGTAATCAAACTTTTCATGATGAAGTTCTAAACTTGGTCAGTCAAAAATACACTCACGCTGCAAGCTACACAAGTGATTTTGCCAAACAAATAAAAATATGAAGCTTAATCACTCATAGAATTACAGATCAAATTGGAATCCACTTGCTCCTATTACCATTATTATCACTGCTATTATTAGCATCATTAGTATTTACATTATAATAATCAGCAAAATAATGTGTTGTCACCTCACCTAAACCTTGGATGTCCAGCTGGCCAACTGAACCTGTGTTTTTTCTTCAGATGGTTGGTCAACCCAGATCCTCTTGTGTATCGCTGTCCACAAACATGACATTCATATCGGTACAAATCAATTCCCTAGAAATGTATTTTAAGACAAAAGTAAACAGATGAACAAAGAAAAACAATGCATCTAGCAATTCACTACTGATAGTAACATTCAACAAATACCTCACCTGGTGATCAACTTTCTGATGCCTTTTCACTGTTTGCATGGCACGAGCAGAAAAGGTACAACCCTCAAAATCACAATGATAAGCTAAAACAGCATTGTGGAATTCACGGTGACGCCGCAGATCTGATTGCATTTTACAGCTAAAATGAAAAAAAAAAGTAATTTTTTTGTGCATTGCCTGATTTCTGTAATTCTCTTTCCCAGCCATTATTTAGTCTTGTCACACAAAATTCTGGGAAAAAGAACATGTCTCAATACAATTGCTTTTGATATTAACCCAAATGTTTCTAATTTGTATGCTGCCAGTCTTCACAGAAGTTGTGTGACACCTTAGGAAGCGCTATGCTCTAGTTTGACTGGTTGGTTTTCAACATCTTTGAATGTATCAATCATTTTTTCAATTTAACCCTTTTACTCCCAGAAGAGATAAACATGTAACTTCTCCTTACAATATCCTTACATTATCCAGCAAACAGGTTATGAGAATACACAAATTGATCAGGTAGAAGTTGTTATCTTGATCTGACACCAAATTCTTGTCACTACTTTACATGGAAATGCATTGCAGCTGGAGGGGAGAATTATCAATCAGATCTTAGGAGTTAAAAAGTTAACCGCATGTTACTCTGTCCATTGGACAGTGCACTCACGTGTAACTGCACACATCACATTTAAAGGGTCTTTCCTCCGAATGTCTGAATTTGACATGTTGCTTGAGGGCTGAAGCATTTGGACAGGTCATGTCACAGAACTGACACTTCACATTGTTGACTGCAAATAAAATTTAATAAACAATTACATACATTTATGTAAGGTGGTTTTATTTCTTTGTAATTAAAATAAGTTGAATCACACTTTTGGAAATGAGTTTATTTTTCATTTATCACCAGGGGCTAAATTCCCTACTCTTTACAAGAAGTATATGTGACTTCTTTAAAGTTCTCTGCTAACCAGCACAGTACAGTATCAGAGGAGACTTGAATGTCTAACCATTTATTCAAATATTTTAAGGTGGCAGATGAACTATCAAACTAATACATTGTAACAGAAATTTGAATTTTGATCATGCTTTGCAGGCCCTGCACTTCTTCCACTTTTCAGCTGTGACACGCTCTACTTAAGTGACACATTGTTCTACACTTAAAAAAATATTAAAGGGAAATGATTTAGTACTTCATTGGTGTTAACATAGTAAGTAGAATATTATGTGGCTGCTTGGAGATACAATATTTCTCTTCACATGTTGAAAAGTATTTAATTGTTCCCTTCACTCAGCCATGAAATACTGTTTAACAATTGAAGAGAAATTTCAAATCTCCATGCTGCCATGTAATATCCTTTACTTATGTACCATGATGTCTCATGTGATCACGCAAGATACGCTCAGAGCCACAGTGCTTCAGACAGTGTGAACATTGAAAACTTTCGACTGCAACAAAGCAAATCAAAAGGAAAACATTAAAGTGATGAAAACTTGAGTAAAATCAATTACCATGATCAAAATTTACTCACATCCTGAAGAATTCTGTCGAACCATGTGATCTACAAGCTTTGTCTTGTTTGCAAACATACCACCGCATGTCACACAGGCAAAAATCTTCTCTCTTGTGTGACTTCGACAATGTTCTTTAAGTTTGTAGTGGTTTACAGTTGTAAAATTACATCCTTGAAAAAAAAAAGAAGAAACTACTTAGAGATGAGATACCCACTTTCCATCTGTATTTTTGCCCTGTTATACAGTGTGGTACAGGGCATATTTTTAATATTCTGTAACTTTATTTTTGTAAAATAGCATAGTAGAGGAATAGTAAAGTTTAATATTTTGCTTTACAAAGCTTCTATGGTAACCGGTAGGACAAAGAATGTGACTGGTAAGAGGTGATGTCAAGAGCCAGGGAAATTGAAAAGTTTAAACCTCGACATATACCTAAAATAGAAATCAACAAAGTATACCAAAAACTTATGATTGACTGCGTGCTACAGCACTCAGAATAGAATTCACCAGCAGAGTTTAAGTAATTTGATATGTAGTTTGAGTTAGCACAGTGTTAAATGTTCATGGTATATTCCATAACAAACAATCACGACGCTTAGCTAGTCAAAGATGGCAGATCCTTACCCTCCCACTGGCAAGTGACGGAGTACTTTTTTCTGCCATTTTCTCCAACTCCTGCGTATATCTTATCCACAGCCCAAGCATGACTGTCAACATGTCTGTAATAAAGCGTAGGACAGTTGAACTCAACACTGCACTCTTTCCACTCGCAGAGAAACGGTTCAGGAATGTCAGGAAGAAGATTTCTGCTTTGACTGTCTAAAGTGCAAGGCGTCAGTTTCATTTCTTGCTGTTTTTTGTACCCTTCAAGCTTTATTTTAGTGTGGAAAGCGTGGAAGAAGACATGACGGATTATATCACCGGCGTCAATGGGAGAATCCCAACCGCAGTCTCTCCAAAAGCAAGTAAAATTTTCTGGTATATTATCATCTGAGAAACCCGCTCGATATCCCGGGAAAATTCCTCTTAAATGTCCTTCAAAATGCTCCCTGAAGTCTTGAAAACTTGAAAGGGGAAACTTTTCTTCACAAGAGCCCCATTCGCACTCGAGTAGATCCATCACTTCGTTAAAAATCAATAGTCAAGCTGTGTTGAAAACACAAAGTCAGAGCGAAATAAAGACCCGCGAAGATCGGCCATTTTTATGCGCCCCGGATAATTACGGTCAGCTATTTAGATTTGTAACCAGGCCATTGTCTCTCCTCGACTTAATGTTGTAGCATCATATAAACTCTCGCAAGCTGTCCCGATAGTTTCCTAGCGTCTAAGGTCTACAACATTTGTCCGAAAATGTCCTTCGGTGCGGACTGTTTTCTTGATCGTGATCGAGAGGGTTTCAAGGGGCAAATCAAGCAAACGTATCCTTAGTGAATAAGATCTACCTGTAAAAGGGAGTGACGAACAAAAAATGCAAAATTATCGGTGTTACCTGACCTGATGGGGAGGGTGAACTTCCCAGACCCTCTCTCTTCATATGCTACTAGACTCAGAAAAGTTTTGATTTTTCAAGTCTGTAACATAATGCTTCATATGATTTGAATTGGAGGCACTTAATTGTAATCAATCTGATATTGACCTTGACAAGTTTGCCAAGATACCAAGATTTTATTGTCACCGAAATTGACTCTCAAGGGAAGCTGGTGGAGCTTATTGGAAACAATATTTCTTCTGAAAATGATGACAAAAACTGTCAGAAAAGAAAAAGAGATGGAAAACCCAAAGAAATGATTGAGTATGAGAGGAGTTTGGAACTTAAGAGTCTGGAAAAAGAAACACCATTTTTAACCAAGGTACAGCTTATAACCATGATGATGGTGCATGTAAGAGAGTATCATGTCATTACTTTTTGTTGTTAACAAAATTACCTTTATTTTTGCATTGCTTAAAATATCTTTGATAATCTTAACTTTCATTTAGATTTCTGAGTCATTTGACAATTTACAAGAATGTGCAGTGAGTGATTTGGAAAAGTGTCTGGGAAGTGAGAAATTTACAGAGCTCAGAGATTTTTCATTGGATGTTGAGGAAAGGAAAGAAAACAACAAGAGAATATGTGTTTGTAAGGTTGATACACATGTGCCTAAAATAGATGATAATGTTATCTTTTATTGTTCAATTATCTACAAAGTTAGAAGGTTTAAAATAGATAGATTGATAGATAGATATGTTTATTAAAAAATCACTTTGCAGCAGAGAAGATGAATTGCGTTTACACAAAAATGGTGTGATGAATAGATACACAAACATTAAAAGTGTGATTTATGAAAATTGAATAAAATCCATGTACAGCTCTGCTACCACAGCATTGAGCACTTTATGCCAAGGTAGACTCTACCCCCACATTTATATATAAAAATGTATATATTGGTAATCAAGTTCATAATTTGCAGTTCATAATTTACATGTTGAGATTGGTTATAAACTCATAAAAGATAAATAATATTCATCATACATAGAGTATCAGGGTGCCAAACCTAAGGTCAGATGAGGGGATGAAGGGTGGAAGACATCACCCTCCCCCTCCACTCAGATCTCTTAACAGTGGCCAATTCTCCTCATAAGCTTGGTTGATTAAATCAAATTATCTTACAACAAAATGTGGTCAAGGATGTATACTGTAATTATGGTGTTTTTCCCAATTTGAAGAACATTGCACTCCAATTATATACTCTGAACAGTGGAACCCCTCTCTTAGGAAACCTCCATGTTCATGAATTTTAAATTTCACCATAGCATCAACAATGTTAAAAGAGGAACGAAGAGCTCTTCACAGAAATGTCAGGTTGGCATACCCCCATCTTCAGACTATAACCGTACAAAGTGAGCAAGAGGTAAGGTGTTCAATATGGATGCAGGATTGTCAAAAAGATTTTTTAAAATCTGGATGGGATAAAAAGTTTGCAGCATAATGTGATGCCTCTGTACTAGTCTGAAAGTTAAGCTACAAGCATTACAAGTAGTAGGCTAGTTTTCAGAATAGATGTGTTTTGACAACCCTGTTGATGCATTACTGAATTAATAATAAATTTAATAGAAATTTTTGACCTTGAAGTAACCGTTTTATGTCACACTGATAAAGAATCTTTTTTTTCTTCAGGGAGACCCTCCATCCATTCTTGCAGTCAGTGATAAAGTTTATTGGGAGTTTTTTGAGTTACTAAATGATCGACATCAAGTGAACAGGTAATGCACTGGAGGACTTATATTATAGTTGCCTGTATTTTGTTTTTTATTCTTGATGTTGTGTCAATATTTAGATTGGAGGACTGGGAGTCCTGATTGATGAGATTTACTTGTAATACTGGCTTACCAACAGATATTTTATCCTAGCTGTGTTGGTGGAAAAGTGTGGTGATTGAAGAAAAATTAGTTGTAATGTGTTAGTTTGTCCACTTAGTTGAAAAATTTTTTTAAGCCTGTCTTTGCTTATTTTATGTATTGATCAATAGACTGCTGTGTTTTGCTCATTGGGAAATGAGAACAATATCGTCCACTTTTGATCTCGATGTCAGTAATGCAGATAAAGAGAAGCGCACAAAGGTGACAATAATAACCCCTTACACCCTAACATCATTGTGTATATTCTCCATACTGTTCTCTATACATTTCCTAGGCTCTAACAAGGAGAATTTGTAAAACCATCAAGAGCTTTGTTCTAGTTGCTGATCATTTCATTTATTCTCATGGCTTAAATATTTGATTCAAAGGATAGATTGTGAAGAGAAGTTAGAACACTTGTCACTCTCAGGGATTAAAGAGTTAACGTTGATCTTGACTTGGCCAGCATGATTGAGATGAGGAAGGAAACCTTGGATGTATATTTCATTAGATATTTCGGTGTGTAGAGTATTGCTGAGTATTTTTTATGAGCAGTCAAAATACAAACAAAAAGTAAAAATACTCAGAGATACTAAACACTAAAACGTATATGAAGTGATTTATTAATATACAACCTCAAAATTGTCATGCACTTTTCCAGAATTATGACTATGATGATGATTCCAACTCAGCCTATTCAATAAAAATAAAGTTATTATTAAATTGTAACACTTTGTCTATACACTGACCTATTATCTCAGATTCACAGACTGCTATCAAAGCATTTTGGCTCATTTCTTGAAAGCAAGACATTCAATGACTTTGAAAAGAAGACATCAAATGGTGCAGGTAGAGGAAGCTACATTCAGGTTAGAATGCGAGTGAAGGGAAAAAAGTCACTACAGCAAAGTTATAAACCAACAAGGTCCAGGTTAGTGCTAAATGAGTATAGGCTGGGGTAAGTTTCTAAAGAAATTGTGATGCTGTGGGGGTGGGAGAGTATAACAAGGTATATTTGTTTGATATCATCAACTGAGTTTATCACTTAAATTGGCCACTGTTAAGAGTTTGAGAGCTGGCATTTTGAGTGTTACCCCTTCATCAGAGTGAAACCTCACCTCATTTGTTCTGACGAAGGCTATGCAGTAATACTGCTGAATCACTCATTTAGATCATGAAAATAAAAGAAATGATGAGCAACCTAAGAAGCTTTGATTGTCAATAAAGGCTATTATGCTCAAAACATCACCTTTCAGACTCTTAACGGTAGCCAATTTACGTTATCAACTCAGTTGATAATTAAAATTTATCAAGGTTAGAGCTGCTTAGGTCATATAAATATCCTTTTGAATGTCTATGAACCAGACCCTGCCTGTGGGACAAAAATGTAGACATACAACTTATTTATCAATTTACTGGCAAAGGAAAATAATCAGCTCTGGGGAAATTCAATCGAGAAAAGTTTGTAAATCTTGTGCTTATGGTGAATGAGTCACAAGCTTTGATTTGTGCTGTTCTTCCACTGTAAAATGTGCTGGTAAACCAATCTGTAGAATGATAAACTTTAGACTTCTTGTATGCTGTAATGTTAATTGTTTCTGTCAGTTTTCCATGCTATTCATTCTGACTTATGAATCACTTATTTATTACTTGATGTTGTTTCTTTCATCAAAAATATTTTAACTCTCCAGTCAGACTGAAAGTGAATACACAGGATTTGTTTTATGCAAAAGAAATATGGTAAGGAAGGATTTATGCTCATGAAATGTTCACCCACATCATCATCAAAAGCTCTCCCTTACCTGCTCCTTTGCAATTTGAAAAGGTTCAGTCTGGATGCAACTCTGGTTCATTAATATTTTTTCCCTACCAGGGTTTTTTCTCTGGATTAACTCCATTTTCTGGTACTCATTTATACTTCTCAGCCCTTTACACTCTATAAGTGACCAACATCTCATTTCTCCTTGCAGTAATAACTGCTGAATCATTCATTAAGGTCAAGAAATGATGAGCAACCTTAGAGGCTTTGATTGTTAACAAATTCTCCTTGCCAGTACCAAAGAAAATGTATAGTCTGTCATCATACAAGAGATGAACAAAATTGGATGACTGCAAAGCAGGAGTCAAATTTGTCAATCACGAGTATGATTACAGACAGAATTGGACGACAAGAAGTCCTTTTACCAATTAATCATAACTGTTACAATTTCCATATTGGAACTGGCTGCTTCAACTGTCAGATTAAAGGTTTACAGAATGATTAAAATGAAAATAAAGCTGCTAAATTGTACCAATCACATTTGAGGAAATTGTAGCAGTTATAAATTTGTTAGTTTTTGGTAAACATCCCCCTTTTTTCTTCATAATCCAAAGGAAACGCTGGAAGCTGTACACCGCTTGTCCACCTGTCTGAATATTCAGCCTTCAGCCTTTAGTTATGCAGGTATCAAGGATAAGAAAGCAGTCACCAAACAGTACATGGTGGTCAGAGGTGTCTCACCAGAACAGTGAGTCATGCTAGTTTTGTTGTTTTTCAAAATTCTTCTTTTTTTTTTAATAGGATAAGATAAAACCATTATTATTTAATATTCTTGCATGATGAGCATGGCTTGGGACTTTGAACACTGAACCTTTGGTTCCATTATGTCTGTTTTTTTTTTCATTCTTGAGGATGGAATCCGGGCACTGTAAAAGAGAAAAACCCTGAAAAACAACACAATAATTCTGCGGGGCATCCAAAAGTCATTTGGAGGCCAAAGTATGAGATATTTTAGTTAGACGGTATGTACATGTATTTCAGATTTCCAGGTAACGTGTCAATTATTTTAGAATTTCCAAGCTTTTTCTGTTAGAAGCAAAATTGGAAACATTTGAGTGATTTATGGCTATTTGTCAGTTTCTGGCATAGCCTATTAATTCATTCAACAATAGTAAGATTTTCCTTTTCATCAAATAGGATATGTGCTGTTCAAGATCACCCCTCATTAGAGGGTATACAATGTGGAAGCTTTAGGAAGGGACTGAGTAGACCTCTCAGAATGGGCGCACTTAAGGGAAACCATTTTCAAGTTGTGATCAGAAATATTCAGAGTGACACCAGTAACAGGTCAGTGTGAACCCTGTAACATATGTCTGTGGTTTTTAATCGTAAAAAATATATCACCTTTTTTTTCCAGTGGCATTTCATTCAGTGTGTAATCAGCACTGAAAAAAAAGACAATTTTCTCCTACTTTCTATTATTTGCAGCCTTGTTGAGGAAAATGTTGGTGACTTGGAAAAAGTTGTACAGGTGTGTTATAATACATGTAAGTTGAACAAATGCTAGAAGAGTACCTTGTTTCAAAATATCACCTTTCATCAATTTTATTGTTTCAAAGCAGTATGTTTACTAGGCAAGGCTTTTGTAGACTTAACTTCAATTCATGATGTAAAAAGCTGAGCCAGGGAATTGTGTGAAAAAAATTTGTGACTTTCAAAAGAAGTCAGCAACATGTTTTGCAGATGGCCATCTGAAAATTTCCAAGGACTCTAGGGAAGTGTGGAGTTTTGTTTCATTTCTAGCCTTAATGTACTAATTTTAAAGATAAGGTAAAGGTAGATGAGAGATGTGGTAATACTAGGTTTTTCTGAAGAGAAAATAATATCATGCACTATTATTTTCTGTTGGTTTTTGTCTAAATTGTTATATATGTAGTGTCTCCTATGGGTCAAGAGTTTCTACTCATTCTCATTGAAGTGGATTTCCCATGCTATTTCCAACAGTCATCTAATTATTTTTTTTTAAATACCACATTGGGAGGCCTAAGTTGTGGTTTAAATTTTTGTGAAGCTGTACAAAGTTAAACCATCTTATACTTGTCAATATCATTTATTTATTAGCTTACAGTGAGTCACTTGCTCACTCACTTACCTATCTATTCATTCATTAAACTTTTAAACATTTATTTTTTGTTTGTTTGTTTTTTAGGATGCAGCATCCTCTTTGTCTCTTCATGGATTTCTTAATTACTTTGGCCCTCAAAGGTTTGGCTTGGATGACAAAGAAGTAAATGCGTGTGATGTCGGGCTTGCTATGTTACAAGGAGATATGGCAAGGAAATTTTGTAATTTTACAGTTTGTTTTAAAAGTCTCCAAGTAATACGTGTTGTGCAGGAATTGAAGTCCAAATGTGGGCTCACAAAGATATTGAAGAAAAGTAACTGTGTATTGTAATTTCCCAAACTGCAGCACGTGTAAAACAATAAAGGCTTACAGATTGATTTGTTCGTATTTACCCTCGAAATTTTATGAATTTCAAAGTTTTGGGTTCAGCTTCTGCAAGCCCGATTGGCCCCGTATAAAAATGTTTTTTATTAATTTTATTATTTTCTTCTGTGTAGGTACGAGCGGTGAAACTTCTTCTGACTCCATCGGAAAATAATCCAGACAATCCCGTGGACTCCGCTAAGAGGTCAGCAATAAGCATAAGATAAGACTTTTCCATTAAGTGTTCGAGACCATAGCCATTCAGGACAAGGGAAGATACCATGAAAACTCAAGTAAGCACACATAACCAGTCAAAAGCGCAGGAAATCTCGCGTAAACAACTCGTGTCCCATTGGTTTATAGTTGGGGGCAAGTTTTTTTTATCAATCACAGGGCAAAGCGAGGCAAACGCTTAAAGTAACTGAGAGTTGCTCCCAGATGAAAATCCCTCTTCTCTTTACTAATGGCATGGTTATAATCTTCCTTTTCGTTTTCCTAATCTTCTTTCGTGTTAGGTATTACTGCGAGACAGGTGACGTGCAAGGTACATTGAGTAAGATGCCCAGTTATAAAGTCCGTGAAACTCTGGTACTCAAAGGACTTCATAGACACGGGACCGACGTGGTCAGTTAATCAATTCCCCACACTTTTTTATGTTTTTGATGAATGATTTTAGCCCGAAAATATATCTTTGTCTAAAAGTTATTAGTCTCTAAGGAACGTTTTGTGATGTTTGGATGGGTTGGTTGGTTCGAAACACTATTGTCTTTTTCAGACACTAGTGCATGGTTGCGGACACTCCTGTCCGATTTTAGACACTGAGGTCCAATGCTGGACACTACTTTCTGATTTTGGGCACCAGTGTCTGATTTCGGACACTAGTGTCCGATTTTGAACACTACACGCGTTTCCCTGAAAGACTTGCCAAATTTGCAATGACAATCTGATAAATGAGAACGCGAAAATTTGCAACCACTGGCAACTGTACTAATCGCTGTTATCAGTAATGAAATGTTTATCAAAAGTTCCTTGTCTGGTAGTATGTCTTTACTTTTTTTTCCTTCTAGAAAACCAATAATGTTAAACCTTAAAAATATTAAAAACTCGAACTAAGCGGCCTGGAATTAAATTCTTGTTTACATGCGTAAACAACCGAACAAAATGTCCGGCCCTCCTCGAAGTTGACAGGTCAAAACCTATATTTGACCCGAAATAGTCCGTTTAGCTTTATTTCGAGCCCTGTTATGGCATCGAAATGCCCCATACTTGTGCAGCACTGAAGCTAGATCTAGAAACTCAATTTTCTCTCTTGTATAGGATGGTTGTCGGAAGGCGCTACTGAACATTCCCTATTCCATGCGCTTGTTGTATGTTCACAGCTATTGCAGCCTGGTCTGGAACCAGATGGCGACTTTGAGGATACAGCGATACGGGCGGACAGCGGCTGTACAAGGTGACCTCATCGCGGATAAGTTTGCAAATGTAGATGAATTAAAAAATTCGGCGACCGCTGACAGTTGTGAAAGTGCTAGCGCGGGAAATTCGTGCGAAGATGACACCAATGGTGTAAGAAGGGATTGCGTGAGATGTGTTTCTGATCAGGATGAAGGAAAGCATGGCCTCAAAGATGTAGTTTTACCGCTTCCTGGTTACAACATTCAGTATCCAACAAATGATGTGGGGGACGAGTGAGTATAAAATGGCAGATTTAATTATTAGTTTCTAAAGCGATAGTTGTATAACGTGGAAGGCAAAGTGAACAACTCAGATGATATCAATTCGGACTTGTTTAACCCATTAACTCTCAGAAGTGATTAACATGTAACTTCTCCTGCAAACAGGTCTTGAAAATACTCATACTTATCAGGTAGAAGTTGTCATCTTGATCCAACAGCTAATTTTCGTAACTAATTTACAAGGAAATAGCAGCAAGAGAGAAGAATCAACAATTAGATCTTGGAGGTTAAAGGGTCGAGGGTTTAACTTTGTCGGTTGTGGACCGCTTATGAGAAGTAATTTTTTTGCGGTACAAATACGTGGCGGTTGGAAAAGAGAATAACGAGACAGAATGATTTCTTGTTGATTTAATTTAGGCGAGTTAAAAAAAAAAGTTTCTCTATCGATAAAGATAATTGCACGTTGTAAAGAGTTAAGTTAATATCCTTTTTGTAGGTATAAAAAGAGGCTGGAAACGGACGGGTTGACTGCAAAAAGTTTTAGGTTGGTGTTATTTCCCTTATTTGACAATTTGTTAAATTTGAACCCATAAACAGATTGTCACTTGAAGTCTACAATAGTTTTTTTTTTCTTCTGCGCTGTTTATTTCAGGCTGCGGAGTCTGGGTATGAACTTGCCTGGTACTTACAGAAAGCTCGTGGTATTCCCATGGGATTTGTCATATAGATATGTTGGAGAAGAGCGTACACGAACGGAAGATAGTTACTCTACCAGGAGTGATCACTGTACAGCAACAGAAGACTCAAGTTGTGTTGACAGTGACAGTGACGCGAAAAGACCGCGACTTGCATCAAGCAGTAACTGTTACGACGACAGAACAAAAGATTTTAGACCAACAGAACTCAGTGAGGTTTGTCGAAGATCTGAGGGCTGCTGCAGTAGTCTTGAGATCTCGTTTAGTTTGGAACCTTCTTGTTACGCGACGTCGTGTTTAAGAGAACTGATGAAGAATTGAAAGAATAGAAGAAGCGATTCTCAAAGGGGGATTCCACAAAATTGAACCCCTGTAGGATATGGAAAATTTTCTGTTACTGGTTTTGAAAGGTGGAATTTCTAACTTAAGGCTATTTCTTAGATTGTAAGAGGGTTGAAATTTTACAATATGTGCTTTCATAGGGTGGTGAATCGTTGTTGTAAAAATAACATGGCTATGCGAAAAGAGTGTGTTGATGAACCTCGCCTATAAACATTTTAATGTCCCCCAAGAGATTGCCCAACTTTCATGCTTTCTGTTCACATTTTCTGATCTTCACTAAAACGCAGAGTTGAACAAGATTTCCACAAGAAAAAAAACTCTTTAGCGGAAGTAGAGGATATTGTGGCATACAACAATCTTCACCCCTTCAAACTCGAAACTGTGAGTTTGTTGCCTGTTCCTCCATCCACGGCTTCCTTTATTCCACTTTGTGTTATATTGGCTACTCACACTGAAACACTTAAACCATTATTTAAAGGCAGTTAATGAGTAAAAATACTCAGCGATACTACACACCAAAACGTCTAATAAGTTATTTATTATCCAGTTGCTTTTTTTTTTCTGTAAGTCTTTCTGCTCATTTCTCATAAGCCGGGAAAAGCAAAGCGGATAGAGAAGCGTAGCGCTCGCAGCCGACTGGCACAAAATAACCAACCGTTCAAATAACCTTACAATATCGCAGGATATTTGTACTCTTCCACGGTGCAGTTGGATAATTAAAAGCCCCATATCCAGTATATATATTTAAAGTTTAACAAACATTTAGTGAAGTTGCCAACGCGTTTTGAAACTTCTGAGAAATATTTGCGGTCGACACTTAAGACAGAAAAAATATATCCCCGGTCCATGAACCTGTGGGAGCCACAAGCAGTGTGAAATAGAATTATATACAATACACATGTTCAATTAAATTCTCTGTATTTAAGAACACAATATCATAGTTCTTGTCCTCGTTGTTTCTCATTTATTTGGTTCAGAAGTATTGTATAAAAGGCAGAAAACAATTGCTGTAGGATATGATCCAATAGATAACACGCTAGTATCACTACAAAATCAGAATTGGTCAGCTATTATAAATTTTTTTCCGCTACAGGAGTACTATCAAAGACCGTTACTTGTCTCTGGAGCAATATCTAAAGACAATCTCTAAAATATTCATCAAATCTTTGAACTAAGCACACTTAGGCTAATTTTCTCATCACTGATACATCCACAAATGATTGTTCTGCTGCGCGGGTTCAAAACTCAAATAACGAAGATGATAAATCAGTACATAGTTCTTCTTCTCTCCAGAAAAAAGGCTGAACATGGTCAGTGTCTACTGGTGGTATAAATATATCTAAACGACGAAGCTGTTCGCCGTTACAACATGCACACACGAATAAGATGTAAAAGCGGAATGATTAGCATCGTTGTTACAATAGAATCTTTATTCGCCCTGGATCCTGCGTTGATTCCGGGGGTGACTTTGTTACACATATCGCCTGTACAACAATAAAGGCACATCCAGTCCTTACTTCCACTTTGCATTCCAAAAATCTTCCGTTCGTCAAAACACTCGTTCCGACATCCACCATGCTGACTGAACCAAATCTCCTCTGAACAACCTTTCACTATGTGCGGATTGTCGTAAGTGGGTTGGTCGCTACTTCCTAGATCGACCATTGTGGCGCACTCTTGGCTGCAGTGAGCTGTCACCGGCGCTTCTCCGTTACAGTCTTCACCCTGACAAGATAGACATTGTTGACCAGACGCCGGTGCTTGATCAAGCGGGATTTTGCGAGCGTGTGCTGTTGTTTGGGCAGTTACCGCTATAGATATGACAAGTACGAGTACATTCATCCTGTTGAACTGAATTCTTTTCTTGGTCGTATTAATCGTTTGAACACTTAACTCAATAGGTACTGTTCTTAAACGATTAACGTAGCTGCAATAGCGCACACCGACAGGCCACAGTCAGGCCAATTTTAGAATTTGATCACACAATGGTATTGTTTCGGATGTTATGGGTGAATTCTTATGACAAAGCTAGAAAATTCCTTCCCAATATTCTTGAAGTCTCTTGAGCACTCTCAGGTTTACCTTGCTCTTCGATGTCACATCTAAAAATGTATGTTCTGAAAAATACTGCCGCAGGCTATGTCTCAGTTTCTATTGTTTTCCTCGTCGGAAATGCTTAGAGTCTTCGAATAATCGCCTGATTTTAGTAGACATAATTTTACACATTACGTTACGAAAACCAGTGGTAAAACCTATATTGCCGTTGCAACAAGATTTCTATTCGCTTGCATTCCAGCGTTGATTTCAGGCGTCACTTAGTTGCACTTTTCACCACTTTTTTTCACTTTATTGCACTTTGCAGCAGTAAAGGCAAAATCAGTCTTTTCTACCCGCTCTGAAAACCTTCATTTCATTTATTGTAGCATTTGTTACGTTAGCCACCAATTTGACGGAACCAACTCGCATCCGAACAACCCATGGTTATGAGAGGATTGTTGTGACTGGGTTTGTCACCACTGCCAAGGTCGACCGTTGTAGCACATTCGTGGCTGCAGTTAGTAGTCACGCGCTATTGTTTCTCGCAATCTCTACCTAAATTGGCAAGATATGCGCAGCTAACCAGATGCCGGTGGCCCATTTAACAGGATTCTGCGAGTGACTACCGTCGCTATTATCACTGGGGTAACTCGCATCTAATTTTCCCAACAGTATTATCCTTGAATCAAACATTAAGGTCGCGAGAATAAACACGGGCCTCGTTGGCCATCTATCATCACATATTCAACGCGCGCTCGTGGAACAATATGGCGTAAGCAAGCTTCATAATATTAATGTGCACGTTGATAAAGTACTATATGTATGCGCATAAAAGAATCAATACGATCACCACATCCGGGAACCTAGTGCATGGTGTATATTTCGGTTATAACACGAGTGGTGAACGAGGGGTCATATTGAACAATAACGACACGATTTCCACATTCACTAAATGTTCGTTGATTGAATAATGATCGTCGCAAGATTTGTTGTCGTAAGCTACGAACGTATGTAAATGTACTTTCCGAACAACAAGATAACAAGAACACCAAAAAGAAAAGACATTATCATCTCAAGATCAGTCAAGGGGTTGTGACAAGACAAGTATTAACATTATTAAAGCCATATTTTCAAAATCTACGATGTTTTCCATGTGATAAAAAGAAAATTACACATTAGTTCGAAGATACGAATTTTATGTTCTCGTGGCAAGAACACGAAGATATTGTCCCTGTTACTCGAACATAAAATTAATATCTTTTCGCCACCGTGTAATATCCTCTATGTTATATTAAAGTTCACATGGCAACCAGGTGGACAATCAGAGATGGTTTGATGCTACTATGGTTTAAAGATTTAGTGAATGTAACCGAGAAGTTACAACTCATAGACCCAGCGTTTCGACACTCCTGTCTTGTCCCTTCATCAGGGGTGATCTAATCGCTGCAACAAGACGTCCTTTTATATGCTCACTAATTAGCTACCCTTTTTTTCTGATGAGGTGTAAATAGGCGTCAGGTAGAAAGCCGCCTTCATCACGATTTAAAGAAACGTGGGCGGAGTTGATATGCCAGGCTTCCACACAAAGGCGCTGGTGGTAACGTCGATTAGCAGTGTTAATTTTTAGATTTATCCCACCCAATTGTATGGTTGGTTAGGCATGTGTGCTCCGACAAAGCTGAATTTTCTTTTTTGCAAAAGAAGACCGCTTTTTGATGCTCTTTCTCTGATGCTCCTCTGTGTATTGTGGGTAACGTTAAGTTACTGCGGATCCTCTAGGTTTACTGGGTCCTTGCTTATATTGATAATATTTTGGTTTTGCCTTACTTTATACCATTACAATTGGATCAAAAAACTCATGCCATAAGTTTAGCCGGCTTTCGGATGCGCAATTTTATATCAGTCGCGGAAAGTCTCCGCTATTTTGACAAATACTAATCGCCTTAAGTTTGATGACAAAACATATTTGCTGAGAACACTGAGAAAAGTCAAATGAAACAAGTCGACCTACTAAAGATAATTTCCTTTGACATTTATGAATCGCGGAAAGGGTCGTCAAAGTTCACAACTGAAGGGTGAAAAGCTAAAATGTACAGCCTACTTTAAAATTGTGATAATTTTATATGCCATGCTCCATTATACTCGCAGTTAAGTCAAAAGAAGTTTTCCCTTTTTAATAAAAATCAGTGAAGTTCAGGACATGTACCTTTTCGCTTCCTATTATAGAATGTAAACTGAAATAACTAAAGAGTTTGAATAAACACATCATCACACTGATGTTTCATAATAAGTCACGCAACTTGATCATATATGGTATTCGAATGTTCTAATCCGTCACTCGTGACCGATCATGCGTTCCTGCAAGAACCTTCGTAACTTCAGAGGTAATATTAAATTTTTTTTGGATGATTCATCAGGTAAGGTCAAAATTTTTCATCCCGGTTTGGTAAAACTGAAAAAGAGAAAAATGTAGGGGCGAACTATTCTTCACTCAGTGATAAAAGCATCCTGAGCTAAATAAACAACATATTTTTCCCAGATTGACTGTTTGAGTAATCCAAAGAGTAATTTAACTTAGATTAAATATGAAATCTTCAGAGAGAAGAAGCAATGAAAGAAAAGTTTTAAGGAATTATAGAACGAATCGCCGGTTTAATGGTTCGGAAGGGCATTTAGAGGGATAAATACTCCAACAATATCTCTGAGGATACCTACTGGCGATTCAAGTTAAAAGCGGTCAAGTTGTTTTTTCCTAATTAAAAGTTGACTTCAAAATTCATTTCCTTTCTACTATAAACCCGATTTTTCCCTTTACGAGGGAAAAATCAAGGTGAAACAAAGGCCGGAAAAGTTTGACTTTTTTGGTCTTCGTTTGGATTGTTTTGTCATTGATCTGAGACGGAAGTCGTACTAGACTAATCAAAACGGAAATGATCCAATACAAAACGTCCATCACTTGACCAGCAGAGATAAGGAGTGCCCGGTAATTGGAATACATAAATATTCAATGCGAAACCAATCCTCAACTAAACATCAGAACAAACTCTTTCAAGAAAGATGTCTAACAGTCTTGGGAAGCGATCAGTTCTTTTGAACGTTCTTGTCATCCATGGAGTGCTTCTCTGGTTCAGCCTCCACATAGTCAGCTGTCGCGTAATCTCGTGCCAACCGCGTGACGGATCGACAGGTGGCATGACCTCCGTGATTCTTCGTGTTAGACGCTTCGTGAACGAGTCTGTGAACTTTCGTCGTGACAGTCCTCGACCACTATCGAAGCCGTTTTATCACACAATACCCAATGATGGAAAAGTACATCTCTTTAACAGCAACCTGAAAGTAAAGTTTCACGGAAAGGATGTATGCGTCTCGACGATGAAAGAAACGGTAGTGGATGAAAAAGGAGCTAACGAGAACAAAAAATACTCGTGCGAACGCGTTTGTTTTGGTCTCGGGGATCGCGTAAACCTGGTAACTAATTCTTCCTCTGGTGGTCGCCTATGGCATGGGAAGATGTGTTGTGTACGAAAACGAGAAATATATCTGCAACTTGATGTTATGACTGCGGGTCCAAAGTGCCTTACATGTCAAAGAAGAATGTGCCAAAGAGATCACATGACGATCAAACAATGTCCACCCGGAGATAAATGCTTAGCCATTACCTTGAATAAACCAGAAAGTGCAGCGGAGACGAACTCAAGGTAAGTGATGTTATTAGGATTGCGCAGAGTTACTACGCATCAATTCACGCGCGATTACAACGCGCACGGCCGTGCGTGCGTAGAAAATTTGCGGCTTTATGTCGGCTATAGCTATAGCCAGGGCCGTTACCGTTAGAGAGTTGGATTGCGATTCTCTTAGAAAAGAGAGTGATGACCCTGCATCATCTTTTTCAATTATACAGTTACTTTTTAACGCATTACCTAACTTGCCTGCATGTCGTAGTTGGAGAACAACCTGAATGCAAAATTGAAAGATTTAAGCCTTCGAGAATGACTCAGATTCGTGGTCTTGAGCTCGTGACAGATTGTCAGCATCTCCCTTGTTTCTTTGAATGTCCTAGGGGAGGACTGAAAGATCTCGAGTGTTAATTCTATTACTTCGGTGATTTAATCTTATCAACAGAGCAAGGGCTTCAAAAAGTGAAAGTAATTAAACGGCACGCCAGCTAGGGCTCACGGGATGGAAACCAAATAAATTATCCCTTGTTGCTCTCTTCCGAAAAAAAATATGTAATTATTTAACCGCAGCTTATTTTTATTTACCATTGCTTACTAATATTTTTTAGCGTTCTGCCGCTCATGCTGGGTTGTTCTAGTGATGACGGATTGAGAGGTTACTCATGCAACGATCAATGTCGCCGAGAGGTGGAACTGGTGGGGTCTGGAGTGAGACGCGTCTGCGTCCGTTGTTGTACCGGCAACGAGTGTAACAGAGTAGGAGCTTCTAAGAACGAAACTGAAACCACTGTCATGGAAGATGGAGTCCAGGATAGAAAACTGTCAGAGACTGTTAACGGAGGGTCTGGTGACAAGGGTGATAAGCTGCTAATAACATTTGGATTAACCGCGGTCCATTGCGGGTTATCCTGGAGCAAAATGAAATGGTGATAAAGCTTGCAAAACATGTAACGGGAACTTTCAAGTCAAGTTTCGCATAGAATACCGGATTTAATTTGTTTTACTTAGCTGCGCTCTGAGATGGGTCTCAAAAATGTGTCTACCTCTCAAAGAATCAGATAAAAAACTAGAACTAATTGGTTGTCCACGTTTTCCCTCGCTCTGTGATTGGTCTGGAAAACTCGAGCCCGCCTAAACAACCAATCAGATGCATATCTAAAAAATTAATCGTGAATTGGTTATCCGCGTTTTCCCACGCCTTGGCGTTTTTCATGTACTTGCTTACCCTAATTTATCATTTCCTACTTAAAACGTCAGAGATTTTGATCTGATTGGTTGTAGTGAGTGCTTTGGTTTTAACTTCACGGCACTCGGTTGAAGAGTTCGCTGTAATATTATACCCAAATGTAGAATTATTGTATTTATAACTGTAAATATCACGATTTATAGAATATCTTTAATTGTTGTATGTAATGCGAATGAGTTACATCTTAGTAAATCATATACTTGTTTTGTGTTTATAATGTAAAATACAAAAGGATGTTGGTAATGAAGAGATCCTGTACATTTCAGTTCTTTATGCGGTAAGTGATTTGAACCCGGGGGTCATGTGATGGTATTGTCTGATCGTTCGGGTGAGTGTAGTCCTGAGAAAGACTGTTGTCGGTGACTGATGTTTCGAAAACCCGAGTGGAGGTCATCATCAGAGTCAAATGACTTGGTTATTGTCAAGTGAATCTGATAATGACGCTCAGGTTGTCGAAACGTCAGTCACCGACAACGACAACATTCCTTCTCATTACTACACTCACCCGGACGATTAGACTTCACTATCACATTTTAGTTCTTTGTTGTTATCTACTGAAAAAAAAACTAATAAAGTCATTTTAAAGTAGTTGCTTTTTATTTTGTTCCTCTTAAAACATTGTCAGTGCCAATTTGTGACCACAAATTTTCACAAAATTTCGGCCAAGAAAGGAGCCTTAGAAAATCTTCGTTTTTATGAAACAGCACCATAATTGCCCATAGTAACAGTTATTCCGCACTTCCAAGCTATTTACCTATAACTTGACTCTATTCCACAGCTGAGTAGCGAAAGTTTTAGGCCCGTGCTCTCCTCAAAATGTCCTGTTTTGGGACACAGCGTTGGGTAACACGCTTTTTGTTTGCACCAATCCTCTCCCGGCCGGGGCAAATGCTTTCATTCCGTTACTGCCCGGAAATGCTTTCCTTTTTTCCTTTCCTCAAATCCTCCCAATTAACGAAGTAATCTGAAAAATTTAGGAGCATTTTAATCGTCGTTCTGGTGTCGCTCAGCAAACTCGCGTAGAGCTTTGTCATACTCTTCTGTGGTTTTCCTCATCTTTTCATGCTCTTCGGTCAGTTTTTGCCTTTGAGGAAGCGACCCAGACTTTCGCTTTTTGGACTGTGCTCTCCGGAAGGCTATCATGCCTGCAAGAGCCCTTCCTCCTCTAGATCCAGGCCTCTCGCAGAGAGTGCAATCCACTTGATGCGGATCACCATTCATACCTCCTAATGGTATCCCATGAATACACACGCGCTGATGCCCGTTCTCCTCCGGAACGTTATGACCGGGGTCTTAAAGAGGAGAAACAACGATCAAGCAGGTCAACACATGATCAAAAAAATCTCGAGCTTTGAATGGCCACTGTAACGCATTTACCAGGAAAAAAACATACAGACAAAAACAATTTTTATTTCCTTTACTTGCGTTGGTATGTGTTTTTAGCGCGCTTGACGCTGATGAAATGTTTTCGCGTTTTAAAAACCAAACTAAATCTAGTTTCCCGCGCTTTTGACCCTTTATTTATACTTCTGCTCGGCCGGACAAATCCTCCTCCGATGAAAAAATGAAGTATGCTTCTTCATAATTATGAAATGATCTTTTACCTGAGTAAGGCTTCACCATTATGAGGGTAGATTCGCCAGGTCTCGTTTTTGTGGCAGGAGATGTCAATATTCCGGTGTGCAAATGGTTTGCCACATGTGACTGACATCCATCCTTCATTTGAAGTAAGGTGGAGCTACATTCCCGACTATTTTCGCCAGCGGGAAATTCTGGGGCATCTACCAGGCTGTAATCAGGCTCTGGAGTAAAAAGACCTGAACGGGAAAAATGATAGGAAAGTGTTATCACTAAGGGGCACTTTTTCTCTACCAGCTTTGAGAAGGACCGGAAAAATTACTGCTTTTGGTGCTAATGAAAAGCGAAAGTAAATTTTCAGTAAAACATGCACGCGAGCTTACTCTTGCCGTTTCATTTTGCGTCTCTTTTTTCAGGTTCCATTTGAGATAACCTTACCTGGATGCCTTTTGCTCGATGGAGTATTATCATTCTCATCATCTCTTAGCTCCTCTCCTTCCGTACTTAAACAGTCTGACGAAGAGAGTGTCTGATTTGATCCTAAAGAAATGGTCGCTAATGAAGAACAAATTGACACTTCTCCAGAGTCATTCTGCGGCGAACCGCGAGAGTAAACGTTTGACCACTGATTTTGTACCGGATGATGAAAATCGTCTTTTCTAGGAAGCGGTTCGTCGGAAAATTCCGGTGTCTTTGGCAAAATTTCTAGCGGGATAACTTTCGTTTTAGTACATTCACACTGCAAACTGGAGAAAATTTTCCCCATAGTGAAATCAGCTCACTTAAAACACAAGAAAACGCGCGTTCTGACGTTTGCTGAAAAATGACGTAACAATTTGTTTTTTTGAGAAGCAAACGCGCGCATTGGAGCTTCTTTTTAGCTTTTTTGGTGCGTGAAAGAGGACATGATAGGAGCGCTCAATGGAGATCTACCGTTTACTTTTACATTTTTCTGCAGTGCAAAAACTGAATTTGCCTCTTTCAAGACCCTATAAAGGGCGAGATATTGGTCAAATTAGAGAGAAACTAACAGACACATTCCAAGACCTTAAAATTCCTATATATTTTTCTGATTTCCATCCAATGTTAGCTAAGAATACGTATTACCAGTGCGGCGTTGATTTTAAGTTTCCTATGCATGGGTGCCGAAAATCGTCTCCTAATCTTAAACATTTAGTTCGGGATCAAAATTTTAGTTAAATTCAGGGGGCCGATGGTAACACGCCACGGGGAGCTCTGTGAAAATGACTCGCGCAACGGACTTTGTCGGAAAAGGGGGACTGCTCACAGTGTAAGGTAAAACTTATTAGGAATTTTCTTTCTCACTTTTACCTTGCTCGTTAGTAGTTTTGATTCGCAAAGAATGCAGTTAGACTTGTACTGAAATCGCAGTATTTCGAGTCGTTTTAAACTTTTCACTTCTAACACTGATCATACAGAAAGTTCTCCTTACAACATCCGGTAAGGACACTCTCTGGTAAGTAATGGGAAAAAAAAAAACAAAACAATAGGGTTTGTTTGATAAAACGCTAAATTCCCTGAAAAAAAAATTGGCGTAAATTTCATATAATTTATACTTATTCTTAGGTATAGGCAAGAGAAAATTATGGTCCCATTATTTTCTCTAAGTATAGGGATAGAAGGGTTGAAGTTATATAAAAATTATCTTTAAAAAGAAACCATCAAATAGCCATTTGTTGGATCAATGTCAGTATTTGAGCAACTGAGCATGCACCTACCCCTCCCCAAACCCAACAATAGTCAACTGAGAGCAAGTTAAGGTAATGAAAAGAGGTAAAAACGTGACTCAGGAGGAACAAGAGTGATCCAGATTGACAAAAATACTATGCATTGGTGATGACGGTTGACCTCCGTTACGAACCGGAAACTTAAGTGATGGATTATCCTTCTAATGCTAACTGTGCGTTTTAAGTGCTTTTTAGCGTTAAGCTTGATTTAAAAAGAACTCACGCATGCAACATTAAACACATTTTCTGATAATTTACCGTGAGAAAGCAATTATGTTTCAAGAAGGCCGTTTCCGAAGTCCATGCCGCTGTTTGACATTTCCATATGTTTCCTTTGTTGACATGTTTGTGTCCAATCCCTACTCATTAACATTTTGCCAAAACACGACAAAACTGGTGTAATTTTTTGATGGTGTTTGTCAAGAAATCTTCGATAAATTTATCAAAGAACGAAAATACAGAGAGAGAAGAACGTGTCCTCCAAGGTTCCAGGAGTCACTAAATTTTAAGTCTGAAATTTTCGTGAGCATCTGCGGACACAATGCTTTATGATCGCTAGGAGGCATTTGTCTCCAAGGCTTTCAAGGATCGCCTAAGTCTGGGTGATGATGAATAGTACGTCTGTTTAGATAATCACCTGAAATATTCATGAAGGAAACACATTAGCATCAGGATCGAAACGCAAGGGAGCTTGAAGTGTGCAGAGAATAGACTATTCATCGTGGCAGGTCACACGCGAGCGAAAGATTAGAGAATCGTCTCCCCTGAAATCCCGCTGTATTTGCGAAGGGAAGTTAACACTGTGTATTTTTGAGTAGCGACGCAATCCAAGCGTTATTTGAATGGCTATTTATTTTGAGAGATTAGTCAGTAGACGCTGTCTCAATTTCAGTGGCTTGCTGCGTGTTAAATTACCTTGAACTCGAAACTCTTCGTTAACAGTTCTAAGTCTTAAAACCTTCAACAAGTGGAGCTCGCTTTTGACATTTAATGGCGGTTGAACTCGTCCAAGACCTGTCTTTCCCTGTAAAGGTTTACGTCGTCCTTCTGCATCTTTTACTTCTGTTTCTGGTGGTTCTGTTTCTTCAAAGGCCGTTTAAGAAGTCAAGTGGCGACAAGGACGAGAAGCATAGCCGGAAAATTAGAACTTTGACGAAGGATAATCGAGCAGTAACTATCGAACCTTGTGCATGGCTGAATTCAACTTTGGCGTGGTTGTACCTTCACGCTCAAGGGAAAGATCGAACCCCAAACATTATCAGGTTCTGGTTACGGGCTTTAAATAAACAACTTCAGAAAAACAAAAAGGTAATCTTGTTTTATTGTTAACGTTGGTATTGATTCCCCATCATTTTCCCGCCAACATCTCTAGAAATATCGGTGATTTTTTAATGCGAATCTTGTGTTTGTATTCGAGTATTTCTTGAAATTATGTTTATTGATGAAGGCCTGACTTTTATATTTCAAGTAAATGTGCCCTGATCTTTTTTGTTAATGAAATGTAGATTGTTCAATGTTTATATACATTGCTTTTCAAGAAAACGAGAAACAAATGATAAATATTGCTTTTCAGAATTCAATTAACAATATCATTTTGAGTTTGCTGAGAGAAAATTGACTCAAGCGCAATCAGCAAGGCTATCGTGAGAGCGAATGTACTGTCTATAAATGTATATGTTTCTTGTATAGAAAGATGAATAAATTCGAGAGCTCTTGAGTCAGAGTTATTGTGGTCACCACGTGTGAGGTGATTAATGGAGGATTAACCAATTGCAGTGTTACACCTCTGTACTCACTTGAGTTTGTCATTAATTCATGTCATTTGGCATAATTGCTCTGAGCCTGGTTGTTAGAGGGGCAAATACCTCAATCCAATAGATAAATCACTATCCATTGGATAACTGTTAACAAGACCAGCACAATCCAATGGATAAAGATTAACCCATTGGATAGTATATATCCACTCTTTGAACAACCGCGACCTGGTGATTTTGGAGAAACCCACACTGTGATTGGTTTAGAATTGCAACAGATCTCAACTGCTGTAATTTATTATAGTTCTGAGGCACTAATTTTGGAAATGGCCATATTGCAATTCTTAGCCATCTCTGAAGAAGAATGAAAAAGCAGATGGATTCTTTGGGTTATTATAATCATATGCTAAACGAAAATTTCCCCTCTGGCTCAGCAAATGTTGCTAATTGATCCCATCCAGTCTTTCCCAAGATACACCAAGCCTCTAGCAAACAATTTTTTAAAGATTAAAATTGGGATGATTGCAGCCAGGAAATTTTTTGCCTTTTTTTCAGCAAACTTGCTGCATACACAACACCAAATTGCTTTCAGCTCATTTCTTGTGTTCATGGTGTTAGTGCCTTCATTTAACTTTGGATATCATACATGATTTACTGAATAACCTTTTTTTTTATAATTAAGCCATTATTTATGTATGATCATTTCATTTAGTATCCATTCTCTGTTAATTTTTTATGGGAACTGGAGTATACATGGCTGCGTGGCACCATTCCATGATGTATTGAGGATATTAATTTTGTGTGATTTGATTTTTCAAGCAAAACCAATCCCATGTTATTGTTATAAATGTTCCAGTAAATCTCTCATTGATTTATAAATGTTTTTAATTTAGAAAGATCAGAGGATCATAATCGATAACCTTTGTCCAGGATGCCTGCCACCAAAATTAACAAGTGTGTACTGTCTCTCTGTCAGTGGTGACATGCAGGTATAGTGGGTGTGATGATAAATTTATTGGTTGACTATGAGAAAGAAAAGTATCTTTCTTTCTCTTTGTGGGCTCATTTCTGCTTTAATAAAATTGTGTGAATAATGTTAACTTTTCACATCTATCAAATTGAGTGCATTTAGGTGTTTACAAATAATGTGATATGAAAAAATGAATATCAAAGTGATCATCGCAGTAATGAACCCTGCTTAATCAGTAGTGAAAATAAGGCGTAAAGAAATTCAGGCCTTTACGAGATATGAACCCATGACCTCTGTGATACTGGTACAGTGCTTTAACAAGTGAGCAAACAAGCCAACAGGGAGCTGGTCAATATGTTGGTTTCTAAAAAACTTGTGGAGTGAAGAATAACAGACTATGAATATATGAAAATCATGTATTGAATCATAATATAATATATTCAACACTGTAATTGTCAGAAATTAATTCTCTCAGTTGGATCACATTTCATTGTAAACTCCATGTATTTATTTTTGTGCACTTGAGAGAAAAAATGTTAGTCTGACGGAAACATGGATTAATTAAGGGATGACACTCTGTTATCACTCTTATGAAAGTTTCCTAATCAATAATCATCAGCATGTGTTATTATAATGCGGTAAATATCTTTTGTTTGGAAATTATCCAATTTGTTGTGATTTCAGTGTGTCACATTTCATGTGGAGTCAGTTGATCTTGGTTTCCTTGTGCGCGTCATTCAACAGACAAGTGAAGGACCCAAAACCACTCATATGGAAGTGCGTGTGGTTAGACTAGCAGGAGAGGTAAATTCTTGATTTTAAAAGACCAATAACTTATCATCTTGGAGCTTAAAAGAACTAACCATTATTATAGAGAACTCTCCTTCCTGGACCTGGGATCAACTGATCTGGTTTTGTGCCATTGGCTGGATCATTATGTTCTCACACAGTTCTTAACTCTGCCCAGGAAAAATAAAATGTACCACCAAACTCTCAGAGAAAATTGACAAATTCCTCAAGACAATTTAATATTCCATTAGTACTCATTGGAACATCATGTTCATGAAACCAAAATTAACTCTTGCACTCTGGTTTTGTTTGTCTGAAATTTTACAACAAATATCTTGTTTTTCTGAATGTTTGTTTAATTGTGGTTGGCAGTTGTTAGCTGTTGATATCATTATATTGTCTCCTCTTCCCAGGTGGCTCTTAAACTGAGCACTTCCCCTTCAAGGCTTCAGATAAGTGCTCAATTCATTGGTGTTCCTGAGATTGCTCTTTCCACAAAGTGTCTTGCAAAGGTAAAAGTAATTACAAGCTGTATTGATCTATGCTGTGTTGTGGTTTGGAAAACACAAACTGCATGATTTGTATATGGAATTACAAGATGTATTGATCTATGCTGTGTTGTGGTTTGGAAAACACAAACTGCTTGATTCTTATGTAGAATATAGTGTTACATTGTCTGATGAATGAGTCAACTATCATGGGAATTTTGTTATATAAATTTATAATTTTGTGATTATTATGCTTTGTAAAACAAGCAAGATGCTACAAGCCACCTCACTGGTCAAAAACCCATTGTTTATTGCGTTGATAAACCCATAGTTGTTTTGAAAAGCAGCAGACCACAATATCTATCAGTTTACCGGTGCAATAACCCATGCAGGATGTTGGGAGAATGTCTACGGCTCATGATTTGCAAACTTTTCTTGTGTTCTCCTAACATCCCATGCGGGTTATAAAATAAAGCTATTACACTGTACAGGTACATTCAAGTTAGCTCTATCTCTCTCAAGATCCTTATATCAGTTCTCTGCTCTGTCAATTATATGTTTCTTATATAATTAATTTTAAGCTCTGGCAGCAAGGTGGAGAATGATATGATGTTCCCTTGAATATAATTCTCATCACCTGCTTAAAAATGTCGGAATATTGTTAGGAGAATTCATTTTCAATCAGTAATGGCCATAGAAAAGTCATAAGTCTTGTGACAATTGTTATCACATTAATTATGGATGGTAATTTTGTACATTATAATAAAATCACAAACTCATTTTAAAAATTGGAATGCAAACTCTTCTGATTGAGTTCAAAATACCATTTTAGACTCTCTTCGTTCAATTTTCATTTTGCAATTGTACTATTAATATTTTTCAAAAATGTTGTATGGAGAGAAATTAATTTTTATACACGTTAACACTTTAGTGCCTGCAAGCTGTCTGTTTTATCCAGCTCTAATTGTTACCTGTCATCCTAAAGTTAAAATCAGCTACAGGTTTTTAGCCAAGTACCTGCCTTTCCACCTGCTGTGTCCATTCATTTCAATTTAGTTAAGTCAATATTACCACCCATTTCATCAACTTTAAATCCATTCTTATTTAAATCATCAAAATTTTAAATCTCCTCATTCAATGGTGTTATATGCTGGTAAGTTTTCGTTGTGAGAATATACTGATCAGCATGCATGTCAATGACTGTGTCCTTTCTGATAAATTTTGGTATTCTCCTTAGCTGTTTTCATGACAGATAGTTACTAAAAATCAAGGAGAATTCAAAATTTGGTTTTTCTTGGAAATTTAAACTCTTTTTCTCTAAAAGTGTTTGATAAGGGAAACCTGCAGTTTCACACATAGTGAAATTGTATCTCCTAATTATAACATTTTGATTTTAAGCGAAAAATATGAAATGAATTTTTCAAACAATGAACTTGCCCGTGTTTCTTTTGATGAATTTTCAATATTTTTCTTAATTTTATTGCAAAGAGAGTAACCTAAAATAAATAGGTGACTCCAATTATCTCTTTTGTGCCATCTTCTCAGATGCTTTGAGGCTCTCAACTCTCTTTGTTATTTACAACAAACTGATGTAATTGTCAAGGAATGTAAACTGTTACCCAGACCCTTGACAGTTTTTTCCACCTCCATAATCATTGTTCTGGCATTACACTGGTGCATGGAGAAAAGGAATAAGCTTACAGATCATTAATTATTCAGCCCTGAAAAAACTGGCATTTTCAGTTGAAAGACAGCGGCTTTTTGTAAGCTGGCTTTGTGAGGATATTCTTGGTTTAACACCAAACTGGTAGCTTCCCATTATGGGACAGGATTCTTCAAAACAAGGTAAAAGAGGCTTGTGTTTGGATGAAAGGTTCTTTGTGTTGAACATCCATTTACTGGTTGCATTGATGGGTGATTTTTGAAAATGTCTTGTGGTTTGAATCAGGCGCTGGTAATGATGTTTTGGAACAGAGTGAGGAAACAAAACTACAGTGTGTTGTAAGAACATCACCTGATCTTTCTAATGGGGTAAGAGTTGATTTTGTTTCTAGTATCACAACACACCCCAGCTTTACCCTTGACAGGTACTCTTAACAAGTTCTTTACTCCTTGTCCCATGAAAATACAGTTCAGTTGCCTTTTTAGTGGAATTTTTGGTTTTCTGTCCTTGTCTGTATTCTAACAATCATTGTCATTTGAATCATGACAGGTTCTGTGCTTCTTTATCTTGGTTTTAATTCTAGGGAAAACCTTGGGAAGGAAAAACCTGAGATTAACTAAAAAAAAGTACTGTTTCTTGAATCTTCCAAACTGTGGCCAATATTTTTCTTCTGTTTTAGTGCAAATGTCAAATTTTGATTGTACAAATTAAATTGCATTGCTTCTTGCAATCAAATGTGGCTTTAGTGTACACTCGCAAACCCATGTTTGTTCCATAGTTGTTTGTATCCAATTGCTGACACAAGGGCTGTGCATATTTTTTAAGAGAAACAGAACAAATCTTAGTGTCAAGTTAACAAGAAGAGTAATTCCACCTACAACTTTTGAGTTTCTTTTCATATTGAAACAAAAATCCGGTTTTTTTATAAGTAGCATATATCTGTCCTGTAACATTGATACTGATGGCAACCATAGCTAATCTGATACCATTAGATAACTTCAAAAAAACAATTCTCCATCAGAAATAACTTTTGGGTCTCTGTATTTGTTCATTTGCTCCTTCACTCTTTCCTAAGGGCAAAGAAATATAGTTAAGAGCTTGTCCTCTTTACAAACAAGTGAGACTGTTGTGGGACAATTAGAAGTAGCATGTTTTTGATTGCTGATACATAGTGACAGGAATATTGCATGCTGGTGCAAAAGATATGTTGATATTACCACATACCTATCAGTGTCAGTATATAAGCTTATAGGTGTACATATTTATACTTGTATGTCTTTGTAGCACCTACGAGGTAGCAGATTTGTTTTCTGATTTTTAGGAAACAATAACCATTGTAATTTTAGTAAGAGCTGGTAGACAGGGGGTTTCACTAAATGTCTGTCAATCATCTTGTGTTTCTTTTGGCTGAGTTAGTGTGTTCACTGCTGCAGTTTCATAAAGTTTTCAAAGTTTTTGCTTGCCAGCAAATTTTTGTTTACCTTCATTAGCTAAGAAATAAGATATGTGAAAATTTCCAATTGTCATGCAACTCCACTCGTTCATGTGACCAGAATTTTGTGATCCAGAGGGAGACTTATTAATGAGAGATTGTATTGTACAGTGTATCTGAAATATAAGGCATTTTGTGATGGTTGTTCAAAATGAAAAGTTATTTGATGTGAAATCCATCCAAAAATGCATTTGATCTGCTGCAGGTGTTTTTTAACTAGCTTTTAATTATTAAATTAATTTGTTGCTAACTGTTACATGTTGTAGTATTCATAATTTTATCAGTTTATAGTCATGTAACTTACTTGACTTTGAGTACATTGTAAGTTGAATTTTAGAGGATAATGAAATGTCACTTTTATTCAATTTTCCAACCTTGCAGTTAAAGATAAAGAATTGTTTCAAGCATTTTATGCGAAAAAAACTCTCATGAAAGTGTATGAAGTTCTCAGATATATATTTTGCCTCTTAACAAAATGCCAATACTGAAAATAAAAACTGCAAAAATTTTGCACACATTTGTTCTGTGGTCATAGTAAGAAGGTCAAAGAGAGATTGTTTGTCTGCACAGTTTCAGAGTATCATGTACATGTACAACAGCTTACTGTAAAACCCTTGATTTGCTTACTTTATTCACAATCTTTAATTTGGATGAAGGAAAAAAAAGAGAAAAACTTTTATTCAGGGCAAATGCATGTATATTTCACTTATAAGGTGTATAACCAGCTAAGAACTGATGGCAAGGAGTTCAATTTGTCTGAGCAGTTTGCTGGTAGCTGTGTATGGCATTGATACTCTCCCACCAATGCAGCACCACAGTTTGTTTAGAAACGTACCCCCTTTATTGATAACAAGTTGAGTTAATGTTGGTTCAGGGGAGCGGTAGGTGTGTAGTTGCTCAGATACTGACATTGACCCCATCATCTTCAGTTCTCTGGTTATTGTGATCAGCTACATGCATGGTGTGTTTTCTGTCCTGTTTTGAACTCTGTTCACATGTTGTGAAGTGATCCATGGCATTTATTATACTTGTTTTCTAAATTGACAAACTGGAATGTCTTTTCAGGAGAGCCAAGTAGATGCCGGTGAAGTTCAAGAAAAAGTCAAAGAGGTGATATGTAAAACCATTACTAACATCCCTTTGTCAGAGGCCTCTTCGAAGGACCAACTTTCAGATGCAGTAAGTAAATACAACCAGATGAAGTAATCTTCATACACAATCATGTGGATAGACTGCAATTACACTCTACTAGTACTGAACTCCTTGACCTGTAAGAGTGACTAGCATGTAATTTCTCCTTACAATACCACCCAGAATCACTCATTAGAGACACAAGAATACAGGAAATGATCACAAGGTCTTGATTGTTGAGTAAATTCTCCTTGTTAGCATCTTAGGAAATGTGTAAAGAAAAGTATGGAGAATATGCATACTGATGTTAGTGCATAAAAGGTTAAAGCAACAGTTTAAATTCAATTTGTCAGATGAAAGCTTAACCCTTTAACTCCTATGAGTGACCAAGACAAAATTTCTCCTTACAATATTGATACAATATCAAGCAGACAAGTGATGAGAATAAAGAAAAATATTAACCAGAGGATAATTAGTTGATCTAATACCAAATTCTCCAAACTAACATGGCAAGAACTATATGACAGACTGTAAGGAGAATTACTCATGAGATCTTGGGAGTTAAAGGGCTAAAAAACTGGTTTGATCACACAAAGGTTACACCTGGGCTGGGTTGTTCAAAGCTGGGTTTAGTGAACCCAGGGTTTGTGTGAAATTGGATTTCAGTTCTGGAAGCTCTAGAAGAAAATTCAGCATAATTCTTTTTGTCAACAATTTGATGATTGGATGCTCCATATAGAGTAGAGGAAATGATCTCAAAAAGGCTATTGAACAAAGAAGTATAGAAACCCAGATTAAAATTTAACTCTGGGTTAGTACTAATTGGCTTTTGAAAAACTGGGCCCTGCAGGCAAACTTCCCAGAAAAAAAAGGTGAAACAACAAGCTCTTTTATTTTAGCTGCTTTCAAATTATTTTGCCTCAGAGTGATAAATTTAATTATTAATATCTTTGAAACAAAAAAGTGAGTGCAAATTCCAGCATTATTGCTCTAGGCATCTTCAGTAGACAACAATTTGCAAAGATGGAAAAACCACAAACTTAAAACAACCTAACCAAACAAAGATTTTAAAAATTTTAAAATGCATAGCAGATTTCCCTGACACATATGCAACTAAAAGCATTGCAGTCACTTAGAATCCTTTAATCTGAAATAGGAAATGAAATACTATTAATTTGTCTCAAAGCTGAATTAAGAAAAGGTTTTACCTGAGGAAATAACAAACAGAATGGTTTTCTGCTGAGTGCCCCTAGAATTTCATTTCTAGATTCTTCTCCATCAGTTTGTGGTTATACCATTCTAGATTTTTTTTCCATTTAGAAAGTTGAGTAAGAAAGATTCTTTTTCAGGCTTGAGTTGCCAGTCCAAACTCTTCATGAAAATAAAATACAGGGGAACAAAATGAAATAAAATAAAACACAAGTCCATTTGTGAAGATTGAAGCAAGATTGTTTTATATTTATTGGTAATGTTTCTTTAGAGCATTTTGGTTTATAGCAGTGTATGATGATGAAATATTGTTTTGAAAAGCAGATGTTTTTTTGTGATCTCCTAAGGGAACTTTCAAAATGATTTTTTAATGGTAGTAATATAGTTTGGATTTTTCTTCTTTTTTCTGGAAGCTAGACTAGCTTGATTTTGATTGGAAACAAATAAAATATTATTTCAGTTTTATATTGCATGCTTTTAAAGCTTAATTTGAGTTAATGCCGAATTCAAACTGTGAGAAAGTGCTTCTTTCAGTTGGCTAAATCTGTCACCTGCTCCAGTGTTGTCATGCAAATCTCTCCCACATAAATAATTAATTGAAGGATCTGTTTTCTTGAATGACTGCTTCTCATGGAGTGTATAGCATTGTATGTTTTACTCTAGGACTGACTGGGAAAATTGTACAGTCAAGTCAAGTCATTGCTTGTATTTTTGTTCATCCTGCTGTAAATATTGACTGGCCTACTCAGGGACTTAAATACTCTTTTAAAATTGTTATTTTTGTCAAGATTTTTCAAATAATTCTATTTTGTTACAGCCAGCTGAATTTCAGGCTGATTAATTATCTTTGACTCTCATGCTTTTGGTGAAGTTTTCTTTTTGTGAGAGGTTTGTGATGTGTGAAAAGACATTTGAGCTCTGAAAAATTCAAATACAGTCAAGGAATCTTTTTTACCAGTAGCTTCTTGAGAAGGAAAGTAATTTCAAATGAAGAGTTCTCATGTACAGATTGAAAACAACTACTTTGTCAATGTTTACGTCTATGTGTTTATGAATGGAAGGCAACGTTCAAAGGTAGGAAATCTTTCCTTTTTGCCAGTCATACTGTGTTCCTTTATTTTTAGATAAAGTTATCAAATGAACAGTGTGCAGTGTAAAAATGAGTAGCTTTGGCTGATTTTGTTTTTGTATCTATATCATCAAGAATCTTCATGTTTTTATTCTATTTTTGTCTAGATTAAATGCAAAAATATGTCTGAATTTTTCATCAAAGCATGTGAATCTTAAGATTGTTATTATATCCTTTTCATAAATTCTGTTGGTTCTCTAAGATTAGCTATTTTGGGGCAAATTGTGCCCTCTACTTCTAATGAGATTTAAGATGTTGGTTTTGATAGCCACTTTCTTTAATAAAATTTTATGAAATTATAGCTTAGTGTCATGCCTATCATGGAGGCACTATTTATCTGGTTGTATTGGTGACAATTAAAAATTCTTCTTTCTTTAACTTGTGGTGGACTGCAAATTTTATGTTATTTCTTTATGAAGAACTTATGAAGATGCAACTTTGAGTGTTCACATTATAACTATCTGGTTGACTATGTCTTATAGTTGGCCCATCAGGGCAAAAACAACATGCGAATTATTTAACCTTTCTTTACATTGACCCACATTTTGTTTGTTGTAAACTGTCAAGATAGTGTTGGGTTTTGATGTAGCATACTTGAAATCACCATGGAGAGGCAGCAAGCTAATATATTTATATATAATTTTGTATTTTAAGTGTTGTTTAGCTTAAAGGCAGAATAGTACTACATGTATTTTGATTCTGGACTTTTAAATTGCTATCAGTTGTTTGATATGTAGTTTTCATGTTACATTGTTAATTCATTAACACAATTTGTAAAGACAACAATTTGTAAAACTCACATATCAATAATATATTTTGTTTATTTTAATTTATAACATGTGTGAGTGCCATTTCATTTGCAATTGTAGTCATGAAAAAATTTTTATGTGGTTTAGGATAAAGATTAATGAAATTATTGAAGAAACAATTTACTCCCTAATGAATTTAATTTTGAGCTCCCATTAAACCTCTTTAACCCTCAAATTCACAGATGTGACCAACATGTAACTTCTCCTTGCAGTTTCAATGCATTATCCAGCATGTAGGTTGTGAGAATTGACAAAACCTACTAGCTGGAAGTTGCTATCTTAATTATAACCAAACTCTCTTTTTGGCCATATGCAAGAAAATATGTTTAACTTTAATTCAGATCTGTGGTGTTAACAGTTTAATTTTTTGGAAATTCTTTTTGTAGAGTTCAGCTAATTCAAAAGAACAGCTTGATTCACCTTCATCAGCATCATGCATTGGAGAAGAAGGAAAACTCCTTGTAAAGAGTGAGTAAAATGTTTCTTCAGTATCAAGTTTCAGAAAATGGCAGCAAGATTTTATGCAAAAATTGAGTTGGGTTAGAGTGCATTTTGACTGAGTGTCATAATATCAGCACTAAAACTGGTTGATTTTTGTGTTATGAATTAATGTTTCTGGAACTGTTGGTTTGTTTCTTGTGTATGTTCATCAGATCCAAAGTTATATCATTTAATGTGGCTAAAACAGCATTCATATAACATGATCAGTTAGTAGAAAAAGAGGGAGTTTGACTCAGACTAGTCTGTTAACAATCATTCTACTCTCTTTTGATCATGTAGTCTGATTGTCTGATGAGGGTAGTCCTGAGAAGGACTGTTGGCAGTAATGGTGACTATTCTCTCTTTGATCTGTCATCATCATCTGGAGTCGGAGTAATATAGGAGCTGTAGGGAATTTAACAAATGTGGACACCAGAGGGAGGGGTAGTGCTTCATTTGTTTAGTGTAGAACAAAAGGCTGTCAACAGAATGGATTGAGATAATAGTAGATTTACCATTACAATAGGAAATCGTTACCTGGAAGCAAAATTTTCTCATGGAAAAAGGAAAAATACAAGTAATTGAAAAATGGCAGATATATTCACAATAGTTATGAGGATTTTAAAATCGTTGGAAAGATTTTTCTCTCTAAAATTCCTTTTTTTGTTTCTTTGCTAGTCATAAAAGCAAGTGGTCTTTGTGGAAAAGTCAAAAGTGGTAAGTTGGGTTCTTTATTTTGTTTTTTGTTTGATTATGGTAATGTTAAGTATCAAGCTTGTACTAGAATTTTGATTTTGCCTTACCTCAGATCTTTCAGATCAAAGATATGTAGATAGACATCAGGTTTGGAGATTCTTTTGCCTCTCTGTATGAAACAATTTGATTATATTTGTGATTATTACAGGCAAATGCGTGGCATTGTAGAACCTCCTAACAGGTGGAACAGTTTGAGCATAAATTGTTCTTTTACCTTGTGTTAAATCATGTATGTTTGATATTTTCAGGATCACTCAGTCCTTACTGTATCGTGTCTACTAGCAACCCACTTCAGCGCAAGAGAACTACCATGGTCAGAGATAATGAAAATCCGTTCTGGAATGAGTATTTCACTTTGTAAGTCTGATAAAGTTTTACATTTATCACTGTTTTTTTTGGCAGCTTGTCAAGTTACTGTGAATGCTCTGTGGTTAATTATCAGTTACCTTATCAGTTGTTTTAACAATGTAAAATAAATACTGGTAGTCAAACTGTGCCTCCTTTAGTTTTCAATTTATCATGAAAAATTCCTACATGTATTTTCCAGTGGGAGGTGTAGTGGCCTGATGGTCAGTGCACTGGACTCTGAGTCAAGAGGTCTGGGATGGAGACCTGGCCAGGTTGCTGTTTTGTGTTCTTGAGCAAAACATCTTACTCTCACGGTGCCCCTGTCCACCCAGGAGTATAGATAGGTACTGGTGAAGTGCAGGGGGGCAACCTTGCTATAGACTAACATCCCATCCAGTGGGGAGTAGTAATACTCTTAGATGCTTCATGCTATGTGGAAACTGGGATAAGCTCTGGCTGGGTGGATCACCAGGCTCAAGCACAGGAATTTCAGATCAATATCAGTATCTGGGCAACTACCCACCTACCCCTCCCTAACCCAACATTAACCCTAACTTGTTATTAATTGACTGTTGTTGAGTTAGGGGAGGGGTAGGTGGGCAGTTGCCCAGATACTGATATTGATCTGGCATTTTTATATTCAAGTGGTTTAAGAAGCTTTTACTCTTTAATTGTTAATTCAAGTTTCTCTTTAATTAATCTTTTGTTTTATTTGTTTATATATTTATTTATTTATGTCACTTTTCCTTTTGGCAAAAACAGTGACATCAATCCCAAAACCAAAGAGATCACACTTGATCTATATGACTATGAAAAGACAGAAAAAGGTGAGTCTTGTCTTTGTGGTATTGGACACAGTTTTGGATGAGCTCAGAATCAAGCTCTATGCACGGAAGTTTTAGAGTTTTTGTTTCCTTCATAGGCAAATCACTTTATGCAACAGAGTCTGTCTTCACAAGTTGAAGGACTCTGAATTGAGTAGTAAGAAATAAAATGTTCCAACCTCTCTTACAAAGGGTTACATGGGTTAAAACCTCTCTAACCTTTACCCACCTCCCCCAAATTTTGAAGTTTTTCTGTGTAATTTTCTCAAACATCGTGGAGTTACATGCAGCTCTGATCGACTAACATCTCGTCAAGGGGGTGGGGGGTGGGGAAGGAAGAGCACCCTGACCTGACTCAGTTGGCCAGGAATGTTGCTGCAACGTTTCTGGCTGTCTCATTTTACTGCTATGGGCTTTTCCTTTATTGGGTGTCTTTTAGCACATCATTAAATTGTACCTCAATTAGTTATTTTGAGGCAGAGGAAAGTTTATCAGTTTGCAGTTTGTTTTTCAAGGAATAAATGCCAACCTGTTGTATGCAACTTTCTGGCAAACTTCACCCCTCCCCACCACAGGAAGATCTATTTCGACCCCTATTCACCCCTATGGATTTTACGTTTGCCTTTCCGAATTTCAGTAGAAAGATCCACGCGGTCACAGAGTTTACTGCTGATTTAAGTGGCTTAATATTATCTGAAACATCACAAACTCGTTAGATATAGCTTGATTTAAGTTAAAGAACAACTATAGCCGTAATGACATTATAAACATCAAAGCGCACATGAACAGCTTTCAATATCATTCTTGTAAACATTTTGTTGGTTAAACGTTAACCCTGATCTGTGTAAACTTTTCCATGGCCTTGAATAAAACATTAAACATTGCATATAAACCTTAAACCATAAATTCGCCTAATAAGCATATTGCAGTCTGAATTTATTCACTTTCACTTGTAAACAAGCTAAATCATTTTCGCTACTAAATCATTTTTTTTGGCATTTTTTTCACGATCACTGCGAAATCATTTTCATTAAACCTTTCACTAAAGTTCACCTGCTCCACTGAAACAAGTGTAATTGTTTTTTTTTTGCTGTTGTTGTTTTGCTTTAAATATGAAAATCTCCTCCATTTAATAAAGATAGTTGTGAATATTTTTTACGTCTAAATGTCTTTAAACAGATTCTCTCTGTCATTTGGAAGACAATGAATTTACTGAGGAGCAAGGTGAATCAGACACAGTACACTATGATATAGTTTCACAACATAAAGATGAAGTAGAAACAAGATTATGATGATGTTATAAGTAACGCAGTAAATGGTTTCTAAGTAATGAACAGGGAATTACATCGAAACCAGAGGGAAAAAATCGCTAATAAGTTAATAAGTAAAGTGTTAACAGTAAAAAATTTATCTTTACCATGCGTATTTTTTTTAAGGGGGAGACTAAAGATACGTGAATTCACAATTTTATAGGTCATAATGCCGTCTTAAAATAAAAAATAGTTTCCAGTCCCTTTATTCAGTGAACCAGTCAAACTATGGTGCAGTGGTTATGTAGACTCGTTACGGGCCTTGGGTTCGTGTGTCACGCGAGCGTGTCTTTTTGTTCTACTAAACCTTAACATATATAAACTCAGACAAACGGTAACAGAGATAAAAAAAATCTTAATGTTTTAGTCGCCGTCGTCGTCCTTCTAGAATCTAGAATCTAACTGTCTCTCTCGTCTGTCAGTGCTGCAGTGAAGAAACAGGGTCCTGCCTTGTAACGTACTTCGTTTACTTACATAGATGATTATCTTGGCCAAGTGATTGTCCCTCTTTCGACGGTGAACAGAGACCAGACATGTCGGCTGATTCTCCCTGTGCTGCCCAAGTCATCTAAAAGTGACCATTCAAGGGGCGACATCACCTTGGAGGTTAGACAACAATGATCAGAAACATCCTCTAACGAGTCTTAAAAGTAGTTATCTTTTAGTTTATTTATGTTTTTTGTTTCATTTATTATTGATTTATTGTCTTTTTTCGATAATTATTAGCATTAGGTAAAGTGAAGAAAATGTTCGGATTTTAAATTTCCTTATCCACGAATTCTCTCTGATGTGCATGAATTGGGAAAACAAGGAATTAATGACACTATGTTCAGAAACGTAAACAGGCCACACGGCAGAGTTCAACATGTTAGTCCCACGGAAATCTGGTCACAACTTAACTGATGATCGACGTACTGTCACATTTAACGCACTTTACAGCAAAAACTTACTTATGTGCGCCAGCGAGTTTGATCAAATGAACACTTAAAACGGTACATCCCGTCACAGTTTCGCCAGTTAGTAACCAACCACTCTGTCTTTCTCAACAGTTTACCTTTGATAAGGATGGAAAGGTCATTGATGCTACTCTGCCCTTAGTAAGTGGCATGGGGCGAAAACGTATGTCCAGTGGTAAGTTCTCTTCTTGTTTGCCTTTATGTTTAGTCATTGATTTTCAGATGTAAGTATGCATTTTGCACAGGACTCTCCTACAGATTGAAACAAAATGGGAAGAAGTAGTGTGGACGAGTACATTTTTACCTGAATTCATTTGTTAAAGTTGATACATCAGTTTATTTGGAGACTAAAGCTATAAGGATCAAGATGACCAAATCGATGATCGAAAAGACTTAACACAGATTGCAAGTGACGAGCGTGAAAATTGTTGTAGAAAATATTTCAGATGCGCAAATTATTGCTTAGTTCCTAGACGTTCCAACTTTCGCTAGAGTTCAGTGCGAATCCTGTGTGCCCCTACTGATGATCTCTACCGCGCCGATCGTTATTTGGTTAGATATAAATCCTGTTCTTGTTAATCGTTGCTTTTCAGATCCTGAGAGCCCTAGTGCCCACAGCTCCCCATCAGAGGAAGCAGCCCCAGTCTTCATGAATGGCGGGGGACCTGATCCCGAGATCAATGGACACATTCCAGTTCGGAAGCGTTACATCGAGTCAAGTCTGGATGAACTGGCCATGGAGATTGAAGCTTATGAAGCTAATGATGGGAAGCCGAAACACGCTAGTTACGAAAACGGCGTGGACACTGTAGAACAACATGACGAACCAGAGTTAATGAGTGAGCCTCCTGCTCCAATCGTTGTCATGGCAACTCCTGTAGTTGAGCCCGTGCTGGAAAAGGTGAAGGTGAAAGAAGCTGTCGAGGAACCAGTCAAACTTGTCGAGGTAAGGCGTTTAAAGCAATCGTTGGTTTCTTTAAGTGTTTTAAAGGACACCATCTTCGACATACATGTGGATAGCGTAGTTGGTTATGGTTTTGTCAGTTCTTCCTCTGATTTTTACAGGAAGTTGAAGCGGTCGAAGTAGAAGTTCCCATAGCGGAGAACAAAGAGGCCGAAGAGGAGAATAAAGGTCAAGAGGAAGACATGAAAGAGGAAGAGATACAAGAACAAAACGAAAAAGAAGATAAAGACGAGAAGCCAAAGGAAGATAAAGACGAGAAGCCAAAGGAAGAGGAAGAAGAGGTGATAGAAAAGAAAAGTAAAACACGAAGGTCATTCAAGTTTGCCTTCAAAAGGAAACAAAGTGACAAGAAGACAGTTAAGGATGATGAGAAAGCCGCCGCAGCTGAAGAATTGGAGGAAGAGATTAAAGAAATTCATGACGATGTCGTGAAAGAAGAAAGTGTTAAAGACGAGGAAACGAGAGAAGGAGGCGAAAAAGAAGAGGAAGAAGAAGAGGAAGTACAACAGCAAGTGGAAAGCAAAGAAGAAGGACTAAAAGATGAGCATAAAAAAGACGGCGAGACCCAAGAAGAGGAAGAGAAGGAAACAGAGATCGAGAAATCGAAAGAACTTGAAGAAATGACTGAACAAGCTTCAGAACTGAACACCAAACCCAAACTGCGAAGGTCCTTCAATCTGTTTAGAAGGAGACCAGTTAGTATGAGTGCAGCCGACAGGGACACAGATAAGGGTGAAGAAAAGGTGTTCAAGAGAGATGACCCAATCAGACACTCCTACCATGCAGGGGACCTACCTGTCCCAGATCCATCTAACTTGCGTAAGTGCTTTGACCTTCGTTCGGAACCTCTCATATATAAGACGGGGGGAATTTTATGCAAACCAAAAGAGTAGGGCTACCAACAGGGGAATGAAACTCTAACCGATGTGTTATTTAATCATTGAAAAAATTTGTTTCATTTTGACAGGCAAATCCACCAGTCAATCTTCACTTCTCAGCTATTCACCAAGTCCTCACTCCACACTGGTTATTGAAACAATGCACAAGGGCCAGAAAAAGTAAGAAAGTGCCTGTGTCTATTCTTGTCTCATATGCATGCCATAAACGACATGAAAACGTGGATCATTTTTTATATGATTTAATACGTCAATAATTCAGGTAATTCATGCCTTTTAGAACGGATTTGAATTAAGATTGGTACCTTTCCAAAATCGAAAATACTGCATCCACACGAGTGGATAAAACAAGGAAAACGTGATGATGATAGTTGTGATAAATCTTTATTGAACTCATCATATAATTCAGTTTATTAAACTACGACCTTTTTTTGTTCAACACACTCACACTAAATCTGAAAAGTGAACCTACATTTCGAGCTAAATTAGGCATTTGGTTTTCTTGTTAGCTCCTCGTACGGTTTAAGGTTTAGATAGACGACAGGTGATGCATGGAAAAACACAGCGCGGTTTATGATCACCCAAAATCTGATTGGTTAAACGTTTTTGCAATTTCTCCACCAATCAGAGATGGGTCAATGTACAACCAAATAAAAACTTCTGGCTCTCATTGGCGCTACGTTACGAGCGAGAAAACATCGTTTAATTCTTCTGATATGCTACATGTAATGTTTTTCTCAGATATGCGCACATTCCTCCCGTGATGGCTAAAAGACAAGCTTATGAGAAAGGAGGCAATAAGCTGCACATTTATAATGATCACATTTTCACCGCTGTCCACTTTACTGGAAGGTATAACGCTGTTATTTTTGTTGTTGAAGTTATTGCTGTGATTGTTGTTGTTGTTTTTGCGGTCTGACATTGAATGGATTCAAATCGTATCCTCTTAAATATTTCATTCTGTGCTTCTACAGGGCGTTTATTTTATTCTTGACGCCTTTGACCTCCATTTGCTGCTTTTCTAGCCTATTCACTCCAATTCTCTCTGTTTAGCTCACCGGAATGTGCTGTGTGTGCAAAATCAATCAAAGGAAAAATCGGAAAACAAGGCTACCAATGTAGAGGTAATAATTAATGAAAGATACTAAATCACAGTCATGTCAAATGCTATTTTTGCATTAGAAAAGATCGGGAGCCGCCCACACAATTGGAACGATGGATTTCAACATTTTCAACTTCAGACAACTCAATGTGGGCAGTGAAATCCCAACTTGTTCTTTGACCGTAGATTTGCAAACGGCTTCGGTTTGAATTCCGTGAATCAGGAAAAGCTCCTCAGTATTTGTGGCCCCAATTTCAGCCATCTGACATTCAAATGGAAAACCGCTCTAAAAGCTTCAGTTTTTCAATGAAGTCAGTGTGAGGTCAATTTTCATCTTCAGTGACTTGTCTCGGTGACGAGACCAGATAACAGGGCTCAGATCTCAGCGCATCAAGCGTAAAGAAACTGAGCTTACTAACTCTTGCATATTTTAAATGTCATCTTTGTTTGTGTATCTTTTCAGAGTGCAAATTAGTCACACATAGGGATTGTCATTACCAGACTACCGCAATGTGTTCCAGTGATGCTGTCAAACATCTTGACATGTAAGTACCTGTCAAAAATTTCGAAAGAAAGCAAAAAAATCAGTCATGTCATCATTTGTGGTTGTCTTCCCCTCGTTGCACGTGTTGTCATGCAATACTCAGGAGTTGTCACTTAACGCCGGGAGATAAGTCCGTGTTCTTAATCAAAATCCCTTGCCATGACTGGAGTTGCTTTGCACAAATGGATTTCAAACAATAAAATAAACGAAAAATAAACATTAAACAACTAATCAATAATTTAATGATACATCATTCTATCGTTACTCCACAAATTGAAAATAACATGTCACTTTTGAGTCTGTGAGAACTAAGTGAAACAAAGAAGGATATTCATTTTACTTAAAATGACCAATATTGAAAATGAAACCATAAATATATGTTAAAAAGTACATAAACACACGATTAAAATCATACCCTGTTTTAAAAAAAAAAGCCGTAAACGTGAAAGTGAACCAGCTCACACACTTCAGTGATAAAGGCGATTTACCTACATCATTAAAGTCAAACCCTCTTTAACCTTTTTAATTCTTCATAGTTGACACGTTCGAACAGAAAACTATTTAGTGCCTTTGTCGTTAATTTTTAGTAAACTTCCTTGCCCTCCCCTCTCCCCTTTCTTCCCCTTTTTCACTTGTTCCCTCCCCATTCCCACCAGCGTAAATTTGTGAAATGACTGTCATTAAATTATTCTTAAACAACGCAACACAGCTCCAGAGACCGCAGTGAGCGCACGACCAACACGCGACTAACTGGCGACAAATGAAAAAGGTATCACGTGTCAGATATGACTCGTTTCCAAGCTTTACACACTGCTGCGCGTCTTAAAACCGATCTAAATGCTTTCAACTTCTGTGAGCTAATTTCTCTTCTACTCTTCTGTAATACAGTAAAAAAATGCCGCAATTTGTTGGCCATTAATGAGGTGAAGGGATAAGGCTGTGTGCAGAGGTAGGCTTGCCATAAACGTTTTATCAAAAACTAACCACTTTTAACCCCTTTTCTAAGCATTTTCTAAAAGAAAGAAGAATAAAATTAACAATCCCTTTCTCAGCTCAGAAAGTTGTGCCTTTCATCGGTTGTCAGAAAAAGGAAAGCCTATTTTTTTGTTTGCTCTTTGATTGATATTTTTCTTCATTCGTGACAGAAATTTATTAAGGTTAATTTCCCAAAAGCATAATCCAAATTAATGGAAAGGGTGGACTCATACCACTTAACTGACTGGTTACCCTTAAGGCATAACTTTTTGAAGCTTGTAGGTACCTAAAAGTTAAATATTATTGCTAGAATTAGATTTAAACATTTGAATGAGGAAATTAATTCTTCAACGTAAAGGAACGTTTCCTAAGATAAGGAAACAATAACTCCATTAAATCGCGAATGATTTTAATGCTTGATAACAACGAGTAAAAACTAAAACTTTAAAACTACGTTAACCTTAAGCTCACGGTTAGACTACGAGTAGTCCCTGCTTTTCGGCGAAGTCCGTCGCGCTAGTCGGAAAAGAAATCAGTGAAAAGAATTTGATGTTAGCGCGCCGCGCGGAACTCTGGGAGTGAGGCGCCTAAATATTCCGCGCGGCGTGCTAACATCATTCACTGATTTTTTTTTTTGCGCAACGGTCTTTGCCAAAAAGCAAGAACTGCTCGAACGGTTTCTTTAACTTAATAGGCCTCTCAACCACTGAGCGATTAAGTATCTAGCGAAGCTAATTTTACGTTTTTGTTTCACTCGACAGAGAATATGTTGGAGGTACCGAGGTCTGACCATGGAAAGCTTTCACTTAAAAATCCTGAAAAGCTCCTGCCATTCCTATCGTTCTTATATGTTTTAGATGTCACAAAATTATATCAAAAAAATGCTCCATATCTTAGCAGACGTAATGTTTTCACCAATGAAGAATTTGTAAATTAGAAAGTGCGCCCAGTCGATGTATTGCCGGGGTCAAAAGAGAGAGTCTAGGACTAGGGTACGGTGGCATTGGTGGGTTTGAGAACTGAGAACTGACGTTAGGGTTTTTTTTATTAGTTGAACAATTGAACAGCTGAAAAAGTAGATAATTGTTGTATGTAGTGAGCCGGTTCTTTTTCCCGCCCGCCTCATCACGTTTGTGTTTGAGCGTTTAGTCTCATATTCCTCAACGTTTATTCCACTCAGCTTGCCGAAAAACAGGTCTTCAAGCACTTTGGGTATCATACAGGTGGGGGTGAGGCACCTCAGAGGCTTTGCAGCGACGAAACATCAAATTAAATTTTTTGCTGCTTTTTGCTTGTGTTGCGGATAACTTGCAAGGGTTATCGTCGACTGGGGCTCAGTGACTGATTTATCATTGCTCCAATATTTATGTCTTCATTGCTAGAAATTGAATGATGTTTTGCATGTGGAGCTTAAGTTAAACAGCATTTGATAGCTTACACAGTAGAGTGCAATCACTGAGTGTTACTGTAAACATGTTCAATAAGAATCAATGGCAACTTCTTAAGGGGGGAGGGGAGGGTGGTAAAATCATAGGTCAAAGGCGGGATATAGATTAATTTATAGCTTTAAATAGTGGGAACAAATGACATAAAGGGAAGAGTATAACAGAGTAATTTATTTATAGATAAGTGAATTATTGCCTGTTTCTCTCATTTAGTGAATGAGGGGAACAAAAATTGGCCGAAACCTCCCTACTGCTTTCTGAAGAGAAATTCATCACGGTCAAAATGAAATCGTAAGAACTATACGCAGTTTCTATCATCGCCAAGAGAGGATCAACTTATCCCTTATTATTATAATATTCGCCACGCTTCCACATTCACTCATGTAGGCTAGTATCCTCTTTAATGTTGTTGAAGACAGTTACGTGACTTTAAAAAAGCCGGAGTAAGTGTAGGAGAAGAAATCTGAATGTATGTAGAGCAGTCCTGTTATTCAACTCAAACCCTCTAAGGAAAAAAATAAAATTCAATTTATTTATTTTCTTGAAAACCGCTTTCAGTTGATTGTCATGGATAAGTCTTTTCAGCTTTTGTCAGTATTGTGTCTCGTTCTCGTAGCACTGTAGCCCAACAAAGAGTTGCGTGACAAATGTAACGACAGGTGCGAAGGAGATTTCATGTAGGGTAGACTATCGAAAAAAGTTTGTGCGAGAATGTCATTTCACAAGTTTCATTAACTTTCCAGTGACATAATATCCAGTTTTGGGTTTATAACTTTTTTTATCACCCGAGTACTGCTGTCTAAGAGGACGAGCAGCATCAAGTACAATTCCAAAATGTACAGCAACGTCGCAATGGAGTCATTGGGTTGAGTTTGTAAGTTCCTAGATATGTTGTACACAGCCACCAGCGTACTCTGGACGTTCATAACCACACCACATAACGCGTGATACATCATTGAAGCAGTACGGGTGTGATAAGCGTTCAGTGCGACCAGAAACAACAAAAGATTTCCAATTGATGCTGTATTGTGAATTGTTTGAGCAAAGCAGTGTCCGTTCATTAATAGGGGCAGCCCAGCTGCGCAAAGTAAGAGTTGGAAATAAGACTTGTTTCTCAGTGTCGGGCAGCTCTCTACGATGATTGTCAATTCTCTTGATGGTTTTTTCCAAGAACTACAGTTAACAGTCCAACACATAGTTATAAAGATCCCATTACGTATTAAGTTGCACATGCTGTATGAAAACTCTAAGAAAGCAGAATGGCAAACGGTGCTGTCATCGTATTTTGCACAACGTTGGAACCTGTGAAAAAGAAGTTAACTCGTTTTTCAGTGTTGAGGCATGCGTAATTCGGACGTTCCATAGGTAAGGAGAGGAATTTGTATGGCAGTGTAGAACCACCTTAATTTTCCAAGTGTGTTTTGGAGCAAATTTCAGTTTGCCTTCGAAGTGCTCCAGGACTGCGCCAGCCTCTCAACCAATCAGATACAGCACCAGAACGTATCACGACTTAGTCGCGTGTTCTCTTGCTCGTTCCTTATGGCTCCCCACTGATATTTACCTTCGCTCTGATTGGCTTTTGGGTTTCATTTGCGACACTCAATGTACACGTTTTTCATCAGAGATGCTTCCATACAATTTGCCTTATGATAAACTGTACTCAATTGTTTACCTTATTAGAGACCCAGGATATAAATGTCCGGTTGCAAGTAGATTGGGAATTAGTTCTAATCCAGGAAGACAAATCAGTATTCCAATGGTCACAAGCAATGAACTAACAACCTTTCTAGAAAAAGGAGAGTAAGAAAAAAATGCACATATGATTAACTTTGCTTTTGTATCGATCTAGTCAGCACTTCGTAGCTCATTAAGGAAAGCTAGTACCTGGGGATAATACCACCCGGAGTACCCTCGAATGGAAACCTCACGGTTCTTAAAGAAGAGGCCATCGAAAGCAGTCTTGAAGGCGTACTTTCCAAAGTGAGCTCGACAAGAATAACATAATCTGGAAAGAGGCAAAAAGAACAGCCCAAAACAGGATCCGATGGAGATTCATGGTCGACGCATTATGTTCCCAGCAGGAGCAAAGATGGCCTAATCTAATCTTATGTAATGTAATCTAATCAAGTGCAACCCAATTGATGAGTGGCATGTGTACTGAAGATCCAGCATCCTCGGTCCTCTGCATAAAACAATGCTTTACTCGATAACGTTAAAAGCTTACACATGAATCACTTTGCAAACCAAACGAGAGGTTATTGAGAATAGAGCTGCAGCCATCCACATCGAGCATTTCATCAACAGGCTTGAAAAGGAAAAAAAACTAGACCTGAAAGTTAAAACAGAAAAAAAAATTTGAGAAACCCTTGACACCTCTTCCTATTTTGTAACTCTCAACTTAACTTTGTAAATTTCAGTTAACAAACTCTGACAAAATGTATAATCCATCAAATTTCCCTACATAATTTTCGTGGTTCACCTTGGTAAGACCTAAACTAACAGCTCCCCCCACACCCCCTTCTCCAACTCCCCCTGACCGATCCAAGACCATCACAAACAGGGGCGGATATAGGGAGGTGTTGATACCGCGCTCCACCATTTTATTCGCCGATCAGTTGCGAGGCCTTAACTTCCACCTCCCGGGCGACCCACGGGCATTTGACTGTCGTCCGCACCTGGGAAGTGGGGAATTTAAACCTTGCCTGGGTGGGATGAAGAATTTTGACCAGAATTGTAAAGTCATTCTAGCGGAATACATGTGTTTTTATCTTTTAATAAAGAGGTGTTCAAAGGTAAAGAGTTCACATTTGTGAGCAAAAGGCTTAGAAAGAGAGGCCTTCAAGAATTCACGGTTGATGATCCTTTCTTTTATGACAAAAAACTTGACAATCAAATCCAGCACTTGAAAGGGCATTAAAACACAGTTTTGGCTTGGGGGTGGGGGAAGGGGCGGTAATTGAACGAACCAACCTTCAAAACTTCAAATGCTAAAGGGTGCCCAGGGGAATATTGAGGCTTCGAATTGATCAACGCATCAATCCAAGCATTTTGTGAGCAGCAACCATGCTAGCGTGAGTTTCAAACCCCTTTTATTTCTTTTTCGGATCTGTCCCTCATCATTAATTTATCGATCGACGCGTTTAGCGAAATGCCGAGAGGTAATTAAATTCCATTTTAAAGATAAAGTACGGAGCTTACTCCGAGTGCACCCAACCTTAACAGACCGTATAACGTGCTAAGACACGGTAAGGTGCGTTCAAACATCATCGTACTCGTTCTCAATACCAGATGAGGAATGGTGAATCTGAGCATAAAAAGAACAAATATTTACTTTGTTTTGTTTCTTTTGTTCAAGAATTCTTTTTCAAAATCGCAAAAATGGAATGTAAGCTGCGCAATTAAGATCCGAATTCTTACCTTAAATGGTTGACGACGTAACGCAATGAGATCTCCAAGGGTTCATAAAATAGAGAGAACAGAAGATAGCAAGGCAGTCCGATGAAAATCACTTGAACTGCCACAACCACCAGAGAGTAAGCTCTGTCAAATATGAAAAACAACATCTGCGATAAAAAATTTCTGGAGAAGAATTCAGTATTTGGTATTGTTATCCATGAAGCATTTCGCTTGGTCTACACGCTTAACGTGACCGCCTGTTTGTGAAGCAAGCATCGTGCCATCTTTAGTGTTGCTTCTTTCAGCGTTGCGTGACGACCATTTTATTACTATTTATAAAATATAGATCTGAAATCAGATTTCACACTAACCGTTGCTTAGGGTTTAACCCAGCTTTGAACAAACCGGCTCGGAATATATTTCTAAGACCTTAGAATAGTAATTGTTAGTCTAAGTATAAATGATTGTTTGGTACCAACCTTACAACAAAGGAGACGTGCGAGAAAGCGCGATCAATCGTATGGATGAAAGGAGAAACTGACGGTAGAGGAATGATGTAAGACAGGAATATCTGACGAAAGAAGTAATGACCATGACTTAAATAACTCCTCGCAATTTACTATGATGTAGTCCTCTTCGCAAGAAAGTAACGCATTGCGTGACAAGACTGGTAGGGAAAGAAACACTGCCGTGACGATCACGTCACTGAATTGAGTCAGAGATGATTTCTATGTATTGTATGACTATAAGTTATATACCCACCTTTTACGTCTATAGCTAAATCAGACATGGTTTTTTAAGTTTGATTTAACTAAAATTCTACTGATATTTATAGCTGGTGCATAAGAAAATGTAAAGAGATATTCCAATTTCGGCAATTCGAAAATTTCCCATAAAATAAATTCGGTATTTTCCTTCCGAGTGCCCATAACATTTTACCTATATCATTTTGCCTTCTCTATTCACGATTTGCTTCAGAGGATTATGGGCCCCAAGAGAAACAAATTAACAAAGCTCATGCAAATTTTTTCTTTTTCTTTTTTTTTTTTGGGGGGGGGAGGGAGGAAAGCAAAAAGTATATGTATGTGCAACCAATTCGAATCCTTTTAAACATCAACAACAAACGTTTTTCCTCATTGTCGCCGACAAAAAAAATAATGAGTGGTGAAAAATAAAAATTGAGAGTACGAGGTATTGAAAATCATTAGAAGATTCAGATAAAGCTAAAAAAATCCAAAGTCCTTTGCATCGCTCGCTTAAACAAGATGACATTCACGTAAGCATGTCTACACATTAACTTTCCTTCATCAATCTTTGAATCAACAACAATTTGGTCATTATTTGTAATACTTACCATCAGTAAACAAATGTTGAGGTTTGGCATACCTTGAAGAATCCAAAATAAAACTGCGATGAAGGAAAAAAGCGTAAATCGGCAAAAGAGTAAAACTAGGACAATGGTTAGTTTCTTCAACGCCATTGCTGTTGATTGCGTGACATGTCAAATATGACTAGATTAGATGCAGACATATTTTCAGTCGTGTCGAAACACAATGGGTTCACCAATAAAAGGCATCTTGCCTCAAGGAGCAGAGGAATTTTAAAATTTGATTGCACTTTCCGTTAAATTAGACGAGGCGAGAGCCGAACTCGTTGATTGGCGTTTGAATTATGCAAGAGATATCAATCCCATTATTTTCTCATGATCATGCGATCACGCGTCACGAGTTTAGTAGATCAAAAGACGGAAACCGCATACAGTAATTACTAAGGGCAATCAGTAACAAGTCCAACACAGCGGACGAACGGCTGCGCGTGAGCGAACGTTGTAATTACGGGCCGGGTTTTAGGTCGTGTGCTTTCAGGTTTTCAGACCCAAGTTATCTCACAGGAGTTACTAACAACCACACAAGCTAGTAAGTCACGGTATTTTAAAAATTTGTTCCTTTTTGTAGTAAAATCTCCAAGTAGAATCATAAATCACCTTGATAACCGTACTTGAATAAGCTTTGTGTTCGGAAGTCTCGAGTTTTTCTTTTCCCCACTTTTTTTTTCCTTTTACAGATTTCTATTAAAGTTCAATTTCCTTCCCTAGTTTTGCGAGACTACAGTTACTTCTTATATTTCCCTCTGAAATTTTGGAAGGAAATTGGCGCACAGGCAGCTAAATTGATCATGATTTACTCGCACATGCCCTACGTTTGACCGCTGAATTGGCAAGTCCACTCTGCGTATACAGATGGTCCACTCGTGAAAGATCGGGTTTCAACATGCGCTGAGCACGATCTCATGTATCAACAAGGAGTCTACAAGATCGAGTCACGCTGCTGTCTTATGGTTAGTTTAACAGTGATTACAATTGAACTCCACTGCCTCGATAATTATTTTTCGAAAGGATTATTTAAGTCAGCAGTGGAGTTTTTCAAGTCAAGGAAATCCATCCTCAAGTATCAGTCTCTTTTATAAAGTGTGACAGAAATTCTATTGGAACTTCTGAGAAGGTTGACCCTATTTGGCGAAAGGATGCATGGAACGGTGGAATGGCGGAATATCCGAAAACACGGAATGGCGGAAAACGCTCACGTAGAGAGGTTTCAATTGTTGCAGTTAAGGTGGATTATACCGGAAAAAAAGCATTGTAATAGAGTATAATGTTTTATGATACTTCACATATCTTGTCGCTAAAGCTTGTCATTTCGCGTTTTAGGATATTTAGTCGTTCTATGTCAGATTTTAAGATACTCTGTCATTCCTTTATTCCTCCGAATAGGGTCACCCACCAGGAAACTCTAGCCACTAGAAAGAAATTTACCAGACTATCTTTTAGGTATAAATTCACCTACAATCTGACGGAATTTTTCCGTAGCAGTCTATTTAAAACTAAATAGACGCGCAAGTAAAAAAAAATTCTCGATAGGCATATAAAAGTTAATTTATAACAGCAACATTTTTCGTTCTTTACAATACTGGCTGACATCGGTCAAGTAAAATAGCTTGGAACTTAGCTTTTAAGAGTTTCTCGCAAATAACGGCGGCTTTTCTCCATCCATTTCCGTAAATTAACAGAGGCAGCCGTTATTGTTCGTCATTTTAGCCGATTATCCGTTCTCAGTATTATTGGCAGATAGGCCCGCAAAACGTTGTCAATTTACAGAGTCTGTGTTCGAAAGGCTGATAAACATTTAAGAAATTCGCATAAATTGATGTTTTCTATGAAATCGTTGACTTTATTGTGTTTGATATGTGCTCTAAACCTAGATGTTGCCCAAAAATTGCTCAGAAAGGCAAAAAGTGCTCGAGGTTGCCAGAACTAAAAACAGTTTCTCCAAATGCCAAAAGTTCCTTAAAAGTTGCCGAGCACAATCAGAACAGGCCTATGTCTACGCTACACTGCACCGTCTCACATTTGGAAAGCCGTCATAGCCTACTCGTTTAGCAGAAGGAAAACATACTGAGTAATGCAAGAGTCGAGTGTCCACCGGGGAAAGACGAAAAAACGCTGCGAATTTACACCAACATGTTTGTGGTTTCCTCGGCAACGACTTGCATTGGCTACCAAATTTGGGCTCAGTTCATTTGAACTCAAGCAGTACCCATATAGAAAAATCCCTAAATGGGGCAATTGAAATGGCAATATAGCAACCAAAAACAGCTCAATTCAGAGCCGTCAAACTGTCGTCCGGAGACTGGGAGAGCGAGTGAAGAGGGGAGACGCCACGCTACCCCGCGATCACGATTAGACCATTACATAACGAACTGTTAATGATGGCTCGAGGGAGGGAAATTTGATGGTGCACCTAACTTATATCTTTAATACAATAGACAAAACTTCATGTTAAAAATTGTTTTACCTTAAAATCAGTTTTGAAAATCTCCGACGCAACAGAGTTATGCAATAATGTCTCCATCTTAAAGGATATGGCTCGCAGGTGAAATGGGACTCCAGTAAGACTCCTTACGGATGAGACATGATAAAAAGTTTTCATTGATTAATTGCGTTCTCTCCCCCTTTCCATCGGAGATTTGTTGGGAGAATTAAGATCTATGGTCAAATTAGAATTTTTGTCAAAAATAAAAAATATGTTTGCATGACGAGAGCAGCGACTGTTTGTGAACCAATATTTTGGGACATCATGCATGGAAAATGGTTTTATTTACTGTTGGAAAAACCTTTACTTCAAGGTGTTCTGAAGTTTGAATCGTCTCTTCACTCGTCTCACTTGTATCCAAAGATGTATATTTTTTCGTAAAGTGGCCTCCCTTGTATAAGCCCCGTGATTTCTGAGGGTCCCTTGCCATCCACCATAATACTGTTATTAAAAAGTATTTTAAACATATTCATCTCTTCATAAACAGCGAATAAAATCTTATTGTATTCTGAACTGATTAGTTTCTCGCATTGTCATGAAAAATGAATTACGCGTGCACAAAAATGGCACGCTCTATAATGAACTAACAATAGAAATATATTGATGTGCTAAATTGCTTTATATCGATTGCAAGTATTTCACGGTTGAGGATTCAATAGACTGTTTTCTCTGCGATGAACCACGCACCGTAAACTTGGGCACAGAAAATACGAACAATATACTGTAAACCTATAACCAAAGTGAGTTGTTTTAAAATAGTGAAGCCAACTATTTACTCAACTAATATTCTTCATTTAAAGTACTTCGCCCTTAGACCGCTATATTGCCGCATGGGGAGATCATTTTTTGCGTGAGAGTTAACAAACACACAAACCGTGAAGGTCACGCTTTAGAAAGCCGGTTCCTAAAACAATTCAGATCTATCGAGAAGATGTTTAATTTGCATAAATTGAGACAGGTGTTCTTCATCGTTAAAGCATCGCTGACTGAATCGAGCAATTACACTTCAAAAGATGCATAAGTCTATCTTCTGTATCTACTTCTTTCTTGCCTTCGTGTTCATTTTGTTATATCATCTTCACACAATGACACAGTTTGAGTTTTCGATCAACACGCCAGCGCCTCAGAAAGTTACGGAACTAGAAAAATTATTCAATCTTCGTGATAATTTTAGCATTATAACTGCTGACAAAACACTTGTATCAAGAAGTATTCAAGCTGGTAATTCTGATCGCTTCAGACATGTTCTGATGAAAGCGTTACGGGGAGAAAACATCAGCATGTTGGTGATCGGAGGCTCTCATAGCGCGGGAGGAAAACTAGGACTTGACGAGAACAGCCTGGATGGATTGTATTTCAAAGTATTTCAGAAATGGTGGAACGAAACCTTTGGTAGTTTTGCAAAATCCTTTTTGAATGTAACTGCGCTGACAATTGGAGGCACTGGGAGCTCTTTCTACGCATTTTGCTATAGAACTTTTGTTCCTGAAGGCACGAGCTTCGATATAATGTTGATAGAAATGTCAGCTAATGATAAAGGACGAGCAACGGCGAAACCACTGGAACAACTGACGAGACAAGCTCTTGCATATCCTTCGGCACCTGTGGTCTTCTACATAAACGTTGTACATGATTTCGGAGTTCATTATTATACTAACAAGGTGGAAAATCCATCTTGTGTTACCCTCGAAGACTTTGGCCAAACAGAACTTGCCCGTCATTACGACATTACATCATTCAATTTGAGGGAAATAATTTGTAGGAAAGAGGAAGGCCGATGGAAAGTAATGCACTCAAGCATGGCAGGCTCAGATGGTAGGCATATTGGAGTCAAGGCGCATGCTCAGATTGCTTACATGATGACGGAATATGTGAAAAACATTTACCAAGAGATTACTTACAACGACACCAGAATAAATCCGCTTTCTATCAATCATGTCAGAGGCAATGACGGAAGCTTCAATCTCCCGAGCTTATTTTTTATAAAGCGGGAAACCGAAGCCTTAAAAGAGCCATTGTGTTGGACGGGGAAAACGCCGAATGTATTTAAGAAGCTTCACCACTCTAATCTCAAATTTGAAATTAAAGAGAAAACTGGCTTTTCGCCATGTTTCAAACTGTACGGACAAAAAAGGAACGTTAAAAGAGTCGCCGGAGAACTTCGCACTGATTCCCAAGGGGGGTGGTGTTCCCGGAGACGCTCCAGCGTCCTTAAGCTAAAGATCTATGTTCCTCAGATTGTTGGTGACAATTCGTTTCGCACTCGGTCGGTGACAGTTTTGACGAGTCACGAAGGAGGCATTGCTGCAATATGGCTAGACAATTACAAAAACGAAACAATTGAAACCGATTCGATTCGAGTTAAATCGAATCGATACGACACGATTGGTCGCAGAGTGAATCCAGGCTACCACACAATCACAGTTAAAACATTATCCAAAGAATTGTTCTTGGTAGCTGGAGTGTTTGTTGGTGCCCCTGACTTTCGCATCAAGTAGACTTGTGTCTTTTGTTACATAATAAGTAGAGAGAAATTCATAATAATCAAAATAATCTAAACTATAACAAAATCCTTGAATGTAATTGGTCCTCACCAGCCCGATTTGTTCAGGTAACAACATGATATCGAATGCAATTTAATGTTAATAGGCACGGGTAAATTTTTCAACGATAACAAAATTACACGAGCGCGTTGGATATAGTGTTCAGAATAGAGATAACTATGTGGATTGGATTAATGTTCTATGTATTTTTTTAACCGTAGATAATAAATTGATATTCATACTTAGTACTATTCTTAGTTAATTTACAATTACAAGGTAGATATTCAGCACAGATGGCCATTAATGAACAAAGGGGGTAAGTTTCTAAAGAAACCGTGGTGCTACGTCGGTGGGAGTGTATAGTAGGTAATTTAGTGTTAATAACTGAGTTGAAAACGTAAATTGGCCACCGTAAAGAGTAAAAAGCTGACGTTTCGAGCGCTAGCCCTTTGTTTATCGCTCTGACGAAGGGCTAACGCTCGAAACGTCAGCTTTTTTACTCTTTACGGCGGCCAATTTACGTTTTCAACTCAGTTGTTAACACTAAATTACCTACAGATGGTCACTTGTTTGTCTGTCATCCTGGCATGTGTTACCCTCTTTAAATGATGTTGTTACTCATTAATAATAAATCGAGCGTTTGTATTCTTTCTCTCTTAGGTATCGGTGGAGAGTAGTAACCTTTACATAGAAACTTTCCCGCTCGTAATCCTTCCCCTCTTTCCAACGGACAGTTGCATAAAACTTCTCGAGAATTTTATTCAGGGCCTCCCGAGTTCATACTTTTATAGCCGTTTTTGGAAATCCAAGACATCCAAACTTTTCGCTAGTTTCTCGTCCTTTGTTTATTGTTTTTGTTCATGGCATTCCCTCCCAAACTCTGAATCAAAACTTTATAACTCCTAACCTTCCCGCGATCTAGTCTCGTTGCGTTTTCGCGACTTTCCTGTCAATCAATTTAATTTCAACTTTCTGCACTGTATGGGATTGATTGACACGATCATACGAGATTCCAACATTCAACTGAAGGGGACTGAGTAATTTGTAGGAAAGAGAAAGGTCAATGGAAAGAGGTGTACACAAGCATAGCAGGCTCAGAAGGTAGGCATATTGGCGTCAACGCGCATGCTCAGATTGCTTACATGGTGACTGAATTTGGGAAAAACATTTACCAAGAGATTGCTTACAAAGTCACGATCAATCTACCGAGTTACTTTTGATAAAGAGAGAAACTGAAGAATTAAAAGAGCCATGCCGAATGTATTTAAGAAGCTTCACCACTCTATTCCAAAACTTGAAATTAAGGAGGTAGTTAACCCTTATTTGGTATTCAATAAAACAGTGGCATATCTTTTTAATGATTCAACCAAACTCCATGAAATTTGGACAGAAGATAGAACTTATCGAGTTCAAAAGATTGACATGACATATAAGGTGCCACGCCCACCAGTTGCCATGGCAACCTCAGAAAACTGCGGTTCACTCTCTATTTTATGGCAAACCTATCTTAGCAAATACATACAATGAAGCAATGAAACTCTGCAAGGACACTTTTATGGTTATAAATTGTGCAATGAGTGAAATTGTTTTTGAGTGTCGCCAATTCGAAGTCGCACTTGTTTAAAGTAGCACGTTTCCATAGCAACCAACTGAGTTGCCGCAAAGGGATAAAACTAATACACTCATTGCACAATACTGATCAAACTACACATCCTGTGAAAAAATGGTAATAATCCATTGAAAATTGGCAAAGATATAACTGCCACAAGTGTGTGAATGAGATTTTAAGAAAAATGCATTTAAAATTTAAGACATGAGCTGTGAATGTAGTTCACCGTAATTCCCTTCCATTTTGGCAGTCAAGAGGCTTTTTAAGTTTATGGTCAACTGAGAGCATTAAGTATAACTGGAAAGTTTTTCTCCAGCCAAAGTACATGGCTGGATGGCAAAAAAAAAATCAGTTTAGTTTATTTCTCTACATGAATATGCTGCTCTTTTGAAGGGGCCACAAATTCAAAAACAGGTTCTGCGAATGTGATTTCCACATGTTCCTCTCTGCTTGTGGATTCTGCAACTGTGATCTCCACATGTCTTCAATTCTATCAGGGTGTCGATCCTTAGTAACTGCAAACAGTCTCCGAGCAGCATCTTGCATTTGAACCTTAGCATGTTCTACAGCAGCCTTTTCAATTTGAATCAAGTGTTCATTGAAAGATTTCTTGGTTACTGGTGGGGGCAGATTCATCCTGGCACAAAAATCTGTTAATCCAGCCTGGCCAAGTTTCTGGGAAGCCAACACTGACCTCCTGTTGACTTCATGTGCTCCTCCACCAACACCTCCAAGTTTCTTGCTGGTTTTCAAGTCAGTCTCATGATTACAAATTGAGCATTTCAGAAAAAGACATTCAGCAAGTCCTTCCCTCTGATAATCTCGCTGATAGAGTTTGAGAGTTGATTGGGGTTTGCGACAAGAGCTGCAAATTGCAGCTGAGGCAATACCTTCACTCAACAGAGTGGCATCTTGCAATTTAAACCCGCTTGCAACTTGGGAAACATCTGCTGATGCGACTCTGAGTCCAACGCTTATCGACTTCTTTAGGGTCAGGGTACCTTCTTGCTCTTCAAAACTCGAAAACGAAGAATTGTGAAGTTTTGAGGCGGAAACATTCACTCTCACAGGCAAATCTTTGGTTTCACTGAGGTCAATTTCGTCTCTGGCTTCACCTTCGCCGCCGCCATCTTGATCTGCTGGCGCTTTCTTTGTCAGCTTTGGCCGTTTGTTTGCCCCATTGTGGCCACAAAAACCTTTTCTTTTTTTTCTTCTTACCGATCTAAATTTCCTTTTTCCATGTTCCACCATCTCATGAAGCACAACAAGTAAAAATATTCGAAAAAAACAATCTAAATTCACCACACCACGCTTTTGAGAAAATCGCAACTTCGAATCTTCGACAACCACGCTGCATCATGGTTACTGCAAATGAAAATCTGGACTGGACCCTGTGAAATTTGGCTTTTAAGGACTGTGGAAACGACTTTTAGGGGACTTTTGACCCAACGCGGAGCAGAAAGTCCCATGACAACCAAAATAAACAAAGTGTAAACAAACGGTTGCTATGCATCAATAATGGACCGCTCCCCAATTAATTAGCCGTTTTAGGCGGGATTTTCGAATTTTTCAAAAAATAAGTGTGGATTTTAAAAATTGAATAGATAAGGGTCTTAGGGGGGATTGAATAAGTTTTTATGAAATTTTCGAATTTTTTCTTAAAATAAGGGTTAACTACCTCCTTAAAGAGAAAACTGTCTTTTCGCCATGTTTCCAACTGTATGGACAAAAACAGAATGTTAAAAGAGTCAGTGGAGAACTTCGCACTTATTCCCAAGCGGGGTGGTGTGCTTGGAGATGCTCCAGCATCTTTGGGCTAAAAATCTACGTTCCTCGGATTGTTGGGGACAATTCGTTTCGCACTCGGTCAGTTAGAGTTTTGTCAACATATAAAAGAAGCAGGGCTGCAATGTGGCAACGAAAACGAAATTGTTAAATCCGAGTCGCTTTGGGTGAGAACTCAACGATTTGACACGATTGGACATTGGAAAGGAGCCGGGCTACCACACAATCACAGTCAGAACATTATCCAATAAAACATTCTTGGTAGCTGGAGTGTTTGTTGGTCTTACTTTCATTTAAAGTAGATTTACTTTCCTTTGCTCAGTAATAAGCAAAGCAAAGCGCACGATAATCATAGTGATCAAAATTATAACAAAATTCTCCAACGTGATTGGTTCTCACCAACTCGATTTGTGTAGATAATCACATGATGTCTAATGCAATTTAGGATAAATCAGCACGAGCAAATTTTTGAAAGGCTAACCAATTGTCTTTGGATGTTCTAAAAACTTGACTACATGGTAATTGCCATTTTGGATCGTGCTCATCTGAGAAGTAACAAAGTTTTTTCGCCTTCTATTCCACCCCACGGCGATTTGCTCGGAGCATAAGTAGTTATGCTCAAATTGGAATTCTTGCCTATAGTCGTAACTTTGTGCATGACGAAACCAGCGTGTCTGTTAGTGAATCAGTGTTCTGGGACATCAAGCAAGGTTGGCCAGGCTACCAAGTTGTTTTCAAAATAAATAAAGAGGGTCAAGGTTAAATCCAACGCAGAATCCAAGCACATATGTTGTAGTTTCATTTCAATTTACTACCAACTCAATCCTCTCCGTGAAACCGACGTTAAGCCGCAGTTTGCTTCCAAAATTTCTATTTCAGACGTTTCTAACTACCTGCGTCCACATTCACCACGACACCTTGAAAAGCAGCTCGGTAACCCTGCCTCCTTTGCAAACCGAGCCTCGTCGAGGACCACACACTCGGCATCCGTGGCTCTAAAACATCTCTTTTTATGTGCTTTGGTTTTGCGTTAGATTTGTGGTGGCCCAGTCACTTTGAGCTTGGAGTTTTCGCTTCTCGGATCGGGCGTGTGCAGCCTTGGGCTTCTCTTATGAGAAGTAAACTTAGAAATGGATAACTCGCTAAAATGGGTTCTTTTCAACGTAGTAAGCGGTCAGATAACAAGCGATGCACTGTGGAAGTAAGGTGAGGTATCTTTATTGAGAATTTGACTGTATTCTCATACAAACTCTAATAGTTTCGCCACGACTCTTATTTCGCAAACCTGTGGTATACTAAGATTAATCTTTGGAATCTCAAAAACCGCCTGTAGATAATTGTTTATTTGGTGTTGGAAAAACCTCTCCTTAAAGCTATTCTGAAGTTTTAATCGTCTCTCCATTCCAATCTGACTATAGTTTCTCGCATTTTCCGGAACGTCTGTACAAAAATAGCACGCTATGAAATGAAGACTAACAGTGGAAAGCTATTAATACGCAAAGTTGTTTTCATCAAACTTATTTTACGGTCGTGGACAAATTTGTTTCGTGTTTTCTCTGCGATGAAACGCAAACCAAAAGACAGTACAGAAACCACAAACAATATAACCCATAGCCACAATAAGTTTCTTAAAACAGTACGCCAATTGTTTGCTTAATCAATATTTTTAATTTAAAGTACTTCGCCAAGTGGACCCGCATACCGCTATTTTGACGCAAAACAGAATATTATATGCGTGAGAGGACACACAGCATAAGGTCACGCTAGTTCAAGCCGATTCATATTAAAATATCTTTTAAACAAGAAATGCAAATCGGTCCCTCCACGCTGTGATGAAACTGTTGTTAGCTCTTTCCCTTTCACCGACTCATTCTGAACTCATAATCGCAAGCGCACTCAGACACGGTAAGTTGTTTATGATGTTATGGTTTGATTCATATTTAACGATAAGATGTTTGCATAAATTGAGATAAAGGTTCTCTCATCCTTACAGCAAAGCTGATTGAACCGGGCGTATGCAATTGAAAAAGATGCCAAAGTCTACCCTTGTTATCTACATCTTTCTTGTCGTCATGTTCATCATCTTATATCATCTTCACACAATGACGAAGTTTTCGCTTAACATAACGACACCTCAGCAAATCACGGAACTAGAAAAATTATTCAAACTGCGGGATGAATTTAGCATTATAACTCCTGACAAAACACTTGTATCAAGAAGTATTCAAGCTGGTAATTCTGATCGCTTCAGACATGTTCTGATGAAAGCGCTACGGGGAGAAAACATCAGCATGTTGGTGATCGGAGGCTCTCATAGCGCGGGAGGAAAACTAGGAATTGACGAGAACAGCCTGGATGGATTGTATTTCAAAGTATTTCAGAAATGGTGGAACGAAACCTTTGGTAGTTTTGCAAAATCCTTTTTGAATGTAACTGCGCTGACAATTGGAGGCACGGGGAGCTCTTTCTACGCATTTTGCTATAGAACTTTTATTCCCGAAGGCACGAGCTTCGATATAATGTTGATAGAAATGTCAGCCAATGATAAAGGACGAGCAACGGCGAAACCACTGGAACAACTGACGAGACAAGCTCTTTCATATCCTTCGGCACCTGTGGTCTTCTACATAAACGTTGTACATGATTTCGGAGTTAATCCGTATACTAAAAAGGTGGAAAATCCATATTGTGTTACCCTCGAAGACTTTGGCCAAACAGAACTTGCCCGTCATTACGACATTACATCATTCAATTTGAGAGAAATAATTTGTAGGAAAGAGAAAGGTCAATGGAAAGTAATGCACTCAAGCATGGCAGGCTCAGATGGTAAACATATTGGAGTCGAGGCGCATGCTCAGATTGCTTACATAATGACTGAATATGTGAAAAACATTTACCAAGAGATTGCTAGCAACGTTACGGGTATAAATCCGCTTTCTATCAATCGTGTCAGAGGCAATCAGAAAATTATCAATCTTCCAAGCTTATTTTTTATAAAGCGGGAAACCGAAGCCTTAAAAGAGCCATTGTGTTGGACGGGGAAAACGCCGAATGTATTTAAGAAGCTTCACCACTCTAATCTCAAATTTGAAATTAAAGAGCAAACTGGCTTTTCGCCATGTTTCAAACTGTACGGACAAAAAAGGAACGTTAAAAGAGTCGCTAGAGAACTTCGCACTGATTCCCAAGGGGGGTGGTGTTCCCGGAGACGCTCCAGCGTCCTTAAGCTAAAGATCTATGTTCCTCGGATTGTTGGTGACAATTCGTTTCGCACTCGGTCGGTGACAGTTTTGACAAGACATGAAGGTGGCATTGCTGCAATATGGCTAAACAATTACAAAAACGAAACAATTGAAACCGATTCGATTCGGGTTAGATCGAATCGATACGACACGATTGCTCGCAAAGTGAATTCAGGCTACCACACAATCACATTTAAAACATTATCCAACGAATTGTTCTTGGTAGCTGGAGTGTTTGTTGGTGCCCCTGACTTTCACATCTAGTAGACTTGTGTATCTTTTGTTGAGTAACAAGTAAAGAGAAGTGCACGATAATCATTTTATGAGTTGTTGTTTAGATAACTTACATACCCCAAAGACACAAGAGGAATATTTCCTTTTCTTCTGTATTCGAATTTTTTTACTCTGTTTTCTATGTAAGACCCTTTTCAGTTTATGATTGCCATTTTGCGCCCAATTGAACACTCAGACATATAAGTCTGTGCAAGATAACTAAAATTAGTAAGGAGTGTAGAGCCTCCTAGGGAGGCATAACGGACAGATCATTCAGTTTTTAAGGTATAAAAAATTCTTCTCAATTTCTTCGGTTTCAGTTCATCTGTGAGGATTATTTATTAATTTTTCATCATCCACGGCTCAAACGTGGTTTTCAATTCATTTATTTGAACCATTTGACTGTTACGAAACAAAGAAAATATTAAACTTTTTTCCGCGGAAAAAAGTGGAGGGGGGGGGGAAGGTGACCCCCCCGCTCCTCCTTCTTCGCTGTTCCTTGTAATGTCAAACAGGGAAAAAATAAACGGCCGCATAATAAGAAATACAACCAATGTTTTGGTTTACTGCACATTTTCTTTTGTTAAATAATCCATTGACAGACATGGTTGGAGCCATGGAGTGTAAAATCGTCTGGAAAATGACCGGAATGAAAATGGATCTTGGTTCAACTTGGGTTCGAGTTACGGTAAGTAACATCATATAAAGGCTATGAAAGCTTCACTGAATCAGTAGAACTTAAAACCTTTTCCAAGCTGTGGAACAATCATATAAATGAAGCGTTTAGTGGATGGTATTTTATTAATAGAGATGTGCTATGTCAATTTTCCGGCGACTCCCTCAATCAAATCGGAGACGTTTTATGATTATTTGAATTGCAAATTTTCTCTCTTTCTCTCTGTTGTTATTTATGATTTACTCTCCACTGCACGTGCCAACGAGAACGTTACTCGGGCGTAGAAGTCTTACGACCTTTAAAGCCGTCTCACTTGGTTTCATAATATCAGATTTGTAAAAAATTTCTTCTAGGCGCACAGTCAATTTCGAGATGGCCACAGCGAAAACCTCGTTGGTGGAAACCGCAGCAAAAGCCAGCTCATTCAACAAGAACATTGAAGTGCATGATGACAGGATAGCATTTAAAATGGCGGGTCTATGAATCAGTTCTTCTTTGAAGGTAATTTTAGAGTCCTGCTCTTTTAGAAGGTAGCTTGTCTTAAAAATAACATTTTGCATTGTTCCGAAGAGACTTTATTTATAACAGGGAGCAATAAATTGTTGTTAACTGTCATTCATCGTAATTTTGTTTTCAATGTGGTAATGGTCAGAGAGGATTAATAATGAATACACCATCAGGTTGCTTTAATCAATATTTTCTGCAAACTCGTTCAAACATCTCTGAGCCATTAGACTTTTTGCCATCACTAAAATGGCAGCTACATACTCTGGAGTGCTTGCCAGGCTCTTTATCGCCTTTCCTGTACAGGGGACGATAAAAAATCTCCGTTAAATTTTGATCTGGTGTAAGAAATGTTTTGTCACTGTATTACTTTGGAATGAATCGCCTCAAAAATCTCTGCTCGAACATAGTGGAAACAAATGTATGTTGTCACTGTAACAGTTCTATTCAGGCTAAATTCCGGTTCATAATTCAAGGTAACGTGAATGCTATATAAAAAAAGAACAAAAGCACTCAGAAATAAAGGATAAACAATACATGCAATTGTTCGATATGCGACGCTCGTAAATTTCCATGGGATTTCGAGTTCATGAAAATAGCGCATTCGCTTAAAATTATAGCCTGCAGAGCAAGCGTAATTTAGGCTAGCGAGTGCTAAGTAATTTCATAACGAATATTATGGCCGCCATCTTTGATTTTAATGGCAGCGGAAGGCTGAGGAGAGGAAAAATTTGTACCAAGGGGGCGGTTGACAGTCAAAAATAGGGAGAGGGGTGGGGGTAGGGGAGTGAAGATTACGCCTGCCCGAAGTCATTGTTATTTTGCCACACTCCGTTCGCCCACGAACGGAGTTCCTGATTGGTTCGATTAAGCTGCAGCTGTAGCTGTCAATCTGGAGACCTACATACCCCCAAATGATTTAAACGTGTCAAGTCGTCATGTTTAACACCACTGTGAAACATAATGGTTGAAATTCGGTAGTGCACTGCAGAGGCTTTGGCGTTTCTTAGGCGTACTAGCGTTGCTGTCGCTAAAGCAAGGGAGTTTATCTCTGGGACGCACTCTTTGAAAGCATTCTGCGATAAACCCCTTGCACCTCGAACGCAGTCAAACCAGAGGGGAAAGAAAATTCTTACCTCTTTCATGAAAATTTTGTTCGAGAATTTAGCGAGCTCGTCCGGATTACGCGCCTCCAATATGCATCCAGATTTCAAGTATTCGTCAAACTCGAGCGACACTAGCTTGGAGATTTCCCTATATAGTTCAGGCTTAATTTCTTCGTGCATTAAAAGTGCATTAATCTTTTCTCTCCATTGTTTGGTAGCAACGTTCTTCACTAATGTTTTTGTTTGGGAATCTCTGGGAATTCTCACAGTCACGTTTCCAGACGGATTCATGAACACCATTTTTACACCATCGTTTGGAAGATCTTCCACATTCATATGACTAAGCATCTCGCTTTCCTGTACCAACAAGGCAGACGAGGTATTCACTGCGTTTTCAAAGGCGATAGACTTTTTCGACCGCATGAGAGGAGGAACTTCCCTCAACGGAGTCCTGTTAATCGGGGAACGAACACGTACAGATTTTGATTTCCTCCACGGTGGACTAGCTTTATCTGGCGTGTCAAGGTTTCTTTTGCTAGTTTTCACTGGAGTAGACGTCGTTGTAGTTGCGTTCTTGACAAAGTGGTACAATTGGCCTAAATTTTGAATCTTACGGCCACATGGGTAACAAACACGATCTGAAAATCTCGAGCTATCTTACACTAAGGAAAATCCAACTTGACGAACAATTTCGCTCAAAACAACTCCAAAGCACTCCTTCCGTTTCGAAGGTTTGAAAATATTTTCTGACGAAGAGTAGCTTTGCTTAGGGAGATTTCCGAACTGAATTTTAAAGGAAACTCTCAAAGCCCACAGTTGTCACTCGCACTCTTATCGGACATCACGCACTATATGTAGCTGGATATGACGGCTCGGCCCCACGTGTGTTTGTTTTTTGCCGGAAGTCAATGTCAAAGACTTTAAAATAAACTCATTTTTATTGGTTACCTTCTTATTTCCGGAAATGCAGTGAAGCGCAACTAATCAGGGGGCTTATGGCATTTTAACAACCTCTTCAGGCAGGCGTCTTTTCTCCCCTCCCCCGCTCCCTCCCCCCACCGTCCACTCTAACTGCAAATCAAAAATGGCCGGTCGAACAAATGATCCCGAGCTTTTAGCGGACGATGAGCACTTTTGTTTCTGAGTTGGTACTTTGTTTCTTTCTTCTTCGGAATGATGTTACTAGGCGGGCAATCGGGAGCCACTAAACGTACCCTATCTGCCTTTTCTAAAAGTTCTCGAATGTCCATTCTCTAAGATATGTATTTCCTTTTAAAGCATTTGTCCATAAAGTTTTGTATGACCGTGAGATCTGAGTCTGTAGCGTCATAAACAGGCAGACCATAAGTGAAATTTGGTAAAACCAAGGCGCTTAATAGGTGGTCTACTTCACCTTGACTGAAACCTTCCTTCCGTAAAGATCTTAATTCAAACAGACACCTACTTGTATTTGCCTTAATCAACTTAGCACGTACGTGTTCGCTATATTTACAATTCTCCTGAAACGTAACACCTAAAATGGGCAGCTTCGTGCATTGCGGAATGTTATTAACTTGCGCAATATCCTGAATAAAACCTTCCTTGCGAAAAATAATTTCTTTACTTTTCGACGGATTACAAATCATAATTTTTTCCTCAGACCAAATTAAAAACTGATCCACCAAATCCGTACGACAGTGGCCATCACTCCAAACGGGAACAATGAGAGTAGAGTCGTCCGCGTATTTAAACGGGGCTGGACGATTATCTATGCTGATTTCCAGATCATTAATGAAAATACTAAATAAGTACGGACCACTCACACTGCCCTGTGTACTGTCCCTGTTCACACATTTCCATTGTCCTTGAAAACTACTATAAATAATGCCCTGTTGACGATTCTCAACAAAGCCTAAATACCAATTGATTATGAATGGATTTAACGGTATATCCTTAAGCTTATAAGACAAAAGTTCATGATTAACGCTGTCGAAGGCGTTACTGGAATCTATGGCAAACAAACGCACGGTTTTACACTTAGGGTCATCTAGATAACTATAGACGGTGTGTTGCATACTGAGGAGCGCGTCAATACAGCTTCCCCCTGTCCTGTAAGCAAACTGAGTTGAGCTCAGATTTTGCTCAACAGTGTCCCGCGCGTGAATGTTATACACGAATTTCTCAAATGCGCGTGCAATTACAGCTCTTTTCCACGATGAGAGCCAGGTACTGAACCTCAGGGATAAGTTTCAGATCTTGTAAATTAAAGGTGTAAAAATTTCCGCGTGGTCTCTCCACACCCAGAACGGTATGAGGTCCGGTCCAGTGGCGGTTTTCTTCAGGTGCTGCAAACAGTTCCATATCTGTCTTTCTGAAATCTCAGGAACTTGAACTCCACTCTCAACTTGGGCAGGTGTAGGCTGTTTATACCCACTGTCCCAACACAATTCAGCAAAATAATCATTCAGCTCAGCCAGAGATTGCATGTCCAATGTAACCTTAGCCAAGGAACACCGGCGCTGTGACAGGCTATCCACGTGTTTCCACCACTCCCTAGCTCCTACAGGTGCTTGAAGGAGATTTCTCCTGTTCTCACTGATAACTTCACTTATTCTCCTGTTAATCTCTCGAAGCCGATCCCCCCTGTTTTGACCAATCCTAGATTTAGACCTCATCAAGGACTTGAGAAGGGGTGTCACCCACGCCGGATCACGCGATGAGATGCGAACTGTTCTGAATGGCATGCACTTGTCCATGTGTCTGTGAATAAGAGTTTCCAAGTTCTTCACAGCCTTATTCACATCGTTTGTTCCCAAGACACTATTCCAAGTCTCTCCCGTAAGTTCCAAGTATAACGCCTCCTTTCGGTGTTTTCTGCAATCCCGGATGCGAATTTTTTGGCGAACAGGTTTGAGTTTTGATCCCGCTGGTAAAAAGACCGCCGTGTGATCCGTTTTTATTGATATAGAAAACGGAGCACATTTCCCAAATAAGTCCGGTCGATTTGTAAGGACGTTATCCAAGTACGCAACACCCCTAGTTGGAAAGTCCATCAAGGAATTCCATCCTGTCAATTGACAAAGATCATTTACATCCAGTTTGTTAGTATCGCCGCCCAAGACAATGGTCAATCCAGGGTGTTGATCTAAAGCACTGTCCACTATTCACTGTCCGTTTGAGGTACCACGAGAAAATTTTTAATTTGTGCTCAAGGTGTGAATTTTTACTTGAAAAAATTGCAGAGATGGTTGGCAAATGCGGGAAAACAATTTGTGGATGAATTCAACTGTTTAACTTACGGAAGGAGGTGCCAAAGTATACTGGTATTTCTGACGACTGTTTGAATTACTTTGTGAAGAGAACCTTGCAAAATTTTCCGAACTGTGGCATTCACAGAATGAAAGCATTCTTACTTGGAATTCGTTTGACCTGGGAACGTGTTTTACCATCAATTTTGGTTTCTTGAAGACAAAGGGTACGTTGAGATAAGCAATGAATTGCACTTATATCGTCTGTAATATGCATTTATGCCTTTAATAAAGTTGCAACTATCCTTGTTCCAAGATGGCTTTGATAACAATCCTCTCAGATTTGAATCAAACATGACACCTGCTCAACTCTGGATGTATGGCTTAAATCACTATCATTTGTACCAAGATGTACTTGAAGGAGAAACATTATCCTATGAAATTGAATATCACAGTCCTCCACCTCGTGAAGAATATGCTGGGGAAGAAAGAGGAGATAACTGAAGTTCCAGAAATACCATGCCCCTTGTCTAAAAGAGTCTTTCAATCTTTTTCAACCTCAAGTTATCTCATTTGATCAGTCTGATTGTTATGGAATAGACCTTTACATCAAAGTGGTAGAGATTATCCATGGCTTGGTTTTATAAAATCAAGTACAAAAATCATATTTCTGCTGGCTGATAAGAGGGTCAGCCCTTTTTCAGCAACCAGGGCCTATGAAAACTGAGAGTTCAAAATGTAACAGTTATTAAGGAAGAATTTTTGTTTTATCCTGTAACATTAGATGTGTTTTTATCTAATGAGCAATACAGACATGTACTATTTATTATTATAAATTAAAACATATTCTGTATATAAAGTAACTGAAACAACAAATTATAAGCTATTTGTAAACACTAGTGAGGATTAAAGGTGGAATGAGTACATAAAATGCTAAAATTCATTCGGAATATACTATCACAGCCAGCCCTAGACTATGTACTTTTAAACATTAGGGTTAGGACGAGGGTTAGAGGTAAAGGTAAAGGATGGCATACTCCACAACAAATTGTGCCATTCCATAAGACATACCATTCTACGACTCATTCCTCCTTTTATCCTCACCTTGTGTGAACATTACTTTTATGTTCATCACATTAGTTTAAATAAATTGCAACAGAACTAAAAAAACAGATACAGTGTGACTAGTTTCATTAATAGTTCACTCTTCTAGCATTCTCCACAATGCATGCTCAGTGGGGTCCAAGATCTTTGAATTTGATAATTTTATTACATTATTAACAATCTATAATACCATAGTATAACATTTTGACATGTGAAAACTTTGATCTGCACATATACATGAATAAACATTGCTTAAAAGTTGTGGTTATCAATATTGTTCCACGGATCACATTTTTTAAAGCCACAAACAGTGGGAGAGGACAGCAGTCAGTTCGCATTCCAGGGGTTGTTGAGATATGGAGAATGGAAAGGATCCCTTGACAGAAATCAACATGTCACAGAATGGCTGAAATATAAACATAAATTGCTGCTGGTTTTTCTACTAATTTTTATAACATTGTCTTCACATGACAAAGGATGGGAAACCCTTTGCAATTTTTCTGTCCACACCCAATCACCTATTTTTCTGATTGACCTAATCACAAAAACAACACCAAGATAACTAAACTCAAATTGATCAAGAATGTGTGAGTAATAACATTGTTTTAACAAATTGACAAGCATTTTAACAAAACTCCACTGTAACTTGGCATGAAGAAATTGTCGTAGCACCACCGGTACCAAGTTACAGTGGGGTCCCCAGCGAGGCTCAGTTTAAAAAGGAGGCAAGGTGACCTAGCTGATTTTCAACGGTCGTGTGTCAAGGTTGATGTGGACGCGGGCTGTTAGAAACTTCTAAACTGGAAATTTTTGAAGCAAACTGCCGCTTAGCGTCGGTTGCACGAGGAAGATTGAGTTTGTAGTGAATTTAAATGAAACTACAGTATATGTGCTTGGATTCTGCGTTGGATTTGTGGCCGCCCGGTCATTTTGCGCTGGAATTTTTCGCTACTCAGATTGGGCGTTCGGAAATGGAGTGCTCAGCCTTGGGCTTTTCTTATGTACGTTGAAAACCTCGAAATGGACAACCCGCTAAAATGCGTTCTTTTCATCAAAGTAAGCGGTCAGATAACAAGCAATACGCTATGAGAATTTGACGTATTCTTTTATTTCTTAGAGCGGTCGTAAATATTCCCATACAAACTCTTATAATTCCGCCATGAAAGTTATTGCACAAGATGATCATCTTACAGCTGGAGCTTGGGCCGCCTGTTGTCCGCAATGTTTAGAACTGAATTTTTTAGCGCCATGACGTCAAAATTTAGGAATCAATAAACAAAATATGCAAATCGGTTCCACCACGCTTCGATAAAACTATTCTTTCCCTTCACCAACTCATCGGTTCGCAACGCATATTAGCAAGCTCAATCAGACACAGTAAGTTGTTTATGAATATTGCCTCTAGTTCAGATT